CGGGATAGCTCAGCTGACTTTGTAATGTGTTTAAGTGTTGCGGGATAGCTCAGCTGACTTTGTAATGTGTTTAAGTGTTGCGGGATAGCTCAGCTGACTTTGTAATGTGTGTAAGTGTTACGGGATAGCTCAGCTGACTTTGTAATGTGTTTAAGGTTTACGGGATAGCTCAGCTGTAGACCAGTTTAAAGTTCAAATGAACATTTTCCATAGATTAAATAGTCAACTTTTCACGCCCGAGGCCAAGGTGAGTTGAAGTTCAAATAAATATTTTTTTATGGATAAAGATGTCAACTATGAACACATTGCTTTTCTTTTAAATTTGAAGTTATTTTTAATACTGGTTACTGTGGTTCACAAACTTCTGTATCAATTTAACCTTTTTAGGTAATATATGAGCAGACTAATTTTCAAAATTGTTCCTTCTCTAAACATTAATTTGCAGAATTACTATCAATATTTCTAAAATAGCACCCTCTTAATTGCAAATTCAAGTACTCATGAATAAAACCTATAACTGTTTGTTTGTGAAATTAAGTACCTGCGAAAAACTGAAAAGATTTACAGGGAAAATTCAGTGAAACATTAATGGTGTTAAAGTGTTGTATGAAAACAACATGGAGGTCTTAAAAGACCTCGAGTCTCGAATATATCATTACCGAGGAAATAGATCTGGGATTGCACTTTTTTATGGAAGATATTAAATCTTGTCTTGTTTGCACTTTACACTTACATTAACATCTGTACATTGTATCATTTTACATGCTTTAAAAAAATCGAAATGTCTGAAGAAATATAAAAATATAAAATATACACTTATGGCAAAAGTGAATTGCTGTAAATATTTATAGTAAGTCTGTAACACATAAATACATGTATGTCATTTTAAACCTGAAACCAGCAATCCAAAAGGAAAACTTTACTTCACAGTGTACCATATAAACATGACATCATCCTTAATTTCCCCGTGCAACAAGCTTGTAGGTGAATTACAATGTTGTCATGTTGTCACCATTCAGTGACCCGATTTCTTCATGGATTTTGATAAAACTTCATACCTTGAACAAGTTTGCCGTTCAGAATGAAAAGTTCAATGTCACTATTACTATTCAAAGAACATCCATCAACCATCGGGCTAAAAAAATATTCCTGAACATTTGATCAAACTAGGGAGCATGCTACATTTCAACGTCACCATTACAACACTATATGAACTGAAAATCCTTCATCACTCTTACGACTTCATACCAGGGTTATTTTAAACAGATTTTTATCAAACTTCATACAAAAGTCACTTATGAAAATACTTTTCAGAAGTATGTGTTAACTTAATTAAATTGATTTGTTCACTGACCCCCTTGCCATGACCTTGACCATAGGAGTAAGAACTTAAGAATGCCATGTGACACTTTCCCTCTTTTAATATGTAATGTACAGATGTACATATATGTGAAAGATATTAGGATTAACAGTCCAGAAAAGCATTACTAAAGATGAATCGCTACTTTGAGGGTACAAACAAGATATCTAGATGATATGGCCAAAACAAGGTTTATAAATATTTAAGTTTGTTTAAACCCCTTGCCCCAACCTTGACACATGGAAATTTTTCAGGACACAGCACCTGGTCATGAAATACATATCTGTGAAGTTCATATATGAAAATTTTACGAAGTAATTTAGAAAACATGAGCTGGACAAGCATTAACATGATTTAACCTTTGACCCCTGACCTTGATCTTTTGTGTATGGACATAGTTTTACACAACACTGTCTGATTGTGATAACTATATCTGTTAAGTTTCATATGGGAATTTCAAAGGTTAAGCTATTTAAAAGATATTGTTCGTACAAGGTATCAAAAGATGCAAGCATGCACAGAAAAACCAGTGAAGAGTCTGCTATATACCCCTTTACTTTGTAAGAGCGGGAGGGGGGATAATAGGGTAATTACACCAGCTTAGAACTGATAAAATCTTGGTTCTTTCAAGCAGAATATGAACAATCAGTATCATAATCATAACTTTAGTTTTCAAAATAAGTTTTTTCCAGACTAGGTTAGGTTTGTTTGTGTTTTACGTCCTATTAACAGTTATGGTCATTAAAGGACATGCCAGGTTTTGATGGTGGAGGAAAGCCAGAGTTCCCAGAGAAAAACTACCGACCTACGGCCAGTACCTGGCGACTGCCCCACATGTAGGCCTCGAACCCGCGACCCAGTGGTTGAGGGCTAGTGGTAGCAAAATTTCAGATGCCTGGTCGGGTTTTATAATTTGCTATTCAAAACAACATTTATTTGAGTAATCTATATCCTATCAATTCTTTTGAGAAATGTTTTATATATAGTGTAATATTTTACCGTAAGACATCCCTAACAATACATTAATTTAACGAATATAGCCTTCAATATTTTTCACAATGTAAAAGTGCTTTTTGGAAGGAGTGAAAAGATTTGCTGAATGAGAAAATACTCCCCAATTGCTAAGTAATACAAGGAAATATCTGGTTATTTTATTTACTGTGCATGCCATATAAAAACTCGTCCTATATGGCCTCATCAACTCAATCATTCTTCAATTGTTTTGAAAACGTGGTTGTTGTCAATAATTTCATACTTTTTGCCTTCAGAGTTAAGACACAAGAAAATTTCATTGTGAACTTTGAATATATTTGGAAACATTCTGACTGAAAAGAATTTTCTGTTGAGTTTGTCATCCCTATAACAAGATTTCTTCGTCACTTGGGTTTGTTAAGTGAGAGAGTGGTGAGTTGTATCCGTCGTCCAGAGGAGGAACGGATGTTGAGGCCTGCTATAGAGGGCTTCGGTTTGTCTTTATCCATGTCAGGCTGGCTGGTAGGAGCACTAGGCAAAACTTTCTCAACAGTTTGTGATGCCACCACATCGGAGTTCAATTTCTCCTCATCGACACAGTCTTTTGGCAGATCATCATTTGACGTTTCCAGAATAAGTTTAAGATCATTGCTACAGGAATCCGTCTCCATGATCATTGGGTCTTCACTCTAATATATAGAAATAACAAATGTCAAAATATGTACACGTCTTCATGTTAAATCTTGACACTGGTAATGAAACTAAAGAAAATAGAGCAAAATTGCAAAATCTTAAAAAGCATTTAATGATATAAGAAGCATTTCTAAAATGCTAACATGCAACCATACTTGATACTCCAGGGGTTACGCTCATATACATTCTCAGTACCAGGCATGAGAAAAAATAGAAAATGGAAGGCTCAATGAGTGCCACCTTATATATATATATAATTATGAATGAGACAGGAAGACTAGTTTGATCCTTTAAAGTACATCGAAAGTATCTTGTGGTAGTCTTATGGTAAAATTGACTGACTCTGAAGTCAGGTGTCACTCCTCTGTAATCCTTAAAGGACAGGTATCAACCTAGCGATTCAGATAGTTTTAAGTGAGACCAATCAAATAGCTAGCTGTGTGCCTTCAATTTTGCTATGACATATTCCAGGGGTGCAGAGAGCAAAAGTGGGTGTAATCCCTGGATTATCAAGGATTGCATACATCGGTGTGATAACACAAAAATTAGTAGTAGATAATCATAAATATATAGAGATTTTCCTAGCCTTTACAAAATTACAACACTTATTAAATGCTAAGTAAGTGTCATTCGATAGAAAATATTAAAACTGTTATCATAAACTTATTGAATTCCATATTGTGACAAATGTATTAACGAATAATATGAATACCTAATTATATTTATGTAATTTGATTTCAGTCTTCACATAATGTAATGATCTAGTTGAAGAATGTCAATAGCGGGCTACAGTATTGATATATTTTCTCATAGGAATTATTTTGTAAACACACTGTTGATAGTGAATGTTTTGATCACCGATTTATACTGACTTTGGCTTTGTTTTTGATATCATGGTAAGACAGCATACAGCCTTCAGCATATCTCACAGGATAAGGGAATGCTTACAATATTTAAATAATCTCAGTCTGTCAAATTGACACATTTCACATGCATTACGTAGAGGTGGATAACAGTCCCTACTCACTCTAGAACTATTTGAGGACGGAGCAGGACTTGGTTGTGATCGTTTCTCGTCTTTAACGTCTACCCCTGTGCTGTCAGACGGATCAGACACTTCCTCCGGTACGTACACTTCTCCAATCTCTCCCTCATCAAATACAACCATGGTACAGTAGCCGTCTGTAGAACTTACAAACAGGAATCGGCCATCTGGTGACCTTAAACAGTAACAAAAATCCTTCTTAAACCAAACAATTAACTACAGTTGTAGTTTCTGTTTCTACCCTAAGAATGAAATAGGGTAGGAAAGGAAAATAAAATTATATTTTGTTCAAATTATTCCCTCTTGATTATTTTCATATACATAATTTTACTTTCAAATCTATGAACAAGCAAAGCAAATAAATCCATTAGAAAGCATGTGGACTCTTTACACATATGTAAAACAGTTTTCTAGTGTTACACGTGTGAAAACAAATCTGAAGCTGACTGATCATGAGTCAGCCTGGAAACAGGAACACAAAACAATGACTTTATATTATTGCAGGATCTTGTACAATTAAAAGTGAATGAGAAAAACATCCAATACCAAAGACAGTGACATCATTTCTTTTAGAAAATTGGCATCAGCTGCAGCCCTGTTACATACAATATTTACCATGTAAAACAAAAATGTATGCAAGCAATATGAACACCATGTTCATAGTAATGCCATCAATGTATTGTTTAAAGATCTATATCATTACTGGTGTAAAATCAACCTCAGCTTTGATGTCTCTATACATTAACACCAACATCATACTGACACGATCTAAAATTAAAATCCAGATTGTAACTCTGACACAAATGTCCCATCTATCTTATTGAGGAACTAATCAGATACTACATAAACGATCAATGATGCCAAAACATAACCTGTCATCGAAACTTAAAAACAAAACCTGTCTTCGAAACTCAAAAACAAAACCTGGCATCATTCCCAAAAACTACCAGAAACATGGTCCATTTCAATTTGTTTCCAATCCAAAATTGAACTTACCAGGCGAGGTCGCTGAGTTGGTGATAATGTATATTGCTGATGTAGCCGAACGGTGTCAATTGTTGTGTGTCGTATAGTAGGATAGAGTCCTCCGTCCCTACAGCAAACACTATCCTGTAGGGCAGACTGTCGACAAACACATTCATGGTATCAATGAGTTTAAATGGAGTTTATGTTATGTAACTCAATGTACTATAAACAAGCTCAACAATTTATATTTAACATTATGATGGCAAGCAAACATTTCCATTAGTTAAAAACTCCTACATTATTAAACAATTTACAGCTACAGGAAATGAAGCTCACTGTCCAATCAAATTGTGTTTTTTGATATTTTAAGTCATCCACAATAAAGCTAAGGTACCTAGTCGATTAAGGGTCCTTGTCTCACTGCACTGTAGGTTTTCCTATAAACAATAACCCCCTTAACTTCCGCTTGGATATAACTGCAGCACAGTTGGGCTAGGATACATCCGATGACAAGCTGGTAGCTCAATCAATTAGAGCAATGGTATAACAATTTGAAGTACAGGGTTTGAATCTCTGTCTAGCCCAGTTCAATTTTTGCTCTTACAACACTGCTGTTGGTTCTATTTTGTTTATTTCATTTTTATTATTTCTCATATAAAAGTCCTGCAATGTATGGTTCTCTTTTTAGAAATGATTGATCAAAGCCTTAATCCTGCCAATAAAACAGTTTCCAGTGTTAAGTTGCAGTTTTCAGCAGTGGTAAGAGGATCCTTAAACAGTTTGCAATTCAGCCACCAGGAATAAGGTCACTTCACAAAACCTACGTCTAACTTGACCATCACATACATTGACACTGACCAGAATAAGACATCTCATTGCTTTCCAAGAAAGCATACAACACACCAAAGTAATACAACTAGTAGATATCTTGGATCAGATAAGAAACTTTGGTTAATTACTTACCAGAATAAAGTTGTATATTTTTCCCATTCTTTTAAATTGTTATTCGTATGATCTGGAAAAGAAAATTTAATCATTTAGTGAATTTTAATACAGACGCTATGAAATCTCTCTACAAATACAAATAAGTGTTCTTAATGTTTGAAAAAAAGAGGGGTTACTAGTAGTAAGTTATAGTTTACATTTTAAGGTGGATATAAATAATTCCGCACACTAGAATGTTTTTTTTTTTACATGATTACAATACAAATGTTATAAAATCTCTCTACAAAGAAACAATTCCTTCATGTTAATAGGAAAAGAGGGGCACTAGTAGTAATTTATAGTCTTCATTTTGAGGTGGATATACATAATCCTGTAGAAATAACACAACAAAGATAATTCATACTGAACATCAATTGATATTTCAATTTAAGTATGACGTACAATCTACATATATATATACGAGTTCCATTTCATACGAGGTTTAACAAGTTTGATTTCAGCATTTATAGGATATATAAATCATACTATGATCACTTCAAAAAGATTTTCATAAAATATGTGTGAAATTAAAAATTCAGCCTTTTATTTATCATATAACTCCTAAACAGCTAAATAAAACTGTTTATTTGGCATACCATCTGATTGTCAATGATGTCCTGTATGTTGTAAGTAGCCTTTGCTCATATTATTAAGACATCACAAAAGAAATACAAACCGATGATATTTGTACAAGGTTGTACCTTATATACGACATGACACAAATATCAGATGCAACATGGTTGCCTGATCAACTAGTATAAAGTTCAAGAATATATCCCAGACATAATTTATTTGTACCTGTTGTTCCATTCCGGTGTATTTTGCGAAGTTGGTACAGCAGAGGGCAACACCTGGCACATATTGTGGCTTTTTTGGGACTGGGTAGATAGACAGCTGGCCTGAAATGAACATTCTTATTTAGACCTGCGAGTAATTATTGAACATGGATATACAGGAAACACTCCAGTTTATACAAGTGTTCTTACTGAACACAGAAACACACATTCAATGTCCTTCACTTTTAAATCTGGTTTTGAATGCTGTATGCCTGGAAATGTTTGCTTAAGTTTAAACTTCCACAATGAGATCAGGACAGCAAAGACTTTTTAACATCATACTACGTACAGAAACAGGTGAAGGTCAAAATACACAGAAGGCAAATTAAGATTTATCCAGTAATGAGTAGAAGATTGACTGAGTACAATTTTCATGGAATACAATTTACTTACTTGTTTAAGTTGTGCCTAGAAAATAGATATGTAGAGTTGATAACCTTATCTCCGATCTCCATACAACCTGCGGGCGTAATCAGAATCTCACCATCGGGAGAAAATGTTAGTCTTCGGAAGAAAGATCGCATAGTATCGTCATGAAACATCCTAAAACTCTTGGGTTTATCTGGTTTAACATCAGTTTTGAGGTCTGTGTCATCCTCTTTCGGAGGTTTTGGAAGAGGAAGGCTCATCTTGGAGATATTGTGTACACAGTTCTTGCTGGCCACACTGTACACACGACAAGATCTGAAAATTATGAAAAATTCTGGAGTAAACTGATGTTTAGTGCAACAGTGCAGTAAATTTGCTTTTTAATTTCAATGCTATTTCCCATCAGAAATTGTCTTGCAGCAAAAGTATAACTGTGGTATCATTATCATGTGATGCCTAATATGGCAGGGTATGACAGTGACAATTTTTATTATCAGTTCGTAAGCATCTTTTTTGTAATATAATGGGAGGAAGTACTGGACATTTTAGCATCAATGGTAGACATGAAACACTATAACAGTTGGTAAAACAGTTGTTTTCCTGTCCACCAGACCCATGTCACAGTACAATATCATTGTACAGTGCTAGCATAGTTAATATTTTTATAGTAGTGTTTCATGTCCATCATTGATGCCATAACAGATTCCTTATTCTACCAACCCGACTCGCCTAATGCTACATCTTTGCTCGGAGCTAGTAAAATGTTTCTACCTCTCGCTAGTTTGCAGATAAGGTTCAGTAATTAATACAAATTCGGTTTTTTTTCGATATACATATTATAATGCAAACTAACATGAGTATAATAACGATTTTGAAAGAATTTCATTAAACCTGAATTCCTCAAAAACATTTGCTCCGTAGTTTACTGATAAAAGTTATGAAACATAACAGGCATTTGAGATTACCTTGGTGGTTCTTTCCAAAATCTATTAGTCACTATGTTATGAATAACCAAAGAAACAAACAGATTAAATGCCTTTCTTGAAGCTTCTACTTTAAGGACTACACAGTGTTCCTGCTGAACTTAAGATTTGGGGTATATTTGATACATTTTCAAGATTCTGTACCCCTTGGTACTTAGTTACATAGGACAATCCTATCAAACTGTGGGTACAACCAACTGTTTTATGGGTGGAATACTCTTATTTGGGGGTTTCTGGGAACACTGTTACAGGTTTGCCCCCAATCCCTCCATACACCATTGTCCAGGGCATAGCTCATAAGCCATGCCACTTGTAACCAATTTTTGTTTTCCATGTGCTTAAGATGGCAGAATGTTGCTTACTGAAATTAGGTTTGAGCCACACTTTTTACACAATTATGGCTCTTTGTTGTGTACAATGTTGTCTGTGGCATATTGTTATGCTCCATCACCTGCACATTCCTCAATTTTACCAGCAAAAAACTTTTAGGATGGTGCATCACATCCCAGAGTATACAGCCCTTGGTCCATTTTTATACTAAAACTTGCCCATAAATGGGGAACTATACATTGCATACAACACTTCCCTTCCATCAGTGTCCATACCTGTCAGTACACATAGTTGCCACAAATTCATTCTTGGGGTCAAAGGCTACACCCTGCACAAAACTCTTGTGTTCATTAAACAACGCTAGCTTCTGGTCTGGAAAATAGAATTGAATGGTCAAAATTTAAGACTGCACAAATGTAGAGTTTTTTTCTTTACTATGACTTAAGCATTGAAGTATTTAAATGTTAAAAAAGAATATTATACATTTAACAAAGTATTCAGAGTTTGTCACAAATATCACAGTCATGTGATGCTAGTCTACATTTAAAAAATATATGTACACATCAGGTTTCTTTAAGGCCATATCTATATATTTGTAGCACGTGTTCCTTTATAGAAGGCACAGGATGGGAACATTAGTTTTTAACCAAGACATTGTAGGAACATTGTCAAATTTGAAGCACAAGATTACTAAAGAAACTCAATATATATTTTCAAATATGTTGAAGTTCTAGAGTGAAATCTGTTTGTATTCAAGAATTTTCTTATCTTATTCAATAATATAAGAAATAGAGCAATACGCCAAAAGTGTATCACAACACATTGCAATACAGAATGAATATATTGCGATATGTATCCCGATATATTGTCATAGGGAAGATGTGCTGGATTTTATTATAAGTTGTTGTCAGAATGTTATCAAACTCAATCATATATAATATGGATTACATAGATTTAAGATTTTTGTCAGACCAACAATCGATTACAAAATTTGAACCATTAAAAGCCTGCTTTAAACTTATCGGCATATCTGTTAGAATATTTGTAGTAATTTGCAAAGTTTAAACACCAAGCAGATACATAAAAACATGCTTTTGAAAAATACTGCGATACAGCAATATTTCATCTCTGTAATGTGGTATGATATGATATACCCGTGTATTGCGATATACCTGTTTTCCGATATATTGCGACAGCCCTTATTAGAAATATTGAAAATTCATAATCTACCTGTTACTACCTCCTTAATATTGATGCTATGAAAAGGTCGCTTCAATGTCACATGCTCACCTTTAACAAGATCCCAGAGAATAGCACTGTTGTCCACTGATCCAGAGATCATGTACTTGCCATCTGATGACCAGCTCAGATCGTAGATATCCTCAAGGTGACCCCTGTAGATTAATCATTTCCAAATCAAATTTGCTAGGATGGAATCAATTACAAACACTTAGCAAATCATTTGTTCATGCAATAATTTTCTGTCTAATCTTTTATTTACCTTGAGGATATATTGTGATAAAACAGATAACTCAGAAATACATTAATGAAATACCTATATGCATCAAACATGCTTTGCATAATCTCTAACATTATATTCAATACTCTGAATTTTTCCTTTAATCTGAATCCTCAAGTTTATATTGTTCAAAGTTTATTTTCTGTTGACCTTGATAACAAACATCAAATTCCTAGATCAAGACCTATTAAAGTATATTGTGGATCACCTGAGAAAGTGATTGATCATGATCACAATCAATTTTCTAATAACACTATGGATCATTCAAAATACTAATTATTTTCTAATAACACTATGGATCATTCAAAATACTTATTGATGACCCAAGGAACTAAAAATTAAGTGAATTACCTGTTTACATTAAGAATGATCCTACAATATTATAGATTGTCCCAAAACCCTATGGGTAACCCAAAAACTTTAAGGATCACCCAAGAACCTTTTGGGTTACCAAAGAAAACTCGTTGTTACTATAGAACATTGTCGGTCATACGAGAAAGTGATACACAAGGAGTTTTGCTGTTACTGCAGATTAGCCGAGAAACTTTACGGTTACCTTAGAACCTTATGGGTGACCCAATTCTCCTTGTTATCCTCCTCTTCCTCCTGGAAGATGCTGTTGGCCGGAGTGGACTGGTCACTCAGCTTCCAGAATATTATCACAGAATCTGGCAAGAACAACATTTTATTAAAATAGTATAACTTTTGTACAACATGTCATTAAAAAAGTAGAACTTTTAAGACATAATTTGCCAAGTGTGACAAAAACATTTATAAAAAAAAAAATGTTTAATCAAAATTTCATTTGGGTTTAATTTCGACACAGTATTTTGAAATGCTGGACTATACTTTAAAATGATAATTGCAACTTCTGTGGGAAAAAATGGGCAAATTAACAAAATAGAAACATTTCCAAAAATACCTTCTTTCTAGAACTGTACTGTATATTTATCAAGTTACAATCATATCTCCTGTATCGTACAAATGTTCAGCCACAGTAACATGGTACAATAGGTTTTGCTTCAGTTTTCATCACAATTTTCTACATTTACATCTGACAGGTTGATCGTAATTTGCCAGAAATACAGGGCTTTCCATCTTCACTTGTGTGACTACCTAACATCATCCCATTATCTTTAAGTAATTGATAATGGGTAAAAACAGTGAGTACACTCGAGATGCCCCGACTACACTAGCAAGAGCTGCCCATGTAGCTGCCCATGTAATGTGTTACTTTCAAGACATCAAAAGTTGGTGAGATTAATTTGGTAACACATAGAAATGTGAGAAAAAGTACAATAATTGGGGTGCCATGCAGGTTTCCTGCTTAATTTAATACAAAAACAGTCAAAAGCAATCACAGTGTGAGAATATTTAATGCAATTAATCGTAATATGAGTTTTCCCATTAAAGTTGATCAAGTGGAATCTACTGTATACATTTTAATCAAAGCAATAAGTCTGATAATCTAATATCTTACCATCTCCAGCAGATGCCAGCATCTCACCTGAATAGAAAACAGACACTGAATCAATACTGAGATACATAAGAAATGTGAATATCCTGTCCCATTAAATATGTACATCTAATACCAGTACATGGAAGAGCGTGTCTTCATGTATAAAATCAGGGCTAGGATATAAGGGTTGCCTGATAGTCTAAGCTAGTGAAATGTCCGGATGGAATAGTGGTTCTAAAAAACACTAGCCGGATTGACAAGTCAAAATTTGATATTACTTCTCTCGTTGAAAAATATTTGGTTTCTGGAATTTGCACATGGACTATAGTAAAATTGAAAACTACTAGTCTAACTGACTAATGGTTTTGAAAATTAATTTCCAGACCTAAAAATGTTTTAAATACTGTTATTCACGATTCAAATAACTCATTGAAGTTTTGAAAATTCATTAATTATTGATAGAATGAATTACTGCTGATAAGAATGAAAAAGGTGGATAAACACCGATACCACATTCTGTCAAAAATCATTTTGGACTAATTATAGGTCTAAGATACAACATGCGTGTTCAAATTCATTATACTTTAAGTGAAATAGTGATTCCGTAACTGTCATTATTGTTGTGCACATTGAACTACATTGCTATAATTTGTATTTTACTGGTTACCATATGCTTTCAGGTTTTAAAACTTCACAGGTCATTATTAGCACAGATGAATGAATCTGACAAAAGAATCCTAAATTTGTTTTCCCATTCTATGAGATAGGTAAAACTTGCCTAAGTTGTATAATCAGATCACCATTGACATTAAAATGAGTTTTTCTGGACATGTTTCAAAAATATCACTTGAAATGTAAACTTATCAAGAACTCTTATAAAAGAGAAATTATTTCTGCATTAACCTGATAGAGATTGACATGCACTGAGCCCTGTGGGCTAGCACATAAACTCGGACTCAAAGTAGGCATTGAGCTTAATGCAGGACAGTGAAATAGCGTTGGTTTGCATTTCTACTGAACTGAATAAGACATGGATGGGCTGATTAGCAGGCATTTGCCTATTGCTGAATAAATACAGTAAATAGCTTGGTACAACTACATGTGACAGTATACCGTCTGGAGAAAATCGGCACACATTGACAGCCTTTGTGTGACGCTTCAAGTTAGACAGGAAATCCACTTTTCCTTTTCCATCTCCTCCCAATGTTACATGCCAAATCTGAAAGTAGCAAGTTTAAACATAACATTTTGAGAAACTCAATCATACAAAGTAATACGTATAAAACATCTTTATTAAGCATGCATATCTTTGGTTGGATATATATTTATACCATAGGTGCAACTATTGCTCAATAGACAATTATGAATACGGTAAACCTTCGGTCAGTTCGAACAAAATTAAATAAATATTGATGAACCTGTTCGGATTATACAAAATTATGCTTCAGAAATTAAGCGCGAGTTCGAACTATCGGCAAAAATTTCGGCAAAGTGTAAATCAAGTCACAAACATATACCCGACATATTTTCTTCACCGGAGTATACCTCTATATATCCAATGTAAGGTGATACGTAACAACGACGGCCTGGCATAGAACAATGGCACATTTATAAATGGGTAAAATGATAGTATATTATTTAATTCAATGTTAATTGATCATTAAACTTTCTTCATTTCCTGATAATTATTATCGTTATTGCGAAGCAGAGGCCATTGTGTAGGCCCCTAAACAGTCAGTACACGTTTCATTTGTGACACAAAAGTTAGACTACCTAGCTTGTGTCCTGATACCTACCAAACATAGTCGAAACTTTCAAAATTACCCATCGCTAATTGGGACACCTGTGGATTTTTGGACTTTGACATGAATGCTAACACGTCACTCACAATGGCTGGGCGGACGATCCCTCCTGCGACATCGTATCCTACCCTAGCTACCTGGTGTGAGGGCACACAATAATTAAGGGATGTCTGGTCGCAATTAAATAATCAAAATGTTTAGTTAACACTGTATTTGACAATACAAGGGCGATTTCTTAGTTTGNATTAGTTTAATCGTGACAAAATCTTCAACTAGTTGAAGGTGGTCACTATATGGTAGAACTAGAACTAGTTAAAAGTGAAATGTTCCACTGACTAAGTTTTGGCATGGGCACAACTGAATCAAACCTGGGCTGGTATCTGTAGTTGAGTACTTATAGTGCTCTGCTATGATGCACCCTTTAGAAATTCCTTTTGATTGTATATGCAGATTTAATAATAACCTACAATGTTTTATGAGAATATTGTCAAAACATGCGTTCATTTTTGGCATTTTGGAGAGATACAATTTAATGCTTTTGTCACATGTCACACCCTAACCCCACCAATACAAAATGATATGGGAGTTTGTAAACAAGAAAGTATTGTTCAAACAATAAAATTCTGTCAGCACTGATAAATGGCATTATTAAAAAAGGGATCGACACCCTGCAAAATATAATTTCAAAATAACCTGCGCATTGTGAGCTCAAAGAGTAACATTTTAAGATACAATTCGAGTACACCTGCTACACCATCTCCCCGATCGGAGTAACAAAGACATCTGTCAACTTTTTCTGACAGCGTAATCGTCAGTCCCAAATACCACGTACATCGCGGTAAAATGCACGTTAACAGTAATACAAAATGTAAATACTAATTGAAATAACTTATATCAAACCATCTCTACCCGTATAACAACGACATATAGTAAAATCGTAAAAACAGAGCCAGCTGATGTTATTTGCATAGCATTCCCACTGACGTTTTTCATCAAGCGATGAAAGTGGGCAACCGCGTGCATTTTTATTGATGTGTCAGGAAAATAAATTATGCCATACATATCACAACTGAGCATCAAATTATTAAGCATCGTTTACCCTGTCTACAGCGGCTGTAAGCCTCCTAAAGACTCCAGGAAAAGTTAAAAAAAAATCAGAATTTCATTACAACACACAAATTTGGCGGCAATATTCCCAGAATAAACTTGGCGCTGTCAACAAAGCGCTTGAATTCTAGAAATATAATAACAGGAACCGGAGCAACATTCGGATAATATCAATCAACAAAATAAATATTTCTCCCTGAATAGTCTAAACTAAGTAATAAACTCCATATTTCTTATTTGTTCATAGACACATTGATATGGAACTCAAAAATCATAACATTACGTTTTTATTTCAATAAAAAAAATGTACTTAAGTGGTTTTAATTCAGTCAGTACAACATCCCCACTTACATATATTTAAAGTAGTTATCATTCTTTGTTTTTTAATTAATCTATTTATTTCAAATCCCCTAACAGTTCTAAAATGAAAATAAGAAAACTATGTCAAATCACGGAATTAGATTATCTAAGTCCGTGGTCAAATCAGAGACGTATATATACGTCTCTGGTCAAATGTGTTTTTTTTCTACATGAAAACCACAGACTTAAATAAAACAAATAATAAAATTCACCCGTTTAATTCGTTTTCATCATAGTGACCAAAAATTCCTTAACATAATGGAAAATGGTGTACTCCAGCCAAATATAGGTCAATTTATTTTTTAACGCGTTTAGGTAGAAAACTATACATGCAGTAATCTAAGTAATGAGCATAATATATGTGACATTTTACCAGTACATAATGATATATCATCCGATAAAGTACCAAAGCGGTTTTCTCGCTAAAGTTGGTAGTACAGGAATAGGTAATGAAATACCTTATAATTAGCAACAAATATTTATATCTATATAATTGGCCTCTTTAAATGTGGTGGCTCTTTTATATTTAATGTATATTATTGCCTTTTTGGAGTCTCTAAAGTCAAATTTACTTTGACACCAATATGTAACAGTTATAATATCTTTTACTTTGACACCAATGTGTAACAGTGTTATAATATCTTAGGATAAGCTATATATATAATAAGCTGACAAAAATATTGGTCCTTTTAAATTTGGTGATACTTATATTATTTTAAGATAAATTATTGTCNTCATTGGTCTGTGTGAGAAAATTACGTCATTTTTCTCAAAATTTGATGATGTTATTCTCACAAACAAGTGACGTACCAATCAATACCTGCTCCCAAGAGAAGATTACTCGGCAATACGCAAAGACGGAAGAGTAAGCTGACAAAAATATTGGTCTTTTTAAATTTGGTGATACTTATATTATTTTAAGATAAATTATTGTCGTTTGGAGTTGCAGAAGTCTACATTGACTTGGACATCAATGTGCTAAAATAACTTATGGATAGTTGTTATAAGTATTGTTCTCTCAAACTACGATGACACTTGTTCTTTTGTATTTTATTGCATTTTTGACTCTCATAAGTAATAATTTACTTTGACAACAATATATGTGGAAATAACTTAAAACTATATGATATAATAAGCTGACAAATTTCTGGTGAAACTTATTCCAAGGTTAATATAATATTGCCTTTTCAAGTATCATAAGTCAAACTAGCTTTGACAGGAATGTGTGGTTATAAGGTATAATAAGCTAAAGTAAGCTGACAAATATTGAGCTTTTTAAGGTATATTCACTGCCTTTTTAGTGTCTCATAAGTCGATTAACTTTGGCTGGTTATTGATCTAATTTTATGTACATTTTATCTGTTTTATATGTAGATCAATATGTGACACTGGAATAAAATTGTTTTATTATTATTTATTGTTATTTTATTATTATTATTATATCACATGTAAATGATATTTAGATTATGTAGGTATACACCTAATCAGTATTTTCAGAAGGTTGAGTTGGCAATATCTGGGGGGGGGNGCAGTACTGTACTCCAAAAAACACAGAATTGTGTTATTTCCTAATTAGTGTCACAACCTCACTTGGGTTATATTAAGTAAATATATTTCTGGGTGTTATTTCAAAATGGAACACGGAATTTAATATGTCATAAGTATTTTCTTTTTGGTATAGACTAGCAACGTAACAAATATTTTTCTTCCATTGACAAATGGCAACATACTCTATACTTTTCATCAGATTGATTAAAAAACCCCACAATATATCAAGTTTAAGTTAGTCAAAGTTACAGTTATCATGTTATACGCTTTCCAGTTTGCCTACATATACACATGTAGATTTGTACGATGACCATACTGCTCCTGCGAATTGTTACTGTGTCCTCTCCAGGCACCTGAAGAGTGGCAGGATCATCAAACTGTATTTCCTACAAAAAGGAGATAATTATGTACAAGAAAACAAATTACAATAAAGGACAGAAAATGCCGCGGTAGTTAACTGTGTACTCGCGAACGCGAGATAAAGTCTATTCTCGTGAGTTCGCGAAACGCGCAGGACGAAGTATGCTGTATCATCAGAAACAGTTTTTGTGTTGTATCATCCTGAAACTGGGGGTTTGTAGTCGCACCTAATAAATTGTGAACAAAGGTAACATTTTCATGTTGATCAATGGAATTGAACACATTGAATCCAAACTTACACAGGGTCATCTGAGGAAAATGAGCCCGCAGTTCACTGGTGTACTCACAAGTACAGCAATAGTGGGATATGATGTCGCAGCAATGTTGGGAAATGTTCTTGTCAGGTGGCCCTGCCGAAGAAGGCTTTGCAAATAATCTGCACAATGAGTAAATTGCTTCTATGTCTGTGTTAGATTTTGCCGTGCGCAACATTATGTACGGGTTGTAGGAGGAGTGACAGTTCCTAAATATATTAAAATCACGGTTGTTTCTGAGTCGACCTTTTAAGGCCAGGTCCTCTGTAGCCATTATGGAATTTCTCACTATTCCCTTCCACTGAAGCTTAGAGGGGAACGTGTAGTTACGAAAGTGTGCATCCAAATAAGACGACAGGTTGTATCTGTAGAGTATCCGCACAATATCCAGAACAAACCCTCTTTAACGACCACTTCTAACATTATCCGTTTGCAGATGAAGAAATGAATGGATAAGAGAGACTGCTCCACTAGAACAAGCTTACTCTTATCAATAGCTGCAGAAATGATAATCAAACCAAGTATAGACTCAACAATATCTGACCTGGCACGACGATCAACTCCAAGAATGACCTTACAAATGTACTAAGTTTCGCGAGGTCGGAAGTACCTAGTTGAACCCAGTGCTCACATCCATATAGAATTGACGACAGTATCACTTTCTTATAAAGACTGATTTTTACTAGAGGGTTGATATCACATGCTGAGGGACACAGACATATGGTAGAATGTAGAGTTGTTCTCCCTTTGTCACACGCAGCCTGGATGCGTTCGGCGTCAGACATTTGAGAGCTTACAATAGTTCCTAGATGAACTTGAGAGGAGGTGGTCTCAATAGTGACAGGACCAAGCATCCAACTAGTATCAGGCGGTCGTGGGACGTAATTTCCAATAACAACGGTTTTACACTTTAAGTGATTGAATACGAATTTCCAATCACCACTGTATTCATAATAAATGTTCAGAAGCTTTTGAAGTGAAAGCTGGGAAGTTGTGATCAAGGATATGTCGTCGGCTAACGTCTGATTTCCAGTAAATAACCATCGGACTTTAGCACCAAGCTTACTATTTTCTGAACTGCAAAGAAGGGAATCGATGAAAGTTTGGTATAGAAATGTGAACAGTATTCCTTCTTGTCGAACCCCTGGCTCAACAGGAAACCAAGGTGACAAGGTGATAACTCCTATGTCCTTTTCCTTAACCGATGTTTCCAGGATTTTTTCCTTGTATGTTGTATGATTTTGGCATTTCATTCTTCGGTTCTGTGGATCGTCCAATAGGAATATAGAATCTATGTACATTTTCCAGGATGCATCTTAATTAACCATTCGGCGCTCTATTTTTCCATTACATCCTAATCTTCCTGTAGCGAATCCTTATCCTCTAGTTTGGTGATTATCTTAAAGATTTTCGTGTCGTCAGCAACAAATACATATCGGAACAAACTGTTTCAGGTAGATCATTTACAAATATAGCAAACAAAGGGACCAAGTACTGATCCTTGTGGAACCCAGTAGCCATTCCATTCGGAGTATTCATTATTTACCGTGACGCGTTGGGTACGATTAGACAAAAACGAAGTAATCCAGTTAACTGTTTGACATAAAGTGTTGTTATATTCCAGTTTTGCTTATTGGTCTTTTTTATGTGGAACAGTATTACATTATAATACAGAAAAATAGGTAAGACTGTTCTTTACACTCCTTTTTTTCTAGACGGTCAATTTTAAATCTGTTCGGTGATTTATATTCTACAATATTTTTTATGTTGTGCTTCTTTCCTTTCAGCTTCGTGAAATAATTACAAAATTGTTAAATTCATCGGAGAATATATCGTGATTTCAGAATGAGAAATCATCACTGGCAGCCATATACATTATAAAACAGATACAAAACGGGCAAGATTGTCCTTTACACTCCTTTTTCCAAGACGGTATATTTTAAATCAGTTCGGTAATTTAAATTCTACATATCTTATTAGTTTTCTTCTTATATATCGACTTCATAAAACATTTCGAATATTGAGTGACATATCATAAAAAAGTTTTAAGAGAAAAGTATGATTTCACAATAAAGCCTTTTTATAAGACTATTTTTTCACTTTATACCTATTTGTTAGTTGTGTAATATAAAGCTTATAATGGGACACTCGTACCTAACCCATATAACCCCTGGATAGAAGTCATAACAGGTGTGAATGTGACTTACCTGTGAGGAGATCTTACGGGGACCGAAATAAGGGAAGCAGGAGTAAAAAAGCCTTAGGGAATCGGTACTGGCAGGGATGTGTCCCTGGTACTGGTAACGTTAATTGTAATCTTACTCCTCTGGCTAATTAAATTCTAGGGAAAGGTTTATGACATATTGACACACCCTGCCAAATTCATACCTGAACTCGTCATAGGTAACAATTATAGTTTACATGTAAACACACTAATTAGTCACCCTCATCATAAACTTATACATATCACCATGTGCGTTCCTTACCCATGACTTGCTTAAATTTATATAACACAAGTTACACCTATTTCAGTATTCAGATGTTCTATTATCATTTAATTAATTGTCAATTTGCGTTCCGTAAATAAAAATTTGTCTCCGATACTTATAAAACTTAAAATTATAAAAGAAAATCTATAGCAAAAGCCGATAGGTATCTACGCTTATTTGGGCGACTGCTGCAGCCCAAGATGCCAATGTCTGGCTTTCTACGAGACGGTCACTGTGTAAAGGGGGATAACTCAGAAACATTTCACATTGAACAGAAATATTTATAATAATATTGGTCAATATCATTCTGACAAAATCCAAACAACGCTTAACTGGTGTTAAAAGACATTTAATAAAAAGGTCAACAAGTATGCGGCCCATGTTTGATTAAAATGTGTAGATATTGGTAGTATGATGAAAGGCCCAAACGAAGTTTAGGCTTAAGCTGTTCTATGTAATAAGGCCCATGCAGACGATAATATTAAAAGATGCATTAACTAATTTTGTGAGTGAATGCATTCAGTTTTGCTTTAAACAATATTTGCTCAAGCCTCAAATATGGCATTTGATAAATATTTTATACTTATGATTTGAACTGAATTCTTAACTGTCATTGTTAGTGTTGTTTATCAAATGCCTTTTCAGCGTATTGCCTAGTTACGACGCCATTTTGAATGTAAACTGTGACGGTATGAAGTTGGTGTTAGAGACAGACTTGTGCTGAAGTTTATAAAGCAACAAATCCAATGCTTGCCTAGCCGTAAGTGAACATTTACCATATGTATATAACTTTCAACTATGTTTTCTTATCATATGTGTCTGATCATATATGTATTTATCGTTGTAAATGCAAACATTCGAAAGATTTCCGACCAAGGTGCTCGGCATAATCGGCGTCTTTTGAACAGGTTGGGCACAACGGCGCATATGGGTAATAATCCTGCATTTGGGTAACAGATACCGATTTGAGTAAAAAAATAATTACTGAAATGGGGAATAAAGTGAAATGAAAACGCAGGTAGTTCTTTTAAATATTATGAACAAAGACAAATTGTGTCGCCTTTTATTTCTTATAGTGTGTGTTGAGTAGCTACAGTACAGTATCTGGTATACATAGTAACATACCACACAGACAAATTCATGCTTACCTGTCACATTTGCACTGGATGATCCCATTGACTACACACTGAAGTCGATGGAGAACAAAGTCAGTGATTTGGTTTGTCATTTTCAAGGTTAGACATCAGAATTGAAAACTTTTGTACAAATGCGATTCATTGTGTTATCTATTAGACTTAGTTCAATAGTTGACATACTAACATCCTTTTTTGCTCCAAGTGTTAAATAGAATTTTGTGTGGTTTTATTTCATTTTATTCCACATTTCAGTAATAAAATTGTTACTGAGATGGGTAACTGTTACCCAAATGCAGGATTATTACCCATATGCGCCATTGTGCCCAACCTGTTGAAACATAAGGACAAGTGCATTATTGTTGCAGCTTAAAAGTGTCACTAGACAATGTTGTTCATAAAATGGGATATATAACATGATAATTTAGGAAAATATTTCAAATGATGTATTAACACTGCAGTTATTTTATCAATACTACGTACCAATATCATATGTAATATACTATATTCATGGATTACCAGTTTAGCTCAATTCAGTGATTCTAATATTACAGATTGAGATGGGACTGGAGTATTCATATTATGAATGTTGTGTATGTAGTTGAAAAAAATACAGTACAGTAGTTATACCCTTACCCTCCCCACAGTTCACAACAAGATATAGGACAGTCTCACAAGTCGAAGACTTACAACGACTGGAAGAACAGTGCGAACAGTGCAAATATATTAAGTTAGCATTCCATTCTGGTCATCAAGTAAAATTTATGTAAGGATGCAAATCATTCACTCACTCCCCCCTCTTTAATTAGGGTGGCAGGGTTGTGGGAGAGGGGGTCTCCCCCATCTCCCACCCTGCCACCCTAATTAAAGAAAAAATCTTCTGAGACAAAAAGGGGGGAAGAAAACAATGCAGAATTCTTATTTGATGGCCCTTTGGTGTACTTTTTGACTATTTCATATATTTCGTGTACTAGCTCAGTTAGATTTAAAAAAAAAAATATACAAAGTAAATATTGAGCATTTTTGAATGGCCTTGACTACAAATCTGGTACTACTTCGAGATGCTGGACCAGATTTGACATCTCTGGGCCACCTGTTGTCCATTTAAACCCTGTAAATCTCAAGTGTTAAAGACCTTTCTATGGTCGCAGCAGAGGAAGTCTGGACAGACAATCTAGGGACACTGTTAAAATAGCACATGCAAAAAAGCTCTACATTTTCCTTTTAAGAACGTGAGACTTATTGATGTATTGTTTTTGTTGATTATTACATTACATCTCCAGCACGCATGCAGGCATACACACATAGAGAGGTATTAGCCAGGTGGCATAGGACTGGTAGTAAGCGCCTGAAAAAGCAGCTCCTGCAAATTCCTCAAAATTGTATTGATTTATGTATATGATAATTGTATTAATGTACTGTAAAGCACTTTAGAGTGGCTAATGTTAGCTAGATAGGGTGCTATATCAAATGTTGTACATGTATATTGTATATTATCATTATTATTATTATTTCAGAAAGAACAGCATGTCTTCATCAAGACAGAGTAAAAGCTCACATGGCGGGAAACCGTTTTCTGCCAACAGAACCAGACTGGACAGTGGTGTAAAGACCACAGCTGATGGTCAAAGATACCCAGAAATTAAACAGAGAGGGTACTACTCTGATATCATAGGGGAAGACGCAAGTGACGGAAGATTAGAGGTAAGTTTATTGATAATTTTGGTGCCAAGTTTTCCGTGTACAAACGGCATAAGTGCTATAGAAAAACTGGTAAACAATTTAAATTTTACTTATTTTTTCATCATCTATATGTGTTTCTGTCTAGTATAATATAGTTATTTCAAATAAATAGTTGCTAGTGTTTTGTTTGTGCTTTGAATGTATATTTTTTCTTATAAAAAATGGATATGACTATTACATATCATTAGATGTCAAAGAAGTCAGACTGAGTCTTTTGATAAATCAAAACTAAAATAATCAATCCTGATTTTAAAATTGTCATCAACTTTAATACCTTTTGTCACCAATTTATACAACACGACTTTATTAATATGTTTTAATACCAATAGGTTAAAAACAAAGATGTAACAATTTGTCAAAAAAAACACCTTTCTCTTTCACATTATATATATATATATTAGCAGACCAACATTTTCTAACCTGTGCATGTCAGTCATCTGAAATATAATATAGAAATAGGATTTTTTTAACTGAATTGAAATAGCTGATTAAATACATGTATTAGTGTTCATACAACTTCTGAGTTCTGAATGGTCATTCTCTCATGATTTGCAAAAGATTTTGTGTTTCTGGTTTCTCTTCCAACCTTCTATTTTGACAACTGACCCTAAAATGTTTATGATGTAATCAGAAACACACATTAACAATTTTTTCATTTTAGGCCTTAAGACATTTCCTTATTTCACAAGAAGGTGCAAATGTCAACTTGTCTAATTGCCAAGAATTTATGTCATTTGAATATGACCTATAAAAGAGTATTTTAAACAACTTTCTGGTTGTAAGCCAATCTGATTTGTTCTTCAGAATGTCCTGAATGGCCCCCTTACAGCCCAAGACACACTTTGGACCGTGTCCAAGGAAAAACACACTCCACAAGGTGAGTATCAAACAAAGACCAGGGTTTTATAAGTATTGTATACTTGGTTAAATAAGTAATTGTTAAAATTCTAACTTATAAGTATGTTGTATTTAACCAACAAGGTTCTATACATTTTTAGTTTCATGACATTAGATATATAATTTGTCATTGGTACATAAATGGAAGACATAGAGCATATGTCTTTATACAGATGTTGACACAAAGAAATTGGAAACAAATATTATAATTATGATATCTTATATTAATATGATATAAAAAAAAAGTAGTAACAAAAATAAAAATAAAAAAGTTACAAAACTTATGTAGATACAGGATTCCAATTGTTCAATGTTAAAAAGAAACTTAGATAATTCATATTTGATTATCCTAAAAGAAAATCACATCAGTAGTGCAGTCCAATTCCAAACAATGATCATTTCTGAAATTTCAACTGATGTCTCATCACTTTATATATTGTGGGAAATTGCCACTGTTTAAAAAACAACCTTGAAAAACTCATATCATTGTATGGAATACTGTCAAATTACTTTCATTTGTTATAATTTGAGGTAATCCAGTTTTCTCTCAAAATGAATTTAATTAAATAGAACTGACCTTTTTACTTTTAACAGGCAAGTTGTTATTATAAATGCTTTTTGTTTGTAGTTACTACTTTTGAAGAAAATGCAGATGTGTTAAAGAAGTTACAGAAACAAGTGTATGGACCTAGTTCTGAGATCACAACTATATCTGTAAGGCACATTCTTCTCTCATATTTTGTAAATATTAAATAAAAACTGTCCAGACTAATATGGTCCTACGTCACTTCTCTTTGTGCGGATTATGAAGCCATTATTTGTAGTATGTGGAAAAAATTGTAAGCAATATTTTATAAAGTTAAAGGGTGCCCCCTTGTCTTTGATATTTTGTTTTGTTATTTTAATCATTATTTTGATTTGCATAAATCAACATTCCACCCGTTTCTGATTTTATTTGCTACTACATGTACGTGTATTTTGAAAATGTGTGCCATCCTGTTAAAAAATTCCTGCATACACCTGGACTTGTCCAAATTCTTTGGTACATCAATTTAATTGTTGTTTTTTAAGCAAATGGTAACATTAGCTATACAAGATTGAATATATAAACAAAACAGATGCCGTAAAAATGCATTTATGGATTGGTTTCTGGAAGAAAGTAATTAAGTCAAAGTTTTGGAAGAAAATATTGTAATGTACAATATTAACCTTTTTTTCAGGACTTCCCCAGGCAAGCGTCGGAACCTAAAGTACAGCTTCCATTTTACACCAAACCTGGAGAATGTCCCAGAAAGATTGAAATTGAAAGGTTTGTTCTTATTTTCATTGAGTATGTCACATGGAACTAGTTCGCAGTGTAGAGCTTGCACAAGATCTCAACATACTTATGCCTACTACTCACCACAATTGAAAATCTCCCTGAAAACTATCAATTACATTCTGTTTGTCACTGTTTAAAAAAAAAAATGTGTGTCTCTGTCATTGTTTTAGATTTAATAAAATTTTACTTATTCTTATTTGATAAATTAAACGAAGAATCCAATCTGTTGACTGCTTTGTAGGTCATTTTCAAAATGTCATAAAGAACATTTCCCAGAAATGGATCAGAAGAAAATAATTTTTTAACTCTGAGAAAAAGAAATAGTTACTTTGAATTGTAGCATATAACACATAACATGGTAAACTTGTAAATTGAAAAACCTTAAAGAACAACATTTTGATTGCTTACAGACGGCGTCGTCTTTATAACACTTTGGAGTTACAAACACTGCTCGTAGACGAAGGAATAAAGACAGAACAGCTGATGCCAAAAAACCAGAATGGGTGTGTACAGTTGAACTCTGACCCAGAAGACGCCGCCCCCTTCCCACCCTACTTGTCTCTAGACATTTTTGATAATGAGGAGTTTGATTGTCGACTACCGGCAGAGTGGATAGCAATGGGTATGGAGGATGGCCAGAGAAAACCTGTGCCTGGATTGGCACTTCTGCCTACAAACGATAAACAAAAGGATTGTGAGTATTGTGTAAACTTATAGAATTACTGCTTTTCACTTTCACCACTTTCTCAGCTGTACTCCATATGAAAGCATATCCCACTTCTATACTTCCCTTATAGGAAAACTTTGTCTATAAAAAAAATCTTTCCTGCAAATTAGATCTTATTCAGGAATAATCCCAGTAGACATATTACTCATTAGCTAAGGATTAAAGTTCCTGGATTTAATTACGAGTAAAACATTATGTATAATGTCCCACCCATCTTACAAATCCTCAGCCTTATATTGTTATTTAAATATTTTAAAGAACCTTGACCACAATGCATAATGTGACAATATCAATTTATTAAACCTTAGAAAAGGCTTCAGTACACAGTATTATTGTATTGTTAATTTGATACAATTCACTTGGAAGGAAAAATGTTTGCTGGGATATTTTTTTGTCAAATTGATACCAATGTCACTAGGCTATTTAAATACTACAAGCCCTTCATCATTATTGTGTTTTAACTATTTTAGTATTGTACATAACTCTCTTTACCAATGTTGGTCTATCTTCCAGTGGATCCTAAGGACCCCAGTATAGCGTATGATTGGTTTGAGGTCGGAGTGTTGGATTACGATGATGACAACAAACAATATCTTATACAAAAAGTCAATGATCAGGGTCGTATCCTGGACAACACAGGGAAACCAGTGGTCAACGGTGGGGTGCAGGCTGATGGTGAGATTTTTATCCTAAATCATCAAGGTTATCTGTCGACTATGCTTCATAAATGTAAAATTTTCATTCAAAATCACACTTAAAATGCAAAATAATATCAGACTGTATCAAATGGAATCAATTTTGAGATTCTATATCTTGTATAGCTTAATGATATACTGATTCAAATATTCGTACTCTTGACAAGCGAATTTTGTATCTTTGACAGACTAATTTCTTGGGTCTAATTAAGTTAGTTATATATCAATGTCTTAGAGCATTTATTGCATATGAAATCTGGAGTATGTATAGAAACTAGGTAAGTAAGATTAACAGAATAAAATGTATTAAGTTTTTCAATATTTTATCATATAATGACATTCAAAAATGCAAATGTGTGTCTTTTTCAATTTCCAGGAACTCGTTTATGTCTGCCTCGACAATATTGGATCCCAAGGGTGCGCCTCATGTTCACAGGGGAGAACCCATGTGAATTTACCCGTCGAGTAAGTACAGCCTATCGTCTGAGGAAGGAGACAGAAGCTCTATTGAGATATAACCTCTACATTGACTGTATGCCCATGGATGGTGTTGGAGAGCTTGACCAGGCCTCTCTCAAAAGGATGATTGACTGTGCCAAGAACTCGCCAGGACTTGGAAAAGACAAGGGGTAATCAATTGGCACTCTTCCTAAACTTTCTCTTCTTTTAATATTGGCTCAGCTGCCTGAAAGGCAAGTAAACTTGGAGGATCATCTGTTGTCTGTCTGTGTTCTTTTTATTTAAAAGACTACTTGTCCGGAACAGCTGAACATATTTTGACAAAATTTGGTAGAAAATTGGTATGGAGCATCAAAGGCCAAGGGGATTCAATGTTTTGTAAATGAAAGATTTGGCCCTTCTGTTTTAGGGAAGAGGGGCAGTGCCCAATAGGTGAGCCTACCTCTTTAGTATGTGTTGGCAAAACCATTCAGACTTACAGGAATTATGGGACTGTATATCTTGGAACTGTTATGAATGTTTTAATAATTATATGTAGGATACTTTGTGAAGGATGACTTGACTTACAAAAATACTGTTTTGTATTGACAGGCTAGAGGACTATGTACAGGTCCTGGAGAAGGAAGTCAACATCGACTTCTGTCGCTCCATGAACAGAATCATATTCGACCAGACTGTTGAGGAGGATCCTGTCACATTTGCATTCATCACCAAACCTGAGGTCAATGCTCAGCCTGTCCCAGAGAAAGGTAAGATACAAAGTGAGCGGAGAGCATGTAGCAGTCACGCAGGATGTCCATCCATCTGTCTGTTTATATTTCATTTCTAGAGGCCTAGATGCTAACTTCGAAACAAATTATAGCCCAAAGATCAAACTCAGTGTGTGAGATGCCCTAGATAGAAGGACTCTATTGAACTAACGAATGCACAATGCTCAGACTTTGTATATCCTCTAGGGAAGAAGAAGAATATTTTTTCATTTTAAGTATGTCATAGGTCAAATATTGCTGGAGGGAGAAGGGAGTTGGGGAGTATGCTGTCCCTGGTAGCAGTTTTGTTGGTTCTGTCAGGATTTAGGTGTTTATATAATGTCATTATAACATCATCACTGTCTACCACTAGGCTGCTGTATGGACATCGAGCCTTACGAGTATGATGACCAGTATGACCAGTTCGCCTTCAAGTCATTGCTGACCCTCGTGGAGAGTATCCAGGCTTGTGGCAAGGTGCGCACCGAGTGTAATAAGGTGGCCGTTATGTCTCTGTTTCACATCCCCACCACCAAACCAATGAGGCTGGAGGAGTTTGAGCAGACGCAGTCACAGGCCACGTCGCAGGTATGTACCTTATCAAAAATACATCAAGGGGGACTGGTTTACAGATAAGTTTTTGCCACATTAATCTTCTGTAAGGAGATGAATTTGTCATGACAGTTATATAAGTAACATAGTATTGTACATAGTTATTCCACATGGAAGGGAATAATTAATACCGAGTCAACCCATTCACCCCTGAAGTCACATTTGAACCTTACCAAATCAAAGACTGGGCAAGTCCAGTTTGAAGATATAGGGTCGAACGACTTAATAAGGATTTACCACGGAAGAGGGGAAATTTCCCAGTCTGCATTATACCAAATAGGTGTCGTTTGAAAATAATAGTGCTGTTTTATCAAAATATTTCTTCATCTTTTGTAATTAGTTTTGTATGGCTTCTGTGCATCATTCATTTTTGAAAATCCTGAAGCAGAATTCATTCTGTCATTTAACGTTTTTGCATCTATGTACACTTTGCTTATTTTCTTGACAGGTGTCACTGTTTTTAAAAGACAGCTGGATTTCAACACTGCGGAATGCCATCCGAACATCTCTACGAGATGTGGGCAAGGGCTGGTTCAACATCCACGAGACAAACTTTGAAGTCTACCAGATCTCCAAGCTGAAGGCCTTCATGGAGATGGTGAAATTCATCATGCAGGACTCAATGAGATACCTTGTTCAGGACTCTCTCGTCAACTTCACACAGATGGTTATGGACGCATGTCACTCGTCGCTCAAGCTAGAGGACGACTTTGTGTGGGGTCCTGACTACATCACCAGTACCTTCAAGTGAGTATCAGAAAATCATAAATATGTATTATTGTGACATTTTCATCTGAGTATTAACCTTCATTTTTGAACATGAGGGCAAGTTTAAAATGTGGTTGAAACATTATAAACAGAATGCCAGAAGTAATATTGTTTTAAAATTTTGTAGTAATTAAGACCAACATTAAGTCCAAATATTGCCACTCCAACAGTTGGTTTTTGATAGACTTCAAGTTTTCAAATTAAGCAAGGGGGAAAAATACCAGAACTATATATGTTAGCAGTGTTAACTAACAAACCACTACAATCTAAGCTTGCATAAAGCTAAATTTGAACTGCTTGTTAAATGTATAATGTACCATGTGGCTGAGCAACTCTTACGTCTGAAAAATGTTTTCTATTTTTCTTCCTACATGCATTTACTTCCAACCTCAGAAATCTCAAAAAGTAGGGTAGGTTGTGTATTTGTGTCGCCTGCAACGCGAGGCGACATATATAGATATTACTTTGTCAGCGTCGTCGTCCGAAACATGGTTTCCATGTGATAACTTGAGTTCCCTTTAGTCAATTGAACTCAACTTGGTACACATATTGCATACTAATATAGCTCAGCGAAATTGGCATTTCAGAAGTGCACATGTATTTTCGGTGGAGTTATGCCCCTTTTATTGTCGAATAAGGGCATTGTGTAGTAAATGCAAGAACTTTTTTAATTTTTTAATCAATTCCTTTCAAACTTTGTACGGTTATGCTAAGAGCAATAATGTTCCACATTATTATTTATAATATTAGGTGTTTTTCTGTCAAGTTTCAACTTTCCGCGTTTTGTCATATCACACTTGACATAGCAACGATGTTCATTGTTTTTGTCATTAATTTTTGCTTGTTTACTAGAAAACTCTAGTCGAAACACTTTTCTCACTAAAAGTGCTGAGCAGGCGACACATCCACTCCTGTGGAATTCTTGTTTATAGCTACTGCTGATATTTCAGGCCCAAGAAGAATGCCCTGTTCCTGGTGGATCTGATCCTTGACCCCCAGGGAGTCCACTACAGCACCAATCTGAACAGCTTTGAGTCCATGCTCATTGGTCTGTTTGACAAGGGTATACAATCCACACAGAATATCCCTCAACTAGAAAAGGTAACACAATTTTTCAAAGTTTCTTTGTCCATAAGCATTTACATATAGCTATATTATACATTTATTATCTTATTCGTAGGGTGATATGAAAATTTGTTGATCTGTAACAGTTATATTTGCTTTAGGGGGAATATAAAACCTGAGATATAGCAAACCTCCATAGCAATCTGCTACTATCACTGGATATACATTTATATTAAGATATCAAATGTTTTCATTTGTCTTCAATATGGAACCACATGGCTCTATATTTGATACTCCCAGTAATTAATTTTGTGTACTTAGTTGACATCACAGAAGAAGATTGATTGGGGCTCCATGAGAACAGTCATAAAGCATTGTGTAATGGGCCTAGTTGTGAGTTTGATTAGGTTGGCAAAAAACAGTTTTCATCTGTTGCATTGTCGAAGATTTTAAACTAAAACAGTTTATAAATATATATATATATACATTTTGTAATTCCTGTCAAAAAGCATCCTTAATATCCAGGGGTTACGCTTACTTTCCCTTTCTGCACCCCAGGAATATGTCATAGCAAAATTGAAGGCACAAAGTTAGCTATTTGATTGGTGTTAGGTAAAAAAAACCTGACCAATCACTAGGCTGATACCTATCCTTTGAAGATTACAAAGGAGCGACGCCCGACTTCAAAGCCAGTAAGTTTCACTGTAACACGACCGTGAGATTCTTTTGCTGTTCATCAAAGGATCAAACTAGTCTTCTTGTCTCGTCCAAAAGGTACTGCACATAGAGCCTTTGATTTTGCTATGACATATTCCAGGGGTGCAGAGAGTGAAGTAAGCGTAACCCCTGGATATCGAGGGTGGTCAAAAAGCTGCAGTCAACCATGTGTTAAAATATCAATAATTTGGAAAAGCATTATGTAGCAGTGTTATAAAAAGAGTTCTTGTTGTAGTACATTCTGGAGGACATCTTCTGGTCAGGGACACCTCTGTTAGAATCAGTGGGAGAACATGAACCGCCTGTGGAAGAACTTCGTACCAGTATCATCAACGCCATCATGAAAGCTCTCATCCCGCTTAAGGCATACGCTCGCGAGTACGAGAAACATCTAGAACTCATGAATCTGGACATCAACAAATACATGCAGTAAGTTCTCAACTGGATTTATATTATCAGAAATATCTCACTCATGAATTTTTTAATCAAAATATACATGCAACCTCTTCTCTGTCTGCTCCTAATTCCAGAAATATCTTTCATTCTTGAATCGCTGCATCAGTGTAAAAATTCATTACGTTTTCTGCCTGCTTCAAGCATCAGAAAATCCTCAAACTTGGTTCATAATCTGATAAACTGTGATCCTTTTAGGGAATATGAAGCCACAGAGCACACTGCCCAGGAGGTCAAGAATGAGGTTGAGATGCACCTGAAGGAGAAGGAAATTATTGAAGCCACCATCCCTAGCAACATCATCATTGGGCCTTTCTGGGTCATCACAGACTCCGTCAAACAGAACCTATCAAAGAAACGCAAGAACCTGAGTAATGTTGTGTTGGAATTACTTGCCAGGCAACTCAGGAAACAGGCCGATGATGTAAGTCAACAGATTCCTTTTCTGTGACTGAACATTTATAAGTCAATTAAATTTATCATTATCTAAATAAAGATGAACTAATTTGATTTATGAAATTCATTTTGCTGAAATTGTTAAGTGCTTGAGTGATTAAGTGGATTTTACTGTAAACTTGTTTGTGTAACGTTTAGAAAATGATTATTAATGAATTAGTGTACGTTAGATTTCTAAAAGTAATATATTTTTCTGTAATTCGTTCATGTTAGAGTTATGAAAAAAGGTTTTAACTGTAATTGGTGCATGATTTAGTTGTACATTAAAATTTACTGTAAATTCTGTGTACTTGAGTTATAAAATGGACTTTTTCTGAAATATTTGGGTGTGTTGTGACAGGCTTGTGAAGAGTTCAAGGCCTTCAGCAGGAAACTGTACGACAAGCCGAACTGTGTGGAGGAACTGTCGGAGATGAGGGAGTGGATGAAAGGAATTCCGGAAAAACTCAAGGAGCACCAGGTAAGTACACATTGGAGTTAAGGGACATGATGAAAGAAATCCTGGATAAACTCATACAGCTCTGTTAGAAGTCAACATGGTGAATTGGAATTAAATTAAATGTTTGTTCAGACATATTGCAACAAATCTGAATATTTTTCCAAAGAAAGAAAGTTAACTACTTCATATAGAAGAAAACAAATTGCTTTAAAATTAAGTTTGACCTCTGATAAAAGGTGATTCAAATAAAATAACACTTTTGACAAATTTTAGATCCTGTTTTTTATAAAATATTGTACATAGTAGTTTGTATTGAATCCTTTATACAGGGTTTTTACTGATCCTATCTTTTTACCATAATTTACAGGAGCTGATCGACAAAGCCATGGACGACTATGAACTGATAGAGGAGTTCTACTACAACTTGTCAGCGGATGACTTTAATGCCAAGTACGGAAAATCCGATATTTACTATTTATTATTTTTTATTATCTACACATACAATGCAAATACTTTTAAAATGAACCATTTTATCTGATTTTATCTTCGCTATTTACATGTTTGTTAAAAAAGTAAAATAAATAAATAAATCACCATGGCCCTAAATGACCACAGCCGTCGATGGGCCGTTAAACATAAACAAACAAACAAACAAACAAACGCTAGTGAGCTTTTCACTGAAAATAAAAAGGCAAGCAAGAAGTAATCTTGATATATAATAAACATTGAGAAAACTTTTCTTCACAGTCTTGTCTCTGAACACCTGGTCCGAAGCATCGCTTAAATCTAAGTTAAATCTTTGTTTTTATTTTACAGATGGACTGCCATTGGTTGGCCTCACAAGATCGAGGTTCAGATGGAGGCTACATCTCAACAGTTGGACGAGGATGAGGAGCGCTTCCGTAAACTCCAGACCTCGGACCAGGCCAACTTTAACGATCGTATGGACACCCTTCAGGTCAGTAAACTTGACATTAGATATTGTTTAATTTCTTGATAAGATATCAAAATGATCTTAGAAACAGATATCCCCCCCCCCATTATAAATATAAAACTCCACAAATTACAGAGGAAAACAAAAATTGTATATTTAACAAAAATTGTTGTATATGTTAATATAAATATTTTATATTTTTTGTGCCACAGAAATATGAAAACATGCTTCTCTACTATTTTATATGGAGAAACTGAATTGAATTGTGAGCCAATTGCTGTAAGTCTGCAGAATTCCGTTGTGATGATGCAGAAAACATTGAAGGTTGATCAGTTACGACTTACTTTGTTGATGTTTGCAGATGGTAGTGGCTGGCATGGCAGCACATACAGACATCAGCAAGGCTCACGAGATAGCCAATGAGGTGCGCCGTATTAACAAACAGCTGAAAGAAGCTCAAGTATTGGCCTCCACGTACAACAACAGGGAGAGGTTGTTTGGTCTGCCGGTCACCAACGTATGTAACAGTGTCCACATGACACTCACACTATCAAAACATTGTTTTTGTTTTCATTTAGTTAACTGATATTTTCGATTTTTTCAGGGATACTGATTAAGAAAGACAAATAAAATGTTAAAAATCACATACAGAAAAAAATAAACTTAGAAAAGAAAACAAAAAATTGCAACTAACTGTGCAGATTTCAAAATCATTTTTTAGTTTCACTGCCAGGCACTTGATCCAAGATCTAATTAACTACAAATCTCCCAAGCTGTACTTTTTTTCACTCCCAAGATCCAACAACCTTTAACGTTTTTATCTTCACCCAGTCAAAAATATCCAACAATGTACTGAAAGTTCATCAGAACATAAATGCATGCAATGATCATGTCTTGATAAAAAATTAAAACTTTTGCTCAAATAAATTTCCAAAAATTACATTTTTAGATAATTTTCTTCTCTCTTGAGAGTCTTAAGGTTATTGAAAAATCAACCTAGTTTTTACTGAAATAAATATGTCTTTAAAAATGATTTACTTAGTATTTATTTTAATCTCCAATCTGCTGTACCTGTTAGTTTGGTATTGGGATATTATACAGTATCTACTGATATTAACATCATCTTTCTGAAGGAAAGAATATTTTCTAAGGTGTTGGTTCTTCATTTTTCAAAACTTTTTGCAATATCAAATCCTGTATCTAGTAGATTTCATACACAATAATTTATAAGAATTTATACACTTGGAACTGTCCTGACATTAGGTACATTACATTTGACATAGTCGCAAGGAAAATCTGGCATTTTCTATTTATCTATAATTTATGTAATCTATTTATCTATTATTTATAGTATAGATGATATGTTACAAGCTTTCTTGTAGAATTTGATATTGCAAGAAGTTCATTTTCAATAAGGTGGAGGTCTCTCATTGAATTTATGTAATCTCCTATTTTTTCCAAGTCATTAGCCCTCTATAAAACGATACCAGAAATAGTGAGTGGGTTGGGAAGGGGGACAATAAGGGTTTGTACAATGATATTCTGCTACCTCTGGACTATAACTTTTTAACAACCCATTTACATCTTTATACTGTTTTTTGTGACCTATTTTCAGAGGTCAAGGTCACGGTGGTGAACAGTAAACAACTTCTTTAGTAAAATGTTGATGAGACACTATAAATATATGTACTACTAATAGGAACCTAGATCAAGGTCAAAAACAATTTTTTAATTTCCTTAGAAAAAACAAAACAAAAAAACTATTGGGAACAACTGTTGGATTTTTTTTTTCTCTTATGGTTAATTTTTCTCTGCACAATGTATTGCATGTGTGTGGAAGTTATTTTTTCAGCCGACACATCTCCACCGCCAACAACACCAACAACACCATCGCAGCATTCTGTGTCCTTGCATGTGGCTCCATCGTGGGTCTCACTATTCTCTATAGACCGTGGGTGCAGGCTTACATTTTTTTACTTGGAACCCTTGCCAAGTCTGTCAATTTATCATGGTGTAAGGCCAAAGGCACATATATCTGCTGCTTTAATTGAACTCCTGGATCTGTTGTGTGCGTTCCGACCCAGGAAGAATAACACACTTATCTCTGTGACAGCACAGATAAGGGATCCGATGTGAAAACTGGATCCACACTTGTTTGGACAGAGGAGAGTGTTGAGTCACGTGTCAGATCACACCAGGCTATCATATGTACTGTATTTAATGCCCACTATTCTGTATACAAATTGAATCAATTGTTGTCGTTCGTGTTAATTAAGTCTTTTGGCTTTAGGACAAAATTTTGATAGTTATTCTTATTAATAAAAATTGGCAAAATTTCATATCAATATAAACTACAGTTTGTTGACAAAGTTATTCTAATCAATCCAATTCAGAAATTTTCTGAAAAAATGTACTCGTTATTTTTATCCAAATTGGGGATTTAAGACATTATTCTACAAGTCAATCAAACAAATTTACTGACAGAATTGTACTTGTCAGTCTGACCTAAATTAGGTATTAGAGACAAAATTGTCAATTTTAACAAGAAATGGTTGACAAAAGATAACACTTTCATTTTCCTTTGTTATGTTTTAAAATACCTTATAATACTTGATGAACAAAAAGTTAACCAAAAGTGTTATTCAACTCGCTGTCAGAGAAAAGTAGAGATATTCAGTTTTACATTATAATGGGAGGTACAGTACCCATATAATCAGGTGTTGGATCAGACTTGTGATGATTCTTTCTGGCGAGGAATTATACGCTGTGCCATGCATGTTGGCATCACTCTTAGCTTAGCTCTTTCTGCTTTCACTTAACTTCTCCCTAACAAAGGCTTTTCTGTCTTCTATCTTTCTTAACTGATATTTTCTTTGCAAGCGCAACTGCATGAACGCATGGTCTGATTACTATCGCTACAGTTTTTCTTTCTCTAACCTGTAATATTACTGCATGCACAATCATCATTTTTTACAAAATATACCAAACAATCTTGTATTTCTGTGAGGGAGATTAGTAGTTTCCTTCAGCTAGTAGAGTCTGTAGACTTTATAGGGTATAGTTGTCTTTCTCCCTGTACTTACTCTTTCTGCAATTCTGTCTTAGACAAAATAGAATTTCCTTTTGAAACTAGATTTAGTAGATATTTTAGTTGCTATTATGAACTCTAGGTTGTTATTTTTCAGCAAGGAACTTTTTACAAAGAGTCAAAGATATTTTCTTCATAAAAGGGTTATAGACAATTAATAAATTAATCAGAAAAAAATATTTTGGATTTCTCCAAATAAATTTAAACTTATTTTAAAATGGCTCTAATATGAACTTTTTGTGAAACAATATGAAACAAACACACACACAAAAAATCATTGCTCAAAGAAGAGATTATCAAGTTTGATAAGAAATTCAAATACACATCTCTGTGCTATTTGGTTGAATTTAGCATGGAATGAATACACTGTCATTTAATGCTGGTCCTTTTATTACTAACGTGTCCGTTGCAGCGATCCACAGAAACCCCATTCCCCATCCCTGGACAAGCTTATGCCTCCTGGCAATACCGAAACCTAATTTATTCAGAGACCTGTACAATCCGGCCAGACTCTGGACCTCTTGTCTCTGTATATGATTACATGAATTCCAAACACAGCTTTATTCCCTATGGTGTTTTAAGACAGCTTCACTCTTTGCATTGACAAATCTTTATTTTGTTTAATACAGTATATTTCCATCATTTCTTATGTCGTAAAGCCAAAGTTATACTTCGAACATCAAGTAGAATACAGTTTTCGTAAGGGGAGATAATCTTGGACTCCCATTGACTACACTGTTTTACCTAATTATCTTTCGACTCACATTAGCACAATAATAAGACATTGCTTTAATTAACTAGCTAGTGATTGTGTCATTGATGTTTTGCTTATTAGATTTAAAGCATTTTACATTTTTATTTGCTGTGTTAGTAATTTGAACTTTTATTTGCTATTTCAGTAACTTTATTTGCGATTTTAGTAATTTTCAGTTTCTAGGTACAAAATTGGCATGGTCAGATCTGATATGATTTTGGCATGTTAAGTGTGAAGAAGAAAGATACAACTTGTTACCTAATTTTAAGCTATTCAGAGTAAAATTCATTTATCAGTGTTTATCATGAATGGTCTGTGGAAAATTATCATTCTTACAAATTGTTTCCATTCTTAAAGCATTAGTAACCTTAGTTGTTTTTTTATCTATAACAAAAGGTTGTCTTCTGGAATGTCTAGCTGTTCTTTTTCCTACATTTTGACGGGTTAAAATGAAAAAAAAAGTATCTCTTAAAATAAGAAGTTAATACAGTGTATTGCAGAATGTATGACCATGCCAGGTTTGACAAATTGCATGTGCTGCACAGTTTAGCAGTAACTCCTAACAGAGGTCGTGTGACCCTAGAAGCTGTGTCCTACTTTAGCCAGACGGTGCATGTGTGCCCTTGTTGTTTATAGTATGATAAGCTGGCACAACTTGTCAAGGATTTTGAGCCGTTCAGAAACCTGTGGCTCACCGTGTCTGACTGGCAACGCTGGCAGGAAAGCTGGATGAACGACCCGCTGACGTCGATAAATGCTGAAGATGTGGAGAAGAATGTGAATGAGGCTTACAAAACTATGCACAAATCCGTCAGGATTTTCAACGAGATGCCAAGTAAGGCTGATAATCTTTTTCACTCTCGCCGGGTGTGTGCAAAAGTTTGAAATGGTCTTTTTATGAACAAAATATTTTAAAGAAATCCTGGAGTCTGTGACAAAGTGGCTCAAAGTACTTCATAGTTTTCACAATTATAAATGTTCATGAATTTTCAAAGGCCAGGATGAATAACAAATGATCCAATTGAAAAGTTAATTTTGAGAAAACATCCTGATAAAGAAAAAAACCTGTAGAACTTAAGTGTTTTGAATCAACAAGTTTCAGGTTTAATTTAAAAGAGTTATTATTTTTCTCCTTTTTGCAAAAATACAAGTTATTGGTCATGGTTTCATGTCCAAACCCCCCCCTGAAGATTTCAATATATATTTAGATTAGAAAAAGTGTACAATATCAATGTAACTAAATTTGTGTAACCAGAAGGGAACATGTAAATGACTTGAGAGGATGTTTTTGCCAGGTGTACAAAATGTGGCATCAGAAATCAAAGGCAATGTGGAGGATTTCAAGCCTTATATCCCCCTGATCCAGGGCCTCCGAAACCCTGGCATGCGAAACAGACATTGGGAACAGGTAAAATACGCACAATTTATTTCTTCATTTAATTGTCTAATTCTATTTGGCTGCACGAATCGTGAAATATGGAGTTCCGCGTCAGACTCAAAGCAAACCTTACTGTGTTCTGTGATTTATTTACAGCTGTCGGGAGATCTAGGATTCCCTGTCAGACCCAAGGCCAACTTGACCTTCAGCAAGTGTATAGAGATGAACCTACAGGATCATATAGGCACCATAACCAAGGTGGCTGAGGTCGCAGGCAAGGAATACTCCATTGAACAGGTATAATGAATTCCATTTTCACATTTGTTCGTCAACATAAATAGCTCAACTTGAAAGTTTCATTTTCGTCGACTTTATTAACTTATAGAGGGAAATTCAGAAAACAAGTCCTGTGAATTATATAATTGGGGAAAAATAAAAATTTGGATGAATTAATCCTTCAAATCAAGAAATTGTTCATTGGCATTGTCAAATTAATAGAGTAACTGGTGAAAGTAATTTTTAATCTAAAACATGCAATAGCACTCTCAGTCAGAAAAACTTAAGTAGATTTCAAAAATTACATAAAATCTGTAGAAGTGTAACAAGAAGGGCAGACATTTTTACAAAACAAATCTTTGCTTTTTCCAGGCTTTGGACAAAATGGAGAAGGAATGGGATCCTGTCAACTTTGAAATCTTGTCGTACAAAGACACAGGAACCTACATCATCCGAGCGTCTGAGGATACTTCACAGCTGTTGGACGATCACATTGTAATGACCCAGAGTATGTCTTTCTCCCCATACAAAAAGCCGTTTGAGGATCGTATCAGTAACTGGGAGAACAAACTCAAGACTACACAGGTATGAAGGGTGAAAACTACCAGAAGTGAAAAATTCCACTGGCCCAAAACCTGGGCTCAGTAGATTTTAAGGTCAACCCAAGTTTAGTTCAGCTTGAAAAACAAATGACAAAATCTCTGAAGGGCTAGTGGTATATTATGAAGCTGTACCCAAACCCCAGGTTTACTTCAGTTATCTACATTTCGGTATATTTTGGAATAAGCTATTATCTCATGAGCAAACATTATATTATCTTTATTCTTTACACTTTCATCATTTGCGATATGAATATTTTTGCTTCTTTCATATTAACCAGTGAAATTTTATTTATGGAATTTCTGACTTAATAAAACTCATGTTATCACTGTAGTTATAATGTGAAAAAGAAATGATACTTTTTGTCGGTGAAAGCAACCGAATTAACTTCCCAGTAGAATATTGTTAGGTTCTATGTTTGGTCTTTAAAACTTCTGTGAAATGAATTTTCTTACCTTAGTACCAAGAAGAACTGTTGCTTTCCTATGACGATTTAAAGCAAATCGTATTAGTTGTAAATGATGGTTGCTTTCAGGATGTCCTGGACGAGTGGCTGGTGTGTCAGAGGTCGTGGCTTTATCTGGAGCCTATCTTCAGCTCGGAGGACATCAACAGACAGCTGCCCGTGGAGAGCAAGAGGTACCAGACGATGGAGCGGATCTGGAGGAAGCTGATGAAGAATGCCAGAGAGAACCCTCAGGTAGGGTAGGACCAGACAGTTAATTTCATCAAAAAGCTTAGAATTCTATTAACTCATTCACCCCTGAAATTTCCAAATGAACTGTTCCAATCTTTGCATGACTTTTATAAGACACAATGAAGATGAAATAAACAAAATTAAGTTAAAAAGAGTGTTCTGAGTAAACTTTCATTCTAACCGAAGTATCTTTGCCAACTGTGCTACAGTGATATCTAAGCGGAAGTTAAGGGGAGGTTACTGCAAATAAGTAAAACAACAGTGCAGTGGGAAAGGGATCTTTTTATGCAATAAAAGGAAAGAATCTGCAGTTAAAGTAGGACAAGAAGGATTTTTTAATCAAAAGATACAATAGAACAAAATATAAGACCTCAATATTATTTGTAGAATTTTATGCTTACCTGGCTGGGAGGTCCATATATTAAGCTTATGCAATAAAATAATGTCCATCAACTTCTTCAAAACCATTGTGCCAAATCTGAAGAAAAATACATCTTTTATTTTATTTAAATAAGTTTTTAACATCATCTATGTTTTTCTAACTGAAACAGGTGTAAAACATACCTGGATATTTTTTTTTATTTCATCCAATCTGACCCTTGAAGCTATTTTCTTTTACTGTACATTTAATTATGATATATTACAATGTTAACTTGGTTGTAGGTTATCTCCCTTTGCCCCGACAACCGTCTGCTGGACAATCTGAGAGAATGTAACAAGTTACTGGAACAGGTACAGAAAGGTCTCAGTGAGTACCTGGAGACCAAGAGGAATGCCTTCCCACGATTCTATTTCCTGTCTGATGACGAGCTGCTGGAAATCTTGTCACAAACCAAAGACCCGAAAGCTGTACAGCCCCATCTCAGAAAGTGCTTTGAAAACATTGCGAAAGTAGGTGGAAACTTAATTTAAACCACTCAATCAATAGAAAGATTTGATTTGATACGTCAGTTTGATTTTAATTTTTCAAAATGTCTTTCTGATATATAAAATAATTTCTTGCAACTATGTTAAGATTTTTCATTTATCAAATGTTGTATATAGAGGATATTTAATGGTGTCTTCAGTAATACCAAATATATTTCACAAGTGTGGCTAATATTTTGATATTTACATTTTTAAAGCATAAAACATCAAAAATGTAATGCATTAAAAAGGGCGGGAATCAGAAGCGTAATAATTAGCGCCATATTTTAATGACGTCACGCTTGACAACAAGGCTGCGCGCCATTTTGAATGGGATACTCAACACAATTCCGACGTTTTCTGCTATTTTCTGGTATGATTGCTTATAAAAATGTTATTAATTGTATATTTATGTAAATACTTAAATGTGTTCACTAAATATTTACCATAACAACCACTTATTCTACTGTCGCTTCATTTGAGTCTGAACAAAAAAATTGTTGCCTTTGAATGCAGCGAATAGAAGATACCATCATGATTGGTCAAAACCAAAAAGTGATATTTTCACAGTATGAAAATATCACAGTTGATATTTGTCACAGTGTGAAAGATATCAGTTTTATCAAGTTGATAGAATCCGTTATTTTACTGGCAAAAATGTAATAAATTTATTTATTTATGTCTATAAGACTTTCCCTGAATGAAGTTTCTGACCAATAACATTCTTAAGGTTTTCTTCCAGCTTTTGAATTTGTTTCTTGCATTGTTGGTAGACAGTAATACTAGGTAAACTGGTTTGCCCCAAACATTTCTGAACAACAATGTGACTGAATTGTTTTGTTTACTATTACAGCTCCGATTTGAGGATGATTTGAAGATCACAAAGATGTTCTCTGGTGAGGGCGAGAGTGTAGACTTCAAGGAGACGCTGTACCCCACAGGAAATGTTGAGGACTGGATGTTGGAGATTGAGCGCTGCATGAGAGAAAGTCTTCGGCTAATCATCAAGGAGGCCCTGGAAGCTTACAAAGTTGTAAGTACTCTACAGTGAAACTGCCTAAAAGATCACCTGTCTATAAAGAACATCTGCCTATATCAACCATATCAAGAACACCCCTATTATAACAACCTGTCTCTAAGGACCATCTGTTTAAAAAGAACAAGTATTTTCTCGCCCCTTGGCAGCTTGATTGACTGGTTTCACATTATTCTTTTTCCAGAGAAATGATTTTCAAATTATTTTTTAGGATTTTTGTCATCCCAAATGTGCTGACAAAAAATAAGTATACAAATACAAGTTTTCAGACCAGTCATAACAAAGAATGAAATTCTTCTTGTTTCCAAATTATAAAAAGGTTTTCAAAGAAGTTGAAAAACTCCAGATGTGAACATTATATTTTGCCTTTTACAGAAACCAAGAACAGAATGGGTACTCGACTGGCCTGGTCAAGTGGTCATTGCCTGCTGTCAGACCTACTGGACACAGGAGGTCACTGAAGCTCTGGAACAGAACAAGGTCAAGGAGATATATGAAATTATGTTGAAACAGCTGGATGACCTGAGACTCCTGGTGAGGACTGACCTGTCCAAGATCGGACGACTGACCCTGTCTGCCCTCATCGTCATAGAGGTGCATGCCCGTGACGTTGTCCACAGAATTGTCGAGGAGGAGGTGAGCAATGCCAACGCCTTTGAGTGGATCAGTCAAATCAGGTGAGTTTTATACTTTATTTTAACATTATATACTTGTTATATTACTCATGGTAAGTCAAGGGATTTGTTTACAGTGTGTTAGCTACATTTTTCGTATAATGAGTCATTTCCTGTCTAGTTTTGAGAATCGTTGTCAGTCATTTGATGCAAAATTAATGAATTTATTGAATCAAATTGAAAAAAATGTGAGTAAATGACTCTGCCTAGCATGTAAATAAAAAAATTGGATAGTTAAAAAAAATAAACAGATTAATTTCCTCTTCTATTAAAGATTTCTTTTGCATTAATCTATAACATTTGTTATATTGGAAATATTTTTGGAAAACAAATTATCTTGACATGAGTTTTTTTACGGTTATCATTATTTCCCTCAGATACTACTGGCTGGAGGATGAAAACCTGTACATACGTGCTGTTAACGCCCAGTTTCCCTACGGTTACGAATACCTAGGAAACACCTTCAGACTGGTCATTACACCGTTAACTGATAGGTATTATAGCCATCATCAGTACACAGATACACAAATCCATCTATTTAGTAGATATTTTAAACATTGTAAATAACTTCAAAATTCTTCAAAAAAAAAATCTGTGTCGAGGATGTTTTTCTTAGTAATTACCTATGTAGTAGCCACTGAATTATGATTAAATAATTTCATACAGCAATTTAAAAATTGTCCGATTGCAGAGACTTTCTGTCTTTACTTAAAGAATACAATAAAATGGCTTCCATTGATTACATTACAATGTGGATTGTGTGATTTATGTGATATATATATTGTTTAAAACTTTGTAAACAGGTGTTATCTCACCCTGACTGGAGCTCTCCATCTCAAATTCGGAGGAGCTCCTGCCGGGCCCGCAGGAACAGGAAAGACTGAGACAACAAAGGTTGATATTCTTTATACTTACACTGCAGTAATCTGTTGAACATTGTTTCTAGACATCTTTTATTTGTCTGCCAGTTCTTAAAAAATAAAAGTGATTATGTGGAAAAATTAGTTTTAGTCAAAATAATGTAATAAGCTCTCTTGGTTTATAAGTAGCTTACAAATGACATACCAATTATCGAAAGGGGTTTTTACAAGCTTTAAGCTGATGCCGTATTTGACTGCAAATAAGACCTCGCTTGCAAATAAGCCCCATCCCCACTTCAGCAAATGTCCTGGGTTCAGGGTGGGTACCTGTAATAAAAAAACCTCCCTAATTTCATTTTGCTCTCTCTTCCCCCAAAAAAGTATGTATGTTAATTAATTCCATGGGGGATGTTGCATATTTAAATCATTTAGGGTCACATATACTTACATAGGGGTGAGACCACATAGGTAATGTTATTTGTTCTCTCTAACAGGATCTGGCCAAGGCAATGGCTGTACAGTGTGTGGTGTTCAACTGTTCTGACCAGCTGGATTTCATGGCTATGGGCAAGTTCTTCAAAGGACTGGCGAGGTACGCATCCATATTCATAATGTGCTAGAGACCAAATGATAAGTTTTCTACTCTTAACAGGATATACATATATGTAAATGATAAAAACATCAGATTGTTTTTTTCCTATTAATTGTTGTTAATGGAACATCAATTCTCTGATTATAAAAGAAAATATTACATAGATAATTAATGTTTTATATTATTGTTCATTCTGAACATTTGTTAGAATGTCTGTTAATCTCTATGGTTATAGATAGTTGAACTTTCTAGGTTTATGTGTTATTTGTTTAATAGAAATTTTAATATGTTATGTATATATTTTACCATGCATTGAAATCAAGATTCAAATTAGCTGTTGTACACACCTGTAAAATAGATACCTTTGTTCATAAAAATTCCTGAAATTGATGCAGATTTCATTGTGTTAATTTCACAGGGAGTGTCGTTAATCAATTCAAACTTTTCACAAAAATGGCATTCAAACATCAAATGAATGTTCATCTCATATTGTTCATTTCGCCAGTTGAAATCGCTGTTCATTAAAAAATCACCTAAATAACCACATAAAAGATTAACAATGTGAGAATTTTGAATCTTGATTTACTGTTGATATTTATGTTGATCACTGCTTTTTTGATAAATGATAAGATATGTTATTTACATTTTAGATATGTTAAACATCCTCCAAGTGTTTATGTTGTTGCTGTAATCTTATACTTTGAGTGAATTAACAGTGTTGTGTGGTTTTTGTGCATTTAATCAATTTGCCTGAACAAATAAGTATTTACAGTGTCATTTTGCGATAATCACTTAAGTCGCTCAATCATCTGTGTATCATTGTAGTAAATAAACCACTTTCTGATATAATCAAGATATATTAGTTTTATGAAAATTAAAGTACAGGAATCGACACTGGAATCCCGACCAGTTTTGATTGATAAGTAATGAAAATTTGTCCCCTGGCCCATTCAAAGGTTTTACAGAACTTGTTTTGAATATTATCAGAGTGCTTGAAATCAGCCATTTCTTGTGTACATGCTGGTTAAATAAAATGTTTTATGATTATAAGTACCGATAATAATAAAATAAGGTAGAATTGGAGGATCTTCACCTGGGGTCTGTAATACAAATTTTTTCTTGCATGAAATTATGATATTTTTCTGACATGAAATTGTTATCAATAATTTATATAATCATTTAAATAAAGAAGGAAGAATTTGCAATTTAAGCATTATCAACTCTATTTCATGTGGGCGTTGGTTAAATATTGATTTTCAGTGCGGGAGCATGGGCGTGTTTTGACGAGTTCAACCGTATAGATATTGAAGTGTTGTCTGTGGTGGCACAGCAAATCGCTACCATACAAAAGGCCCAGCAGCAGAGGGTGAGCCAGCACCTCAGACAGGGCTAGACCGTCATACACTAGACTTTCTCTGTAACCATCTACTGCAAAGCTGCACAATCTTTCTGGGTCAAACATTTTGCAAATCCTATCAAATTCCTTCCCAAATTTGCTAGCTAATATTTTTAAATGAAAATTTCTCATTTATGGAAACATCCTACAATTAATGATGGAAATAAATTAAATTGCTTCTATATTTAAAATCAAGAAAGGGAAAGGATACATGTGGATTTGTAGATAACTCACTAAAGGTGTGCAGTTTGTATATCCCAGTAGGTAGATCTCTTCATACTCTATTTTACAGCTCTACATACTTCTACGGCTAAACAAAAACCATTTGTGTTGTTCTGAATACCAACATTTCTTGGAAAAGTTTTTTAATATAATATAGAAAAAAAACCCATAAAAATTGGAGCTAATTTCCAGAGTGTTTGTACCAAGACTACACAGAGGGATTTGTCGGCCAACTACATGTATCATTGCAAAGAATGTTGCCCGTTGTTCCTATACCTAACATATGTTACAGTGCATAAATAGTGGACCATTATGTAGGTTACAGTGTCAGACTTTCAACTCATCAGCTGTTTACTTGTTTTTGTAAGGAAAATCTGACATTATTCTTTTTAAATTTGCTGCAAATTTTTCGAAACTTAGAAACATTCTCCCACCTCTCCACCCCCAAATAAAATGATATGGAAAAAATATATGGTATATATAAATATAGATAGAAAGTTGGAGGAGGATGAATCTTTTCGTTGAAATAAAATGGTCCACTACTTATTTTCTTAATACATTAAGTACTTTAAACATACTAGAACAGTAATCATATTTTAGCATCTATCTCACAAATATGATGTGCTAGTTGATGCATAGAGCATACTTAATTATTGTCTAAAATTCACTTATTAAAACATAGAATGCCTTTGTGCTTATTGATAAGTGTGCTAAAATGTTTATGACTGACAATCCATCTATGATTACTTCCCATACAAGTATGTTTACAGTTTAAACTGATCAGCACTTGTTTCAGCATGCGACTTTATGTGGAACTTTGACTCCGTCTGTCTTGTCCCAGATCTGATCTACTCAGAAATCACTTTATGGAATATCTTTCTACCCAGAAATACTGTGTAGAATAGAAATTTTGCTACTAACTCTATAGAACAGATGCTACCAAGAAATGGCTTTGGGAATAGATATCTCACTACCAAGAAATAGCTCTGAAGAATAGATATCTCACTACCAAGAAATAGCTTTGTAGAATAGATATCTCACTACCAAGAAATAGCTCTGAAGAATAGATATCTCACTACCAAGAAATAGCTTTGTAGAATAGATATCTCACTACCAAGAAATAGCTTTGTAGAATAGAAACCAAGAAGTAGCTCTCTAGAAGACAACTCACTTCCAAGAAATAGCTCTGAAGAAAAGATGTTTAATGTTACTCAGAAACAGCTCTATCACCAATATCTAAATAGTCCTCCCAGAAATAGTTTTGTTAAAGAAGTATCTGATCAACTTCATTTTTTTCAAACAATTAAAGCTTTCTTTGTGCATTCCATATTTTTGCTAAGTTATTTTTATAGAAAGTTGTACCTGCAAAAATAGCAAAAAAAAAATGATTTACCATAATAAAGATGAAATAGAAATCATCTACCAGGTAAGACCTCTTCACTCAGCATAAATTTAATTGGGGAATAAAAAAAAAAGTGTTACATTTATTTTCACTGTAAGTGTTTGATGTCTATAAAATTTAGACCAATACAAAAAAACACTATGTACAGTATCCTTATGAGTTCTACCTCTTCTAATCCAGACTGTGTCTCAGACATAATCAGGGGCACACAACTGTCGACAAAATCAGGGGGGACAACTCTCCCAATTTATTACTTACTGCAAAATGTCTACAATATTATCAACATTTTATTCATGGGGTGATGAAAAGTTTCTGCAGTTAGAAAGACAATTGCAATGTGCCCCATTCTTGAACCTGAGAGACAGTCATATCTCTTTTCTTTTTAGGAGGAACAGACTTGAAAATAATTTATTGTAAAAAGCAGTATTATATTTAATTCAGTTGTTTGTAAACAAAACATTTATTTAAAAAAAAAAATCTTAAAATTTCATTGATTGTTTAGCAATAATTTTGAAATATCAACACAAATTTAAATTTCAACTAATTTGCAACAGTAATTTGGAAAAAAACCATCAAAAAGTTGTAAAGAATTGAAAAATAGCCGTTGTATTCGATAAATCAATTTTCAAGTCTGGATAATTTCACAGAATAGCAGCATCTTGTTGTATCTTTAGCTGTAGCCTAGTTTAGTCCGTGTATAACTTTTTCCTTTCTGTATATTCCTCTCTCTCCACCTTGCGAATGAAGTGCGGGCGCATGGGCATGTTTTGATGAGTTCAACAGAATAAACATAGAAGTATTGTCCGTCGTGGCCATGCAGATTATTACAATACAAAAAGCTTTGGAAGCAAACGTAGGTATCTTTTGTATGTTTGTAAATGTCTGATGCTGTGTAAAAATAATGAACAATATATCAAATTTTGAGTATTTTTTATTATAGTTAGTATCTCCTTGTTTTTTTATTCTTTGAAATAATTTTTTCTTATCTGAAATTTCCATTCATATTTTCAGTTTTTTTATGTTAATCGTTTTAAACAAAAACTCACTCAGCAAAATGATCTCCAATTTTTTTTATTTTTTTTTAATATGTTTTTGTTAATCATGTTTTTTCATTGATGGTAGTCTTTTATAAAATAAAAAAAGAAGAGTAAGAAATCAACAGTTTTGAAACAACACATTGTATAGTTAACATTGACTTCTGATATCTCTCTTTTGATACATTGTATAGTTTAGATTGATATCTCTCTTGATACATTGTATAGTTTAGATTGATATCTCCCTTGATACTTTGTATAGTTTAGATTGATATCTCTTTTGATACATTGTATAGTTTTGAATGACATCTCCCTTGATTAATTGTATAGTTTAGATTGATATCTCCCTTGATACATTGTATAGTTTAGATTGATATCTCCCTTGATACATTGTAAAGTTTATGTTGATATCTCTCTTGATACATTGTATAGTTTATTTTGATATCTTTGATACATTGTATAGTTTAGATTGATATCTCTTTTGATACATTGTATAGTTTAGAATGACATCTCCCTTGATGCATTGTATAGTTTAGAATGACATCTTTCTTGATACATTGTATAGTTTAGATTGATATCTCCCTTGATACTTTGTATAGTTTAGATTGATATCTCTTTTGATACATTGTATAGTTTAGAATGACATCTCTCTTGATACATTGGATAATTTAGATTGATATCTCTCTTTTGATACATTCTATAGTTTAGATTGATATCTCTCTTTTGATACATTCTATAGTTTAGATTGATATCTCTCTTTTGATACATTCTATAGTTTAGATTGATATCTCTCTTTTGATACATTGAATAGTTTAGAATGACATCTCTCTTGATACATTGTATAGTTTAGATTGATATCTCTCTTTTGATACATTGTATCGTTTAGCTTGATATCGCTCTTTTGATACATTGTATAGTTTAGATTGATATTTCTCTTTTGATACATTGTATAGTTTAGATTGATATCTCTCTTTTGATACATTCTATAGTTTAGATTGATATCTCTCTTTTGATACATTCTATAGTTTAGATTGATATCTCTCTTTTGATACATTCTATAGTTTAGATTGATATCTCTCTTTTGATACATTGTATAGTTTCGATTGATATCTCTCTTGATACATTGTATAGTTTAGATTGATATCTCCCTTGATACTTTGTATAGTTTAGATTGATATCTCTTTTGATACATTGTATAGTTTAGAATGACATCTCCCTTGATGCATTGTATAGTTTAGAATGACATCTTTCTTGATACATTGTATAGTTTAGATTGATATCTCTCTTGATACATTGTATAGTTTAGATTGATATCTCCCTTGATACATTGGATAGTTTAGATTGATATCTCTCTTTTGATACATTCTATAGTTTAGATTGATATCTCTCTTTTGATACATTCTATAGTTTAGATTGATATCTCTCTTTTGATACATTGTATAGTTTAGATTGATATCTCTCTTGGTACATTGTATAGTTTAGATTGATATCTCTTTTGATACATTTTATAGTTTAGATTGATATCTCTCTTAATACATTGGTTAGTTTAGATTGATATCTCCCTTGCTACATTGTATAGTTTAGATTTATATCACCCTTGCTACATTGTATAGTTTAGAATGATATCTCTCTTGATACATTGTATAGTTTAGATTGATATCTCTGGTACAATATGGTATTGTATAGTTTAATACAGTATAGATAGTTTAGATGTATACAGTGTATATATAAAATGTATAGTTCAGATTCACTTTTAACTCAATGTAATGCAGATAAGGTTTCAACTGACTTCTCTTTAAATGTTATGTAGAAGTTTATATTGACTTTATTTTATCTCTCAGTTTGAAATAATTAAAGTATATAATCTAAGAACATTTAAAAAAGATATGTGAAATTCAATTCAATTCTTTAATGTGAAATTCAATTCAATTTATAGAAATCCTCAAGACTGAATTTAATGATGCTACAACAACAGATTTTATTGCATGGAGTTATGCATGTAATCTGTTTTTAATTAACTTGATTCTTATTTCTTTTTTTAAATTGTAAAACAAACAAAAAATGCCTTCTTAAGGTTAAATTTGAAAATATATAAAAGTTCAAGTAGCTTTTGTTTAATGTAATTTTATAAGTAGATTTAATATTATGGAAGTTAAATTTGAATGTTAAATCCATCTATTATTTTGTTGATATAACAACATTTCTGTTTAAATCTTGCTTGTATTCAGTTTTAAAATTAGATGTTAAATTGTTAAATTTAAATATGAATATTAAAATTTCTGTTTTATTTTGCCTTTAAAACAGTTATCATGAATTATGAGAAATCAGTAATGGTATCTAGCTGTGATATGTTGCCCCCTTTTTGCTCCCTCTAAACAACATGTGTTTCGGATGACAGGTTGATCGGTTCATCTTTGAGGGAGTGGAGCTTAGCCTCAAACCTTCCTGCTCCGTCTTCATCACAATGAACCCTGGATATGCTGGGAGAACTGAACTCCCCGACAACCTCAAGGTAAACATTAAGAGAGAGAGATATCTTCTGTTCCATTTCTCTGCAAAAAGAAAAAAAAACATACTCATACTGTTAAGAAATATACAAACACTACTAGAAGAGTAGTTTCTTTTTAAAGTCAACTTTTACTTGGTAATGTCACTGCCTCAAATGCAACTAGAAATCAAATTGATTTGATTATTGACTATTTTAGTTAAATTTTTCCATTCTTGGTCTTTTTTTCTTCTTTTTTTTGGGGGGGTTGGTGGGTGGGGGTATTTTAAGGATGAAGACTTGTTGATTTGAACATTCATCAATCTTATTAATTATTTTGATTACCATAAAGCAGATAGTTAAATAACTATAATTTTATAACTGAGTTCTGTACCTAAGTTTTCCCTGTATATATCAGTACATGTACTAAACTTTGTCCTGTATTTCTGTAAAATCCTGTAAGAAAGTACAATTGTATGCCCTGTACCTGACGATGAAGTATGTCCTTTATATCTGAATGTGATACTTACAGGCGTTGTTCCGTCCCGTGGCTATGATGGTACCCGACTATGCCCTCATTGCTGAGATCAGTCTGTTCTCCTTCGGTTTTTCCGACGCCAGAGTTCTCTCCAAGAAGATTGTGTCCACATTCAAACTATCCTCGGAACAGCTCAGTTCACAGGTTGGTTTTTACAGATTTCTAGAAATCATGTTTTCATTTTTAAAGACATAAGATTTATAAAGGCTATCTTAATGAACTTAAATGAATTTTAGGTTTTAAAAAAATAATCATATTTTTTAAAGGTTTTCATAATATCAGGTTTGCCTTTGCATACATCAGCAGAATAAGCAAGAAATGTTTAAGTATATGTCTAAAAGAATTTTCCAAAAGTGTTAATGTTTTTGTATTGTACTTTCAGGATCACTACGACTTCGGTATGCGAGCTGTCAAATCTGTCATCTCCGCGGCGGGTAACCTGAAGCGCCAGTTCGGAGATATGGACGAGGTCAGATCACTAAACGTGTTATAGATGTCTAGCTAGGTCCTCCTATGTTGCTTTCACTATTCATGGTCATGTCAGAGTTCATTTTCCTTCCTTAATTTCTAAGGAATCCTTTCTGTAAATCTCTCAAATAGCAGTTAAATACATAGTTTGTTATTAAGTTGTATACAAATAGAAGTTTTATCTTTACACTGCTGAACATTTTTTTTTTTAAACCATGCCTGTTTTACATAAACTGAGCCAAAAAGTATTTTACAAAGAAGTCTAAAACACTGTGTATCAAATCTGGTTGCATAAACTTGGGTTCATTTCCATATTGATATTGTTATTCAAGTGAACTTCAAATTGTGGAATTTGCAATACATGTACCATGAAAACAACCAAATAACCTGTTGACTTTTTCTCTTCTTTTCCAGGAACTCATTGCCCTTAGAGCTATCCGTGATGTCAACGTTCCAAAGTTTTTAGTGGAAGATTTGAAACTCTTCAATGGTATTGTCTCGGATCTGTTCCCCAACATCAAGTAAGTCAAAAATATCAAACATACAACATACCATAAACAATAGAATGCTGTTAGCCTATTGTCAACTGCAATATATGAAAAAAACAGGCTATCAAATATTTAACTAATTTCAGTTGCTTAAGAGTTACATATGAAGTTGGTGTAAAATCTTGATACATTAGCAAAATGTGTTTGATTTTCCTCCAGGGAACAGCCAATAGACTATGGATCCATGGATACGTCACTGAGGAAGACTTGTGTTAAGAACGGACTCAAGGATGTGGAAGGTGAGGGGAAAGGCTGAGGTTAGATATCTGATAGGGGCTCCACAAATGTTATTCAATTTGTGGATAAGACATGTACAATTACTAGCCGTCCACCCCTGGGTCGTATTCCTCCACTACCTGGCCCATCCTTAAATGATCAGAGCTGTTAATAGTATGGAAAGCAGAAGCAAACAAACCAATCTTCGAATGAAATGATTTATTTATGATTTTGAAAATTTGTATCCAAGAAGTTTTTTTCCTCTGATGTGTGTGTCATTGTAATTTACAGGAAGAAAGATTAAAACTCACAAGTAAAATTGGTTTTATGCAATAAAATGAAGCACACAAAACTATGGCTGTCTGAATTAATATCAATTTAATCATTGATAAACCAACAGATTTTTATGAAATGGAATAACAATGATATTTTAGAATAGTGTGACACTCGAAGTGTGCTTTAGACTAATTTACATCCGTATCAATCATGGATATGAACTTTTTGCAGGTTTCATCCACAAGTGCATCCAGTTGTTTGAGACGACAGTTGTGCGACACGGTCTCATGTTGGTCGGCCCTACCGGATCTGGAAAGACCAAGGTACGTGGCTAGATTAAACCGTGAATACAGTAGAGACTAGGAATTCAGATATTTGTTTTTTAATCTGGATACTTGTTTTATGTTAATGGTATTGGACAAATTTTTATTGCATTTTTGTTTCCAGTGTTACGACATACTGAAGCAGGCATGCTCCGCCCTCCAGGGGGAGGAATCACCAGCGGGATTCCCTTTCCAGACTGTAACGACATTTGTCCTCAACCCCAAGTCCATCACCATGGGTCAACTTTACGGAGAGTTTGACCTCATGACCCATGAATGGTATGTACGATATAAAGAGATTTCAACCTCAGAACAAATTAATGGTATGTTTTCAACCTCATGACAACATTTTAATATGAGGATGACAGAAACCATCAACAAACATTTAGGTAAACTGACCTACTTGAGTGCAAAAAATAAGATACATTGTGCCACGTGACTATACACAGGACAAATTACAGGATTATTTTGAATTACATAAGGACTGAAATTACCTGTTTTTCATAACAAACGTTTACCATATCATGGGTATGACCATATCATGGGTATGATAGAAGTCCGTCTAATTTCCAGGACGGACGGTATCCTGTCATCACTGATTCGTGGAGGTGCCTCGGCCACAGACAACAAGAAGAGGTGGTACGTGTTTGATGGGCCCGTAGATGCCGTGTGGATTGAGAACATGAACACTGTGCTTGACGACAACAAGAAACTCTGCCTCAGCAGCGGAGAGATCATCAAACTTTCTGAGGTAAAGTAGAAAAGAGGCGAAAAAGTAACAATTTTCATTATCAAACATTACTCATTTTCAAGTTTTGCTGTTTCAATTCTGTTGATTAATACAAAATCTGAGATGGCCATGTTGGTCTAAAATTAGCAACATTTGAACTTCCTGTCTAGTTCAGATTACAGATGAAACTGCTATAAATTATTGAATGTTTAATTATCCCAATTGTGCCTCAGGGGTAAGCTACACCAACAACAACAGATATAGGACTGATGGGCCTCTTGTTGACTCTTTGAGGCCTTTTTACGGGATTATTACTTTATCATTGTTTGGAACTCTTTTATGAAGGAGATGCATTTCTCAATGGGTAGCATACATCCTTAAGTCTTAAGCTATCAATAAGGTAGCTTAAGTCTTCATGTAAAAATAAGGTAGCATACAGCCTTAAGTGACATGATGCAGTAACACCTTCTTATCTGACACCCTGTAAAATCTAGCAGATCAGGTAGATCAAACATGAATAGTCATATTCTGTTATTTTTTTTATACATTTACCGGCTGAATAGGGTGATAAATTTGATGCTTTATTCCAGGACATGACAATGATGTTTGAGGTCCAGGATCTTGCAGTTGCCTCCCCTGCTACTGTGAGCCGATGTGGTATGGTATACTTAGAGCCCAGCTACATCGGGCTTAAACCATTTGTAGAGTGCTGGCTGCGACAACTGCCAGAAGCCATTTATCCGCACAAAGAAAAACTGGAACAGCTGTTTGAAACCTATATGGAGGTAACATATGAAATCTGTTTTTCTGTGCTTATTGTAAAGGTTATTTTTCGGTCGGTGTTAAAGTTGGAGCTAATTTGTGTTCTTGTTTGTTATCTATTATTCTGTAGTAGTCTTATGTTTTTCTACTACTGACATACATTCAACAGTATTTTCAGACTAATTTAGATACTGTGTAAGGCAATTAAAATCCCAAGGACTTGTTGTCACAATTTGATGGGAACAATTACGCTATTTAAATTCACAGAAGTAAAAATAACGGGTGTTTGTTCAATCTTTATATGGGTCTTATATTTATTAATGAGATACTAGAATTTGCTATCAATTTGCCCTTCAAACTGACACTGACGAGTATTCATCTTGTGCAATATAAGTAATCTGCTGTATATGAGATACATTTTATAGGATTAGCATGAATTCTGCTGAATGAATTGCCTATTAAATATGCCTATTTCCACCTCACAGCCTGCCATCAAGTTTGTGAGGAAAAATATCAAGGAGGCTATCCCGACAGTGGACTGCAACTTGGTATTCAGTTTACTGAAAATGGTTGAATGTTTCTTCACCCCATTTGTGCCTCAGGAGGTAAGCTACACTTTCCACAACCGTTCTTAGTTGTTCTCGCTGTGTTTGACCTAACCAGATCTCCCGATTTTGTTTACTTATCTGTTTGTTTCCCTTCTTTCTTTCTTTCAAAGAATTAGGTATACAATCTTAACCATTATATTGATAAGAAAACATGTTTGTTATCCAAAAATTATCAATTGAATAAGAAAGATTGTAAACGTTCATAAAGTTCTATGTTGAAAGATACAACCGCTACTTTTTGTTGGTTATATGCTTTATGAATTATTGGTCCTAATTTCAATATGAGACTAGTAGCATTTCAAAAATACCTAAAATATTGCAATAACCTGTTAACAATAGTAACAATTTATTTACAAATTTCCACAATGCTTCAATCTTAATATTGAATTTTGCTGTTCAGTTTCATTAAAATTTTAATATAATTCCCATTTGAAAACAGTATTTAATAAGCTTCCCCACGCTTTTGTGTGTGCTGTGATCTAATATCTAAATAGTGTGTAAATTTTCCAGCATTTAGATATATATACATTATCAATTTTGATACAGTAGTGATTACTACATTTTGTTTTGATTTTCTTTTGATTTCAAGTGGATGTTAGCTTGATTGTGCAATATTTGCTTTTATGTTATTTTTTTAAATTAAGTAGATTTATTATCTTGTGTGATGTATTTATAGGAGGACATGAAGTTCTAGTGGTTAATTTTGTATTGTGATGACCTAGAGATTTATTTCAGCTTCACTCTCTAGTGATGGACTCCCTCTAATAGAACATGTATATATTCATTACACTTCAATTTGTGTGAATCCCCGTATATCAATATATAGCCGTTTAATTACATTCCCTGTATATGTCATGTGTGATAATGTACCCTAGAAAAGTTATCATTTCAGTCTCATTACTATTTCGACTTTGATTAATATCTCACGGTCATGGAGAAAGTGATGTGTGTAGGGCCCTTAGTAAGGGTTTGGAAATAATTTAGGGGTTGATGATATAAAAATAAGGGTTTTGAATTATTATCAAGAGGTTTGAGATTATTGTGTGACATATTGATCCTGTCCAAATGCAAGTAAGGGTTTAGAGATTATTTAGGAGTTGGGGATAATTTTGGAATACACCTGCCATACATCAGTTTAAGGTTGAAGATTTACTCTGGGATTTGCCTGTATAATATACTTATGTTACCTCAATGAGTCAATGTCATAGTAACTGTAAGGGTTGAAGATTTTTTAGGGGTTAGACAGAATATTGTGTGATATACCTACCTTACCTTGATGACCCAGTAAGGGTTTGGAGGTTAGAAATTAGAGATTATTGTGTGATAATTGATATACCTGTCTTGCCTTGATATGATTGTAAGGGTTTGGAGGTTAAGAATTAGAGATTAATGTGTGATATACCTGCCTTACCTTGATATAATAGTAAGGGTTTGGAGGTTAGGGATTAGAGATTATTGTGTGATATACCTGCCTTACCTTGATGACATAGTAACACTGTTTGGTCACCCTCTAACAACAGCCAAGTCGGCGGCGAGTGGTAAGCTGCATGCCAGGATACATATACATGTGGTGGAAACACACACTTAGCATGACTAGTATAGCACCTAGCCTCGGGCACCACACTTTATGGCACTTATACTCATGATTTTTTTTTAAAATCTAATTTGAAAAAAAAATGTTATATGTATTTGGAACTTTACCATTTTAAGTCTCTTTTAATGAAGTTGTATTAAAAAAAAAAAAAGAGAATTTGTTCCTATTCATTCTGTTGACCAGTCCCCCACTGCCAACTTCACCATCCCCCTTTCCACAAACCACACATTTTCAAAGCTTACAGATCATGCTGACCATCATAACATTGTACATCATACCAACTACTGTTTCAAAACCCAAATTATTTTAGCTTGAATGTTTGGAAAGTAATATTTAATAAAAATAAATAAAAATCCTCAGCCCACAAACCAATTTACGTTCAAAACCAAAAAAAAAGTACAAAAAATATGGAGGGGAGTGGGGGGGAGGGCTGAGTGAACATTAATAGAATGAATATGTTAAATAGTTAAAAGGTGTATTGATATCATTATGTGTAAGTGCCTGTTTTGATCAAAGATAAATACAGCAGAAATGCAAATTATTTAAGATTATTATCTGTCATTAAATGTTTAATTACCTGGTAAAATAACAAATTAGAAAGAACTTATTTTTTGTCAAGAACAAAATAATTCATTTATCAAAATTAAGTTTAAAGGATCATAACAAGTGAATCTTAATGAGTTGAAAATTTATTGAGGTGAAACAAAATAATGAGTTGAGGATATTTGGGAATTTGCATTTCTGGTGTTAAGTGGGATGGCCTCTGATATATATCCATATATATATAAAATGAATCAGTATATAAGTATTTTGTTTTTCAGAAACCCTGCTTTTTAATTCATAATCACACAGCTAGACCACAAACTGTTTATAAAGCTCTGCTACACGCTTTTATAACATGATGCTATTAACCCTCCACTGCCACCAATTTCTTTACAGGATTACCCACAGCTATCATTGTTACAGGATTACCCACAGCTATCATTGTTACAGGATTACCCACAGCTATCATTGTTACAGGATTACCCACAGCTATCATTGTTACAGGATTACCCGCAGCTATCATTGTAATTCTGTTTGGCTGACATCGTTATACTTGTCAGACTCAAATCACCAACTTAAAGTTTTACTTATACATGGAGGCTGCCATTGTCTCCTTAGATAGTTTTGGTTATAATGTAACTTCTGTTGGGCTGCAATTCTATTTGGCCAATCTTAATGTTCTTTAATGAAAGTGATAAAAACTGCTGTTTTATGATTGTAGGTATAGCTTGGGAGACTTCATAACAATCTCTGTTACAATTAGTACTGTTATATGTCAATAGTCACTTTAATTGATAGATCGAAGATTGGAGGAATATTAGACATGGAACTAAAAACAGGATGTCTAATAGAAACCAATCACTTCTTTCCTCGACACTCTTGGGGTCACTTCCATCCTCGACACTCCAAGGGTCACTTCTATCCTCAACACTCCAGGGGTCACTTCAATCCTCGACACTCCAGGGGTCACTTCCATCCTCGACACTCCAGGGGTCACTTCTATCCTCGACACTCCAGGGGTCACTTTCATCCTCGACACTCCAGGGGTCACTTTCATCCTCGACACTCCAGGGGTCACTTCTATCCTTGACACTCCAGGGGTCACTTTCATCCTCGACACTCCAGGGGTCACTTTCATCCTCGACACTCCAGGGGTCACTTTCATCCTCGACACTCCAGAGGTTACGCTCTCTGCACTCCTGGAATATGTCATAGCAAAATTGAAGGTTCAGTGTGCACCACCTTGTTGATGAGACAAGAAGACTAGTTTGATCCTTTGATGTACATCAAAAGAATCTCACGGTCACTAACAGTAAACAATGACTGGCTTTGAAGTCGGGTGTCGCTCCTTTGTAATCTTCAAAGGACAGGTACCAAGCTAACGGTTGGTCAAGACCAATCAAACAGCCTTCTTTGTGCCTTAACTTTTACTATGACATATTTCAGGGATGTAGAGAGCGAAAGTGAACATAACACCTGGAGTCTAGTATCGAGGATGAATCACTTCATGAAATACCAAAGTGAAAATATGTTTAACTGAAAACAGAATGTCCAACAGAAACTAATCAAAGTGAAAAATATGGTATGATGATAGAGAAAAAGCAATCGTTTACCATATTTATCTGTCAATAAGCCGACGCCTGGTAATAAGCCTGCCCATCAATATCTATTGCAATGCAGTAGAAATGCCCTCACATTTTTATTTCATTGTCCTGTAATAAGCCACGCCCCTACTTTGAGTCAGAAATTATGTGTTGGCCCCCTTGGGCTTATTGCAGGATAAATAAGATAGGGTAATATATTTAGGTCAGTTTTCATGTTTTATATTTCAAATGTACAGATTCATGTATCACTCTATCTGTGTTGTAACCTCTTCTCCATTGATCAATATCCACACAGTATCTTCTCAACAAACTCACTTCTGGGGTAACATTTTTTACAGCACCACACATTCTGTAAAATTGATAAAATGTTCAGCTGTGTAGCATTGAACTTCAGTTGAACGTCACTGTACCAGGGTGTCACGCTAGATTAGACTAAATTGGTTTCAATGGTTGAGCTGGAAATGAAGTAGTTTCCATAGTTAAGGCTATATAGTTTAGAAAATAGCTAAGTGGGCAGTACTAACAATTTCACTTTTTGTTTTTGGTAAATTTACGTAGAATAAGCTAGCTTTATCACATATATTTTTAGACATTATATTCTGTCACTATCATTATATTGACTAAAATTTGGGAATTACATATTTCATTAATTAGTGCACAAAAGCATATCTATACCGTATACATATAATATCTTTATTTGACCATATATAATATATGTATATACAATATCTTTATAACAATTCTATTCTATTTTTATTCAAGCTTGTATATTGTTGTTTTACAAGTTTTGATTATGAATTGAATTTCATTGATTTTGAAATCTTGATAAATATACAATGATGTAAGTTGCCATATCATGTATAATGATACAATTGTTAACAAGGGCAGTAATCTAGTATACATTGTATTTAAGCCATACAACATGTTTACTTTGTTTCATTAAATTGTATTTTAATTCATCATCTTCTTCATTATATTTTTTCGTTATAATGGTAAGATGTGTTATATTATGAAACGAAAAATAATCAGAAATGTTCTGTTTTTTTTGTTTCTTATTTTTTTTTTCATAATTTCATATTACATGTATATGTAATATTGATAGTTGTAGCATTAAAAGATTTACGTAGGAATAATGTTATACGATCTATAATGTAAAACATTGACAAACTATATAGGGATACTCATTTTGAACTTATAAGCAACACTATTAATATTTTTAATCAACTTGTCATTTAGACATATTCCTGACCGATTGAAACACGATTCATGTTTACAGGGTGATCCGGTCATCCCTCAGGAGAGTCTTGACCGATTGGGGGAACTGATAGAGCCGTGGTTCTTCTTCAGTCTCGTGTGGTCTGTCGGCTGTACTGGTGACAACGACAGTTGGACCAAGTTCTCCAACTGGCTCCAGGAAAATATGGCCAAGAACGAGGTACACTTGTAGTGTAATATTAAAGAGAACAGCATTTGGTTTACATACAAATAACCCTGTTAGCTCACCTAGTCCAAAGGACCAAGGTGAGCTTATGCCATACCGCTACGTCCGTCGTCCGTCCGTCCTCCGTCCATCCTCCGTCGTCTGTACATCAACAATTTCTTCAAACGACTTCTTCTTCTTAACCACTGATTGGAATTTAACTTAATTTGACTGGAAGCATCCCTATGTGGTGGGGATTCAAAATTGTACAAATGGTAGGGTTAACCCCCCAGGGGTTGAGGGGCGGGCCAAAAGGGGACAATTTGGCTATATTGCTATAATTGACTTCTTCTGTAGAACTGTGCAATGGATATCAATCATATTTGGTCAGAAGCATTAATGGGAGGCGGGGATTCAAAATTATACAAATGGTGGGGCTGACCCCCAAAGGAACTGAGGAGTGGGGCCAAAAGGGGTGAATTTGGCTATATTGCTTGAAGTGACTTCTCCTCTGAAACTTAGAGATGGATATCAACCATATTTTACTGGAAGCATCCCTAGAAAGTGGGGATTCCAAATTGTACAAATGGTGGGGCTGACCCCCAAGAGGGCTGAGGGGTGGGGCCAAACAGGGTTATTCGGCTATATTGCTTTAAGCGACTCCTCTCTACAACTAAAAGATGGACATCAACCAGATTTGGCTGAAAGCATCCCTAGGTAGTGGGGATTCAAAATTGTACAAATGGTGGGGCTGACCCCCCAGGGGGTGGAAGGGCGGGGCCAAAAGGGGGCAATTTGGCTTAATTGCTATAATGACTTCTTCTGTAGAACTATGCACTTGATATCAATCATATTTGGTCAGATGCATTCATGAGAGGCGGGTATTCAAAAGTGTACAAATGGTGGGGCTGACCCCCCTCCCCCCCCCAGGGGGCTGAGGGGTGGGGACAAAAAGGGTTATTTGGCTATATTGCTTTAAGACACTCTTCTTCTCTTGAACTAAGAGATTGATATCAACTATATTTAACTGGATGCATCCCTAGGTAGTGGGAATTCAAAAATTTACAAATGGTGGGGCTGACCCCCAGGGGGAGGCTGAAGGGCATGGCCAAAAGGGGGCAATTTGGCTATGCACTGTATATCAATCATATTTGATTGGAAGCATTCATGGGAGGCAGGGATTCAAATTATATAAGTAGTGGGGCTGATCCCCTTGGCTATAGGGTGGAGCAAACAATAGTTTATTGCTTGGAAAAGGTTGAGATCACCACCCTATTACCATATATACAATTGCTGAGTATAAAAAAAAAGAATGCACATATGCTTCCAGGATTGCTCAGGGGTCTGGCCCCACCATTGGAGACATAGTCCATGGGTCATAACTTTGAAACGGTTGTGATCCCCATCCCAAAACTGTATATACAAATGCTGGGCATAAAGAGACGAATGCAGTCATGATATTATAATTGATCCTGGGGTCTGGCCATAACCCTAGGGACCTAGTTTCTGAATCTCACCTTGGAATCAGTTGAGATCCCCACCCCATAACCATACATAAAATTGCTGGACATGAAAAATCTAATACAGATATGATACAAGGATTGGCCTTGGGGTCTGGCCCATTCCCTTGGATCTTATTTGGAGAATATTTTGCCAGGATTACTTTTGATATCCAGGTGAGCGATACAGGCCCTATGGGCCTCTTGCTTAATATTTACAGAAGAATTTCCATGGGTAGATTCCTGATCTATTCTCTATATGTGTTTTGAGAAAAAGAAGGCATTACAGTTTTCAAGGCTTAAAAACAAGTTTTACCAATCTAATTTAAATCTTTATACAAATGTAAAATACTTATTGCCTGATATCGTTCTAACATGAGGATGTCAGGACCAAGAACAAAAGTTGGAATTATTTTAACAGTGTTCAAGGTAATAAAACAAACAATTTTAAGTGGTGACATTTTACTTTCTATATGGAACAAGGGTTTTTCTCATTTATTTAAATCTGAATCAAACAAGTTCTACTGTTTCATGCATTATTGCACCATTTTATCAAAAACTGTTGAAAAAATAAAAATAAATAAAAAAATCCTGTAATTATTCTTAATAGCCAATTGACTATGAAACTTAACATTTAATTTTTGGCTTTGTACAGACCAAGATGGTCTTCCCCTCGGAGGGGCTGGTGTATGACTATTATCTGGAAGATGGAGGCATCAGCAGCAACCAGAAGAGTGATGACCCTGACGAGGAGGAAGGTGACAAGAACCAGGAGGTCAGTCACAGTTAATATAAGTTAAACCTGACTTAACCAACACCTGACTTTCCTGACACCTTACTAAATAGACCTTATTTAACAGACAGCCGACTTTACCAAAACCTGACTTACTGACACCTTTAAATGAGAGAAAATTCACAGAGATATAAATTCTTGGAAAGTTATTAATATTTACTAAGTTAACTTACTATGTATTTTAGTCATTTTATAACAGGAGAGAAAAAAAATGAATAAAACACATTTCAAAAACTTACATTGGTTTTAATCAAATCACAATTTTGAAACATAATACAGAATATGAAGTAAAGATAGGAATATTTGTTTTTGGAGTATGTACATTGTAGTATGAATTTTATGTATCAAATTAATAACACATTTACAGGACCTATGCTTTTTTTTATTTTTTTATTTTACATTAATTGTAAGAGTTTTGTTTCTATCCTGTGTCTTCTTACATAATGCTTTCTGCATAAATATCCATGACCTAGAACATTCCTGTAAAAAAAGAAAAAGAAATTTAATGATTTGTAACAAAAACCTGGTATGCAGAATCCATATTACAATTACATGTATATATAATTATGACTATATACATGTAGTGCTTTACAATATCTTATTGATAATCACATAAGTCATAATTTAGAAATTACTGCATCAAATTATACTAATACTGCATAATTATACCTGGTCTTCAACCAAACTAACAGGAATGATAAATATTGATAGTTTTTACTTTCATGTTAGTAGATAAGCTAGCAATAATATATATATACATGTAGAATACAGTATTATTAAAATAAAACAAACGCGACTTTTAATAACAAAATTTTAATTAATCTCTTGATTAATATATCACCAGAAATCAATCTTAGAGACATTAGCAGCAGCAATTACACATTAACTTTCACATGATAGATTTCAGTATATCAGGGTTTTTTACATTTGATCTGACTTTTATCAAATTATCTGTTGTTACTTTGCTATTACCTGGTTATATACGAAACTGCAATTATGTTGTTTCTATTCATTTTCCACCCTTGTTGTGATGACCTATGACCTTATAAATTATTCTCTATGATTTGATATATCCAGGTTTGGCCTATTGTATTTTACTCTGTCCTTACTTCCTGTAATAATAAAAATCAAATTATGCATCTTTTAAAAATTTACTCTGATTTGTTAAGATATGAATATAATTTGACAAAAAACATTTGATACACTGTTCACAATACGCTACAAATACAATAAGAAACAAAGTGATTTGTTTACTAATTTTGAAATATTTCATTGAAATTGGTTACTTTGATGTTTTGAGTTGAAATGCAACCTGATAAGATATATAACTAAATTTCACTCCCTAAAACAGAGATTACATGTAAAGAGGAAAAGAGTATAATGCACTGTAAGCTGAATTAACCTACAACACATGAAACAAAAAAAATGAAAGAAAAGTACCTGTAATATATTAATTTATTTCCTACCTTTTCCTAAATCTAGAAAGCTGCTCATGGCTCCTGTCAGTACCTAATCTGAGCCCCCCCCCCCTACAAACTGATACACAGAGAAAAACACATTGATGTTCTATGTGAAACAAGTTTGGTCAGGGGTTTGCTGAGAGTATGATAAGAAAGTAAACAATATGACAATCTGCACAAACACCTGTGCACTATATAATATGACACTATATATTTACCTCATTGTAGTAACTCGTCTACTCTTGTCTGAATGCTTCGGTTCGGTATGGGGGTCCTTGTAGTCATAGTTCCTTAGGGTCAAAGATGGTGACTCGAGACATTTATTTTCAGTTGCAGTTTTCAGACGTTCTTTCGTATCACTTGACGCTGTTTACACTGCCATTTATTAATTATTTCTGAACAAAATCTCTGTCAACAGTCAAGACAGAATTGCTGTAATGCTTCGAATGAAATTTTCAACATCAATACCTTTAGTACAGTAGAGAAGTGTCGCCGTCAGTGTGATGGGTAACGGTCATAATTTTTCCATCCTACGAAATGACTTATTCCGTTCTATTCAACATGTAGATAAGTGAGCAATAACAAAGGAAAGCACATATTTTTTCACTTCCAGACTTCATCCCCAGCAGCTGTCATATCGCTGTCATCAGCTGCGATGGTAAACTTCCGGTGTATACGACTTTCGTTCTTATTTACGGGAGTTATAAAAGATGGTCGCCCTGGATAGTTTTCATATTTTTTTGACGTTCTTAATTGTTGTTAATAATTGTTGATGACACTTGTTTAATCCAAGCGTGATGTCGTTAGGTTACCATAAATCATTCTGAAATTTAGCAGACATGCGCAACTTCCTGCGCAATGGCACTAAATTTGAGAAGGATGGACCCACCTTAAGATACCTAGGAATCTATTTAATTTTAGTTGATACAAACTTGGACCATTTCTTAATAAGTTTTTTTAATTGTTGTTTACTATTTTCAATTTTATCTACAGTAATTGTCCTTGGATATTAGATAACAAAATGTTTGTTAATTTCAATTATGACCATTTTTGGAAATCAGGAAACGAATATTTCTGATTAAACAGATTATTTAAAAGAAATAAGAATCCGAGATTGGACTTAAGAAATTGCTGATGAGGACAATCACTGGTTGACTTAACATGTTTTTGTTAATGTTATATATTTAAGATACATAGAATTTTCATTTCAGACCTGTTGGTTCTTATATTATTACTATAAAGACTATTGTTAACTACTAGTTTTACAGATTGGGATGAAACTCATGTTTTTAACGAAAATATTTGTAAGAATAAAATCACAGATGGGGAACCAGGACATTTTTTAATATAAGACAGTTTACAAAATACTAGGGGTGAATCAAAATTGTATGAGTACCACATAACTGTGTTTAGTGCACATTAGTACCTAATTAGAGATAACATTTATACAAATAACACAAAGTCCAAATAAGATCAAGATTGTATTGTTCGTTTCATTTGTTTCAACTACAAAAGCTACTATTTATATATTTACTAAAAAAGTTATGATCTTTGGCAATCTTAGGGGCTACTCTGCATGTTTGTTTCGCTTCTAGAAAGACAGTTTCTAGATGAATGAAATTTTCATAGTAGACATGGACACTGGGGAAAGCCCATCTGTGTATGACTGTTTGGATACTCAGAAGTATTTCATTAGAAGTTGTTAATTGAAATAGTTGTTGAAAAGGACTGTTCCAGATATATCATTGGTAATTTACAAATTGTAACTTTGATCCTTGATGACACCAGGTGACGTGGAGAAATTGGTTATATGGTCGCGCAGAGTTCCAGGTAGCCCCTGACACCAAGTTTTCTGACATCATTGTACCCACTATTGATACCATCAGGAGTGCTGCCATCCTGGAGATGCTACTACTAAACAGGAAGACGGTACAGTTATCTCCCTTGTCTCATAAACACTACCAATATATCCACAAGACGAATCTAAAAATGAAAATGAAAATTTCTCGTAGGACATGAAAACAACAAATCTTTATCTTTATATATATACAAAAATATTAAATAAAGCTGTTTATCATAATAACCGCTATCATAATGAGTAGGTTCCACTGTATGTCGGTTTGGCCATTCTTTATACAAACTTCTCTTTCTAATGCAAATCTAAATGAATGACAAATAGATGAAAAAGATATAGATTAACTCATTTGGTGTTGTTACTTTAAATTTGTCATCTTGACTGTTCACAGGTGCTATGTGTTGGTCCGACCGGTACTGGTAAGACCTTGACCATCGCTGACAAACTGACCACTAAGATGCCCAAAGAGTATGTTCCGGAGTTCATTGTGTTCTCAGCCAAGACAAGCGCCAATCAGACCCAGGACTTGATTGATGGCAAACTGGACAAGAGGTAAGACTCAAAGCTTTAAGATAAACTCAAATCTTCAAAATAGGAAACCAATGTGATTGTACTGTAGAAACGGAAATTCTCATTTGTGGAAGTATACACATGACTCTTCAAACTGATTGTAGTGTGGAAGTTTTCATGTTAGCCATGGTTCTTAAATCTGAATACATAATATATAAGTAATAACATCAACAATATGGTCCAATATGGGCACTGGATCTGAACACTATGCTAGTCGGGCGTGTATCACTTAAATAGATATACAAGCAATAATCTATTTATTTACATAAATTATGTTTTGTATGGGTATTTTGGATTTATTTATCCTTTATCACTTTTCCTCATTATCTCGAAAAATGTTACCATTTCCACACCACAATAATTTCCAGTTTCACAGTAAGTACCTAAATTTGAAAATATCCTGGATAAGTTGGATTTCAAAATATGTTTACTGCTGCAAAGGAGATGAAGATCAGTTTTAAATGATGCAGAAAAAGATAGTTTTTTTGATGATTTATACTTTAAATATTGCTCTTTTTGATTGATTTTAGGCGTAAGGGAGTGTTTGGTCCTCCTTTAGGGAAGTACTTCATCTTCTTCATTGATGATTTGAACATGCCCGCCCTTGAGACGTTTGGTGCCCAGCCTCCAATTGAGCTGATTCGTCAGTGGCTCGACTTTAACGGATGGTACGACAGAAAAGCTATTGGTGAGTCAGACTGTTATTTTTTTTAATACAATTCATTATTTGTGAAATTTACTTTTTTGTTTGTTTTTTTGTCTGTGACTCCATTATCATAACTTAAGTTTTTTCTATCTTTAGAAATGTTTGAATTGATATACCTGAATTTTGGCCAAAATGTTTTGGAGCACATTTTTATAATGTAACATCATTACCATCAGTTTCATAGTTTATTGTCCATGTGATGTTTCTTGGTCATGAAACTACCAAATAATCTAATTTTTCAAGTTTCAAGTTAAGAATGAAGTAAAAATATGTTACATCAAGAAATAACTCTGAATAAATTCTTTATTAAAACAAAGAAAACTATCACTTAATGGATCTTTTTCTCCACCAGGTGAGTTCCGTAAGTTGGTGGATGTGAACTTTTGCTGTGCCATGGGACCCCCCGGAGGTGGGCGTAACCCAATCTCTGCACGTCTCGTGCGACATTTCAACCTGCTGGCATTCACAGAGATGGAGGACCACAGTAAGAAGAAAATCTTCAGTGCCATCCTCAAGTCTTGGATTCGTAAGTAAACTTTACACAGTGAAAGAAGAATTTATGACTATATATATTGTTTATTTAGGGGCAGCGATTTTTAAAAGTACTGATTGTTTTATATAAAATGAAATAAAATATAATGCAGGTAGAGAGATACTTTCAGGAAATTGCCACTATTCTTAGGGGGGGGGGGGGGGGGGGGGAGGTCATAGAGTATCCCATGATACCGCAGTCTAGTGCATAATTGTGATAATTTTATCCATTGTATATTCTAGCCAATTCTCTGATATCACACACGGACTCCCTGGTGGACACGTGCATCAATGTGTACAATGAGATCAGCTCACAGCTACTGCCCACGCCAGCCAAGTCTCACTACACCTTCAACCTGCGTGACTTATCCCGAGTGTTCCAAGGCATTCTCATGTCAGAACCAGGCAAGATAGAGGTAGGTTACGTCTTCAAATACTCACTATCACATAGCATACATGCATATTCATATGTCCTGCAAATATTTAAAATTTCAGTGTGTATTTCTTTTATTGTTTTAATAAGGCTGTATCTTTGATTTTTTATTTGTCTTCAATGCATATGAAAAGGATAAGTTCAATGAGGTTGCATTTGATGGAATGTCGGCTGTGGTGAACTAAAAAACACATGTACATTTATTTGTTGTTATATAATAAACAGTCTTTCTGCATGAGAAATGTTGATCACATGTAAAATGGTAATAGAATGAGGTCACATCAACACAGGAAGTGACAACATCAACACAGGAAGTGATGTCATACCAAGGGAAGCAAACACTTTTTAAAAATTAGAAATGATTTCTTTTAGTCATTATGACTTCAGGGCTCTGTGTATTTGATAGATAATGATTTTGCTGATTATGTGACTATTTCAGCATACTTTTGTAAGTATGTTATGTTCGTAATTGTTGTTTGTTGATGATTATTTTGTATTAGTTTTAGATTTAAATTTATTTACCTTTTGAAGGTCACATCACTTTGCTTGTTTCATCGTTCAACAAAGGCAGGATTTAAAAATCTGTTGAACATTGGAATTGGAATTTTAAATCTTGCAACATATTTATTATAATTATTAATACCCAATATTTGTTATTCATTACCAAATCAATGTTTCATTCTGATTCACAGTTTATATTTTATTTGAAAGGATGTTTTCTTTTCAAAAAGGCTTTGGATTTTGGATTAGTTTTGGCATTTTGGTTCAGCTCCAATTTTATATACCTCCCACAGTATAATCACATATTGAGACAGATATTGTACAAAATTATGGTGGTGACTCCAAGAGGCTCAGGACTCCCCCATCCCCTTCCCCTTCCCCACACCCATCTGTGAGTTGTCCTCCTTGACCTTGTACCTTCCCCTTTTCTCGCGACAGAGCCTTATATCTAATCTTCTAGTAATTTCTTACTCCTCTTTTCCTAACTTACTTCTTCACCTCTCTCCTTACCTTCCATACCTATTTGTCCCCTTCATCCCCTACCCTCCTACTTATTTGTCCCACTCATCCCCTACCTTCCTACCTATTCGTCCCCTTCTAACCCTACCTTCCTACCTATTTGTCCCACTCAACCCCTACCTTCCTACCTATTTGTCCCCTTCATCCCCTACCTTCCTACCTATTTGTCCCACTCATCCCCTACCTTCCTACCTATTTGTCCCACTCATCCCCTACCTTCCTACCTATTTGTCCCACTCATCCCCTACCTTCCTACCTATTTGTCCCACTCATCCCCTACCTTCCTACCTATTTGTCCCACTCATCCCCTACCTTCCTACCTATTTGTCCCACTCATCCCCTACCTTCCTACCTATTTGTCCCACTCATCCCCTACCTTCCTACCTATTTGTCCCACTCATCCCCTACCTTCCTACCTATTTGTCCCACTCATCCCCTACCTTCCTACCTATTTGTCCCACTCATCCCCTACCTTCCTACCTATTTGTCCCACTCATCCCCTACCTTCCTACCTATTTGTCCCACTCATCCCCTACCTTCCTACCTATTTGTCCCACTCATCCCCTACCTTCCTACCTATTTGTCCCACTCATCCCCTACCTTCCTACCTATTTGTCCCACTCATCCCCTACCTTCCTACCTATTTGTCCCACTCATCCCCTACCTTCCTACCTATTTGTCCCACTCATCCCCTACCTTCCTACCTATTTGTCCCACTCATCCCCTACCTTCCTACCTATTTGTCCCACTCATCCCCTACCTTCCTACCTATTTGTCCCACTCATCCCCTACCTTCCTACCTATTTGTCCCACTCATCCCCTACCTTCCTACCTATTTGTCCCACTCATCCCCTACCTTCCTACCTATTTGTCCCACTCATCCCCTACCTTCCTACCTATTTGTCCCACTCATCCCCTACCTTCCTACCTATTTGTCCCACTCATCCCCTACCTTCCTACCTATTTGTCCCACTCATCCCCTACCTTCCTACCTATTTGTCCCACTCATCCCCTACCTTCCTACCTATTTGTCCCACTCATCCCCTACCTTCCTACCTATTTGTCCCACTCATCCCCTACCTTCCTACCTATTTGTCCCACTCATCCCCTACCTTCCTACCTATTTGTCCCACTCATCCCCTACCTTCCTACCTATTTGTCCCACTCATCCCCTACCTTCCTACCTATTTGTCCCACTCATCCCCTACCTTCCTACCTATTTGTCCCACTCATCCCCTACCTTCCTACCTATTTGTCCCACTCATCCCCTACCTTCCTACCTATTTGTCCCACTCATCCCCTACCTTCCTACCTATTTGTCCCACTCATCCCCTACCTTCCTACCTATTTGTCCCACTCATCCCCTACCTTCCTACCTATTTGTCCCACTCATCCCCTACCTTCCTACCTATTTGTCCCACTCATCCCCTACCTTCCTACCTATTTGTCCCACTCATCCCCTACCTTCCTACCTATTTGTCCCACTCATCCCCTACCTTCCTACCTATTTGTCCCACTCATCCCCTACCTTCCTACCTATTTGTCCCACTCATCCCCTACCTTCCTACCTATTTGTCCCACTCATCCCCTACCTTCCTACCTATTTGTCCCACTCATCCCCTACCTTCCTACCTATTTGTCCCACTCATCCCCTACCTTCCTACCTATTTGTCCCACTCATCCCCTACCTTCCTACCTATTTGTCCCACTCATCCCCTACCTTCCTACCTATTTGTCCCACTCATCCCCTACCTTCCTACCTATTTGTCCCACTCATCCCCTACCTTCCTACCTATTTGTCCCACTCATCCCCTACCTTCCTACCTATTTGTCCCACTCATCCCCTACCTTCCTACCTATTTGTCCCACTCATCCCCTACCTTCCTACCTATTTGTCCCACTCATCCCCTACCTTCCTACCTATTTGTCCCACTCATCCCCTACCTTCCTACCTATTTGTCCCACTCATCCCCTACCTTCCTACCTATTTGTCCCACTCATCCCCTACCTTCCTACCTATTTGTCCCACTCATCCCCTACCTTCCTACCTATTTGTCCCACTCATCCCCTACCTTCCTACCTATTTGTCCCACTCATCCCCTACCTTCCTACCTATTTGTCCCACTCATCCCCTACCTTCCTACCTATTTGTCCCACTCATCCCCTACCTTCCTACCTATTTGTCCCACTCATCCCCTACCTTCCTACCTATTTGTCCCACTCATCCCCTACCTTCCTACCTATTTGTCCCACTCATCCCCTACCTTCCTACCTATTCGTCCCCTTCTACCCCTACCTTCTCCTTCTTCATCTACTCCTTACCTCCACTCCCTATCCTGCCATACTCCTTAAATTTTCTACCTGTCTGTCCCCTTTGACCCATACCTTCCTACCTGTCTGTCCTCTTTGAACCATACCTTCCTACATGTCTGTCCCATTTGACCCCTACCAACCTGTCTGTCCCCTTTGACCCATACCTTCCTACCTATCTGTCCCATTTGACCCACACCTACCTACCTATCTGTCCCCTTTTACCCCTACCCATCCACCTATCTGTCCCCTATGACCCTTAGACTCCTGCCTCCCCTTCATCTACTACTTGCTCCCCTTTCCATATGTCCCTTTCCAATTACCTCCCTTTGCTTCCCAATTTGTACTGGTAATATTATTTTCTTTCACAGTAGTAATACACATGGATAATGGTATCAAAGTTTTACAAAATCACATCACAGCAATCTAACAGTTAATTTATATTTCGTTGAATAATGATGCATTTTGAGTTTTTATATTACATTTTCTCTTATATTTGTTACATATTATGCTGGTACAGTACATTTGATGAAATCAGTTGAGGTATTGATCATGATTAGATTTTCTCAAATCCCAACTCAATGTTTCCAGAATCTTACTTAACCTTTCATCAGTTGTAACATTTCTTTAATCGTACAAGTCAGGGATATCAAATATAATCTGTTGTGTATCTCTGTATCACAATCAAACCACTTATTCTCATGGTTCAACGCATGGAGTCCGCCTCAAGCTGAGTTTGAGCTCAAGTATCAGTGTTAACCATTTGAGAGCCTAAATATTTACTTAAGACAGACTCATCATGTTGATGATATTAGAACTTAGCATTGTCAAGTTGTGGTAGTCCTTGATCCCCTTTTCAATATATGATAGTCCCTGAACAATATCTTCAAATTACAATGGTCTTGTCATAAGTATCCTCAAATCACAATAGTCTGTCATAAATATCCTCAAATCACAATAGTCTGTCAACAATATCCTCAAATCACAATAGTCTGTCAACAATATCCTCAATTAAAATAGTCCCTCAACAATATCCTCAAATCACAATAGTCTGTCAACAATATCCTCAAATCACAATAGTCTCACTCTGTCAACAATATCCTCAAATCACAATAGTCTGTCAACAATATCCTCAATTGAAATAGTCCCTCAACAATATCCTCAGTTATAATAGTCCGCTAACAATATCCTCAATTATAACATAATATTCTAAAGTTATGATAGTCTTCGACCATCATCCTCAAGTTCATGATAGTCCCTACAAGACATCCTCAGTTAATGATCGTCCCTGAACATTATCCTCAAGTTCATGATAGTCCCTACATGGCATCCTCAGTTAATGATCGTCCCTGAACATCATCCTCAAGTTCATGATAGTCCCTACATGGCATCCTCAGTTAATGATCGTCCCTGAACATCATCCTCAAGTGTATTACTTCCTTGAGTCTTATAGCGACATCCTCAAGTTATGCTGGTCCTCAATGACATTCCTCAAGTTATGATAACTGTATATATCTGTATCTCGACCTAAATTATCCCCGCCTCTACATGCAGGGCCTGAATGACATTCTCAAGCTGTGGTACCACGAGAGCTGTCGAGTATTCCAGGATCGTCTTGTTAATGATGAAGATCGTAACTGGTTTGACAATCTGATGAAGAAAAAGATGAAAAGTGACTTTGACCTTGAGTTTGACAAGGTCGTTGACCAGCTCCCCATCTTGTTTGGGGACTTCATTTCTCCTGGAACTGGTGACAGCAAGCCATACTTGGAGATGAGGGATCACGAAAAGGTTTGTTTTAACAATTGTCTATTACTTATAGAACACAGAATTAACACCTATTAGGACACCTATTCAAAGTGGTTTCCAAACAATACTCTTTATCAGACAATTATTGGCCCTTCACTCCATATCCAAAATCCATATTTGTCCAGTGCTGATTTCGTCCTTCACTTTTAGTTACGATATGTTGTATGTATTGTACTACTAAAGGCTTTCATGATAAATTTGGCCTCAATGTGGAGGGTGAAAGTTGCGAAAATTAAACTGTAGCAAAACTTTTCTGGTATGCTGTAACTTGTACATATTACAAACCCTTTTCATCTGGGTGGGTCAATCACTGTGTCTGTATTCTTCTTTTGAATTATGTATTAACTCATTCACCCCTGAATTGTTATAATGAACTATTCCAACCTTTGAATTGGAAGAGTTCAAATGTGTCTTCAGGTGTGAATGAGTTAATAGTTCCCCGCTTGTACTACTTTAGGGGACTATAAGTTTGCATTCATCTTTCTTTACTTCTTACGTAGAATCTTATATCAATTCTTGTTCTAGCTGATCCTTTGTTTTGATGATAAGACTCAATTTTATCAAATGAATTTCAGATGGTGAAGGTACTAGAGGAGAGTTTGGAGGACTACAATCAGATCACCACTGCCCAGATGAAGCTTGTACTGTTTATGGATGCAGTGAAACACGTCAGCCGAATCAGTCGTATTATCAGACAACCCATGGGTAACGCTCTCCTGCTGGGTATGGGAGGCAGTGGTCGTCAGAGCTTGACAAGGCTGGCCTCACACATGTAAGTAACAATAAGATACAAATACTTTGTAATTTACAGTATTTATCGGCAATAAGCCCATGCCTGGTAATAAGCCCACCCATATCTAATGCTTTTCAGTAAAAAGCCAACAAGATCGTTTGCCCCCTGGGCTTATTAGAGATAAACATGGTATATGCATTTGTCTATAACAAATTGCAGGGGACCAAAGAAATCAGTTTGCTGTTGGCTAAATTTAGCGCTGAATCTTATCTTCTTAGATAATTCATTGTTGAGGTACAAGCATAACTTCATTATGAACAGTAAATAATATTTGTTGAAGGTGTATTACCAAATTTAATGTTAATTAGATCAAAATTTTATGATTTACTGAATGAGGTGCATGCTTATATTTCTGTTTCTTATGACAGATTTGAAGTCAAGTATTTTTATTCAAATTGTCAAAGTTTTGATTTTTGATTTTTTTCTTCTCAAAAAATAGGTCTGACTTTGAATGCGTCCAAATAGAACTTGCCAAAAACTACGGGACTAACGAGTGGAGGGAAGATTTGAGGAAGGTGATGATGAAGGCGGGGTTGGAGAACAAACCTGTTGTCTTCTTGTTCTCTGATACACAGGTAAGTCTACACCAGTCTCTGTCTGTGCTCTGTATCTATACCTCTCATAATTGTTACTTAGACATGGCCGATCACTCACCTTTTACTTGCCTACCTGCTGGGAGAGTTTTCATTGGTGTATGCAGAGGTCACATCTTTATATGACCTTTGAACTCTCCAAAAATACAAGTTCACTTTCCGTACTCAGGATCATCTGATTGCAAAAAACAGTTGTGGAATAATAAATTTTCCACATTATACAAAATATGAATTATTATGTGAATATGAATTCATTGTCAGCAAACACACCTGAAGTGAAGATCACAATAAGTATATTCAAACATTTATCAACTCATTCATCCCTGAAATTTCATAATGAACTATTCCAACATTTGAATTGGAAGAGTTCAAATGTGTGTTCAGGGGTGAATGAGTTAAGAGACCACCCAAGGAAAGGCCAAAACTAGTCTGTTACATTGTAATACAGAATTAATAAAATAACAAAATGTTTTGTGGGGATAATGAAAAAATGATGGTCAACAATCAACTTGTTTATTTGTTACACAGATCAAGAGTGAATCGTTCCTTGAAGATCTGAACAACATCCTGAACGCAGGAGACGTACCAAACATCTACGGCTTTGACGAACAGGACCAGATATACTCGGCCATGAAGCCCATCGTTCAGGATCTACAACTCCAACCAACCAAAACAAACCTGTTTGCCTGCTACACCAAACGTGTACGCAGTAATCTCCACACAGTCATCACAATGAGGTATGTTACCTTATGACAAGAGTTACTTCCCTTGATATAATTCCGTTTTTTTTAATTTTTAAAGACCTGACAATTTTTATTAGTTCCAGGATCCTCTGCCATGAAATGCCTGTGAGCATATGCAATGCTGTCTCATTCGATGTCGTCATTTTCGTCTTTATCTTCATAACCATTAAGTTGTGGAGTCTCTCATATTTGGTCTGTAGATTAAAATGACTTTGTCAAGGCCGCATGGGTCAAACATGTAAAAAAAAACATTAAAAAAATTAAAATTAGAGCAAAATTAAAATTAAAAATTAAAAGCGAATATAGATTTTACTGGCGAGGGACACAAGTTTGAACGGGCGAAGTTTTCTGATATACAGTAGGTAGTAGCTAGTATGAATTCCCTTTTTGTGTTTTCCAATTTTCACCATATGGCCCTATATGACTTAATTGTGTTGATGGGCCATTGAGAGTTTAACAAATGAAATGGTTGATTCATGAAATGTCTGCCCTTTTGTTTAAACCTGGTGATTGAATAATACATTACCTTACTACCTGCAGTCCCTTGGGAGAAGTGTTCCGAGCACGATTGAGGATGTTCCCCGCCCTTGTCAACTGCTGTACCATAGATTGGTTCAGTGAGTGGCCACCAGATGCATTGCGGTCAGTAGCCATGAGATTCTTGACCGACATTCCCGAGTTGGACACAACAGATCAAGTTATGGAAGGTTTGGTAAGCAATTAATGGCTTCATTTCTATCATTGTGCCAGTCTATCGTTGACTGGAGTATTAAATCAAAAGGCTTACAGTACACAACAGTTTCTTGTTTGGATAGCCATACAAGGGTTTTTGTAATGGTGGCAAGTTTTTTGGGTTGCTTTCATTTATCATGTTCCAAGTAGTTGGACAGTTGGTCCATGGTTGTTTGTTTCTAAAATAGGGACAGACCTGCTAATCAGATGCTGTTTTCTGGTAAGCCTTGGCAAAGACTTCCAAGGCCTGCAGTAACATGTGCGGGTCGATCAAGCTCTATCCCTGAGATAGTACATTTACAGATAGACAATTAAACCAGTTTATTCACATAAACGAACAGGCTCCTGGTAATGCATAACCTGGTTTCCCATTATTTCCGAGAATGGTATCTCATAATCTCAGGAAACTCTCATGAGCATTGTATTTCATAAGGAATGTTTTACATCATCTTGTCCATCATAAGTATTCTCTATCAAATATCATCTCATAAGGCTTAATGTTGATAACTATGTTCTAAACCTCATCTCACACTGTGTATGAGTGTATAGTATGAGAGATGAGAACAGTTTGTGTATGAGTGTATACCCAGTAGTATGAGATGAGAATGGTTTCTGTATGAGTGTATAACCAGTAGTATGAGATGAGAAAGGTTTGTGTATGAGTGTATACCCAGTAGTATGAGATGAGAATGTTTTTTGTATAAGTGTACAGTATGAGAGATGAGAACTGTTTGTGTATGAGTGTATACTCAGTAGTATGAGATGAGAACGGTTTGTGTATGAGTGTATACCCAGTCGTATGAAATGAGAACGGTTTGTGTATAAGTGTAATATTTTGTGTTTGACAGGTGATTATGTGTCAGGAGATTCAGATGAGTGTGACGAGTCATTCCGAACGATTTCTGTCCGAGCTCAGTCGTTACAACTATGTCACTCCAACCAGCTATCTTGAGCTGCTCAGCATTTTCTCCAAACTCGTCGTCATGAAAAAGACGGAACTCAGCACTGCACGGAAACGTCTCAAGACAGGTCTCGACAAGGTGGGTTTGGACAATCTTGTTTAGTTGATCGTCAAGTTAAATAAAAATATAAATAGAAGGATATCTATGGACATAGTTAAAGACGCACATATTGAGATGAAATGTCATGTTTATTCCATGTTGTTCATCGATTTTGCAATAGTATTTTTACAAGCAGTTATTTAGATTAAATGAGAATTAACTTGAGATTGGATAGTAATAGGTATCTATTTAGAAGATTGAAAATAAGTATTTCATGAAAAAATCTTCATATTCAGGAGAAATAAAACAGTAAGATAACAAAATGGTTACATTTAAACATGCCAAAGACAGGATTTGTTAAAAAAAGAATCAAAAATTGACCTTTGACAGTTGTTGACCACTGCTGATGAGGTGGACAAACTTTCGTCCGAGTTGGCAACCATGAAACCCCTGCTGGAGGATGCAGTGAAGGAATCCATCCAAACCATGGAACAAATCTCTAAGGACACGGTAAGTGGCTGTGAAGAAGTAACTGTATTTGACCGCAAATAACCCCCCTCTCGCAAATAAGCCCCCTCCCCACTTTGGCAGATGTTCTGGGAACAGGGTGAGTGCCTGCAATTACCAGTAAGCTCCCTCCTTAATTTTGTCTCCCTCTCAAAAAAATTGTATGTTAATTTTTGTCTCCGACGTAAATACTGGGAGATATATAATGAAAGTCTATTATAAATTGAAATATCATATTTCAATTCAAAATTTCCTTGTAACATATTGTATGGCACACATTTTTATTCACAGAAATGGACTCTGTGACTGTAAAACTTCTCAAAAATGTGATTTGGAAGATAATTATGAAAATGTTTTTATAAATTAAAAGATTCACTTAGAATTTGATGTGATAAGCTTTCAATAAGTATTGAAAAGGGAGCAAGTCATCATTCCCATAGAAATTTGATTCAAATTTCAATTTTGGCTTTCAAGAATTCAGATTGGATTAGTCTTCCTGGGAAGAAATCTCTGAAATATCAGTTAAAAAAAAATTGTGTTGACATATCCATATTGTGTTGTCCCAAGACCAGCAGCTTTCTGGGAAAATTCTGATAAAGAAGTTATTCAGACTTTTATTGACCAAGTAATTTCAGTCCCCAAGAATAAGTATCTTACATCAGGAGTTTACTGGATTATTTCCAGGTTGTCGCTAACGAAACGGTGGAGATGGTGTCGAAAGAGGAGGAGCAGGCCACTATCAAGGCCAAGGAGACTCAAGCCATAGCAGACGACGCCCAGCGTGACCTTAACGAGGCCCTGCCTGCTCTCGTAAGTGCTATGAATTTGTGAACAACAAAATTTTAAGTGTTTCTCAAGATCTAAAAAATGGACGCAACACATACACATGCATGTAATGGCACCTTTGAAAATTTGAGAGTTGTGAGAATTCCATTAAAAAGGGCCACAGTTTAACCTCACTTTAACAGATGAAGATTTTATATTTCATTTTGTCATCACCAATCATGAATGGATGTAGATTTGTGTTTGTACTTTTTGGAAGGGGGGGAAGGGGGTTACATTTTATGCATGACACCAGGCATTATGGCTTTCCAATAGAGAACAATAATGAAATAATTGTAAAATACATTTTGTATAGTCATGTGTCACTTTCATATGTAGAATAGATGATACTTCTCTAAACAAATAGGTTAAATCTGTGTGTTGTTATTACTTTAAAGAAAGATATGTACCTGCAGATTGATTGTGTATTATACTAAGGCCCCCACATCAGAGATACAAGTGTTATTACAGTGTCTGTCTGTTCATCTGTCTGTCCACACTTTGGTTTAGATTATCTCAGAATCCTAAACACTCATCTTTTAGAAATTGTGCACAGGGGTTTAAAAAGTTTCTAAGGTCAAGATCATGGTCATTGATACTAAAGTAAACACTGGGGTTGGTGTTTGGGGTACAGTCAGGCACATGTCAGGGTCCTTTCTGTTCTTGTTTATATACAGTTGTGAATAATCAAAAATAAAATATGATATTTAAAACAGAGTAGCAGTTCAACATTACAGGTCCTTCTCCTAGTTGTCATTGTATTTCCAGTAAGCCTATTTAAGTCAGTTTGCTCAAGTGGTGTCTCTTGGGGCTAACAGAACTCAACAAACTAGACCCCCTCCTTGGACCTATTGTTTGTATGTTACTGCCATTCATAACACTGTATTAAGCTTTGACCCCCTAACTGTATTAACCTTTGACTCCCTACAGGAAGCTGCTGTGGCAAGTTTGAAGCAGCTGAACAAGAATGATGTGGTAGAGGTGCGAGCCATGGCCCGGCCACCAGAGGGTGTCAAGATGGTGATGGAGGCCGTGTGTATTATGAAGGCCATTAAACCAAAGAAGGTGCCTGGTGAGAAGGTGAGAACACAACAATGATACAATCACTTATGTTAAATGTCCTTCATGTGTCGCCTGCAACGTCATATATCACTTTGTCAACGGCAGCGGTTGCGTCGTTTGAAACAAGGTTTCCGTGCGATAACTTGAGTTCCCTTGGGCTGATTGAACTCAAACTTGGTACACATATTGCATACCAATATAGCTCAGACAAGTTCGCATTTCAGAAGTTGACATGCTTTTTTGGTTGAGTTATGCCCCTTTTATTGCCAAATAAGGGCATTGTGTAGTAAATGCAAAAACTTTTTTTATTTTGGAATCAATTTCTTTCAAATTTTGTATGATAATGCTAGAAGCAATAATGTTCAACATACATTACGGATTTCATGTCGAGTTTCAACTTTTTGCATTTTGGCAAACCACACTTGACATAGCAACGCGGTTCATCGTTTTTGCCGTTATTTTTGCTTGTTTCCGCGATAACTCAAGCAAAACACCTTTTTTCACTAAAAGCGCTGAGCAGGCCACACATCCACTGCTGTGGAATTCTTGTTTTTCATTTGAATGGAATTTTGCTCACCTTGTCCCAAAAAGCATGATGATGATGTCATAGAGTTACATTCATTCTTCACGAGTAGGTCTGAGACCAAATTCATAGATACATGTGATGCTTTTGAAACACAAAGGGAGATTTGTATTTTAAAGTAGGGAGATTGTACTTTAAATAAGGAGATTTTTTTCGCGACATTACAGTGACACTAGCTTTGGTTAACTTTTCTTTTCTCCCACAACCACTGTAGGAAACCTGCTAGGAGTTTTGAAACTGTTTTGGTTACCCACTAGTGGGAAACATCATGGGTATTAGTTATATCATTGGTCTATCTTTTAATTTTAATTTATCTTCCATTATGACATCATACTCATAGTTAATGGCAATAATTTCCCTGATCAGAAACAGGAATAATGTATTCCAAAGTGAAACACATGATTTCTGGATAAAATACCTGAAGGTTGTTGGAGAAAAGGTCCCCAAACTTGTGATGGTTGATTATTAGGGTTATCTAGCTCTTGTTAATTTTCCAATAGTAAAAGACACTTGATAAACCTAGTGTCTTTCTACAATTTGAAAACTAACTAGCTTAGATAAACGTGATAACCAACCATCACTCGTTGGGGAATTCTTCACCCTCGGATAGAATTTCCATATTCCTCATATTTACTGTATTTAAATGCTTAGAGAATTATTCCATACTTATATATTCTCTTGTTTTTGCATACAGCCTGGGCAGAAAATTGACGACTACTGGGAGGTCGGTAAGGGCATGTTGAGCGACCCAGGAAGGTTTTTGGAGAGTTTGTTTAAGTATGATAAGGACAACATTGGCGACGATACCATCAAGAAGATTCAATCCTACATTGACGATGAAAACTTCACGCCAGCAGCCATTGCTAAGGTAACTCATGTCAAATTTTCATCAGTAAACATTACTTCATTAGAAACTTAATATCTTTTTTATCTTTGAAATTTAGAAAATGATCACTGCAATGAAACGGCAGTGAAATCAGGTTAACGGCATCACAATACAAAGGGACAATCAAACGTCCAAACATTATTTTATTTTTGATAGGTCACCAGCTCTCCCATTTTAGAAAATTTAATTAATTGAAATGGTTTTCTCTGATGATTTTCATAATAATTTCATTCCTATGCCTGCAATGAAACAGGGTAGACTATGATATGTTTATTGCCCATGTCCGTTCGTCCGTCTGCTCAGTCCGTACAGTGACAATCATTCTCATAGCATCTTCATTTGTGGTCAGATTTCCATGAAATTTCATAACAGAAGTTTAGAACTAGTTAGCCTTTTTGCATTTTCAATCCGATGTCAAGATCAGTAGTAATATAAATAGAAAAACCTTTAAAAAGTTATCACAGTCTCTATAGAGCCATCATTTTGTTTACGTGTTGCAGGTGTCAAAAGCATGTACCTCTCTATGTATGTGGACGAGAGCCATGCACAAATACCACTTTGTGGCTAGAGGTGTGGCCCCTAAGCGGGAGAGTCTGAGAATTGCACAGGAGGAACTGGCTCTTACTCAAAAGATCCTGGATGAAGCCAAGGCTAGACTTCACGAAGTCCAGGAAGGTATCAGGACACTACAGGCCAAATATGACGATTGTGTCCGTAAGAAGGAGGAACTAGAGAACAAATGTACAGAATGTGAGGGGCGACTTGGCAGGGCAGATAAGGTAAACAACTCACAAAAGTGCTCTTTTTTTTAATTTACAATGAGTAATTTGTTTTCATTTACATGGAGTAATTTGTTTTTATTTACATCAAGTTATTTGTAAGGAAATGAAGATAATGAATATAGTGAAATTCATTTAGCATTTATTTGTAAGATAATGAATATAGTGAAATTCATTTAGCATTATTTTGTAAGATAATGAATATAGTGAAATTCTTTTAGCATTATTTTGTAAGATAATGAATATAGTGAAATTCATTTAGCATTATTTTGTAAGATAATGAATATAGTGAAATTCATTTAGTATTAATTTGTAAGATAATGAATGTAGTGAAATTAATTTAGCATTATTTTGTAAGATAATGAATATAGTGAAATTCATTTAGCATTATTTTGTAAGATAATGAATATAGTGAAATTCATTTAGCATTAATTTGTAAGATAATGAATATAGTGAAATTCGTTTAGCATTATTTTGTAAGATAATGAATATTTTGAAATTCTTTTAGCGTTTTGTTACTGTGAAACATTTATGAGTACTTATAAGAAAATTTCTTTCCTTATAAATAATAAGAAATATAAGTACTTCTGTTTGTAGTTTTATGTTTACGAAGTATGAAATTGTAATTAGCTTTCAAGTTCGGCCTTTGTATGTTTACTATAACTGTTGATGTAGAGTTTCGATATTTAAAACTTTGGTTTATTGATTGATTGATTGATTGACAGATTACTGATTGATTTTTGTGTTTTAGCTGATCGGAGGACTAGCTGATGAGAAGGAGAGGTGGAAGGAATCGGTCCAGAGGCTGGAGAAAATCATCGATAACTATGTGGGAGATGTTCTCGTGGCCGCTGGTTATGTGGCATATCTCGGACCCTTCTCGGTAAACATTGTCTGTTACTAAAATACTCAAATCTTCATGACTACCAGAGACTTTCTTTGTGACACTTGTTAAATCTAGGAAAATATTCATACAAACTTCTTGACTGAAATAAAAAGGAAATTTTGAAATAAATATTTTTCTACTTTGTACAGGGTGAGTACAGACTAAGCATGGAGAAAAAATGGGTGGAAAAGTTAGACGAGCTAAAAGTGCCAAGGACAGACGATCCTACGATTGTTGCCTGTCTCAGTGATCCCGTGAAAATCCGGAGCTGGCAGATTGCTGGTCTTCCAAAGGATAACTTGTCAGTGGAGAATGGTGTCATTGTTCAGTACGCTCAGCGTTGGCCGCTCTTCATTGACCCCCAGGGCCAGGCCAACCGATGGGTTAAAAACATGGTACGGTTTTATCCATAATACATATTGTTGCTTGATTTGCATTTGTATTTTGAGAAAAAAAGATCTAGCTGTTAAGGATAAATGGTACTTTACACATTACACCCTTGATTTGTGTTAGAGTGATCTCCCCCTAACAACTGTTTCAGTTAGCATTGTCTAATTGTTTAGAATTATCTGGTGATATTTTTGCATGTATTTTTGTGTACTTTTTACTTTTCTCGTCAAATAATTATCCCTGTCAAAATTACAGTTCATCAAAGACGCTTTACAGCTCTTCATCAGGAATTTTTACCAAAATTTGATGTATACCACAATAAGGTAGCATATATCCTTAAGTAGAAATGTACTTGTCTAAATTAAGTAAGCATAGGTTGTTGTTTCGGAGGATTTCCATTTTTTTGCATTTTTCAGTGGTGCAGATTTTAGAAAACTCTTTTTTCTTTTTTCTATGAACTTAAACATAACTAAATGAAAAATTGTATTTAGAAAAAAAAAGAATTTGAAATGAAACACCATGTGATAGTCATAAATATTATTTGAACTGAGGTTGTTGGTATTATAGGAGAAAGATAACACCCTGGATGTTATCAAGCTGTCCGATAAAGACTTCCTGCGTAGCTTGGAGAACGCCATCAGGTTTGGAAAGCCTTGTCTTCTGGAGAACATCAGTACTGAGTTAGACCCTGCTCTGGAACCCATTCTTCTCAAACAGGTCTGTCATAATGAGCATAACTAAATTCATATGTTCCTTATTCAAAAGTGTGTTAAAATTTCTGTTTAGTTTGACCTTTAACTCATTCACCCCTGAAATTTCATAATGAACTATTCCAACCTTTGCATTAATTGGAAGAGTTTAAATGTGTCTTCAGGGGTGAATGAGTTAAATGAAATTATTGCGGAAACATGTTATGGTATATCAGTACCTGGTCCAAATCTGGTGTTAATACAGTAAAACCTTTTTATTCAGCCACTTTTTTTTGCACTGTGATCTTTTGGCATTATAAAGAGGTTTGGCATTATATTGAGGTTGATATAAAGGAATTGTTTAGAAAATGGTAAAGATGATTACAAGGTATGTTGGCAATAAGTGAGAGTAAACGGAATTAGGGGCATTATATTGAGGTTTGACATTGCTTTTGTAATGATTTGTAATTTTATTCACATTTACGAGTACTGTATCGCAGTATTTTTCATGTGGAAGTATAGGCCAATGAGGTTTTTTTTCCCCTGATAATACTGAGTCCATTTTTCTATTGTGTGTTATATGCTGTTTTTGACTAAATGACATTTTTTCTTTAGGTCTTCAAACAACAAGGTAGCATGGTGATCAAACTGGGGGACGCTGTGATTCCCTACCATGACGACTTCAAGTTCTACATCACCACCAAGCTTCCCAACCCTCACTACACCCCCGAGGTGTCGACAAAGGTCACACTGGTCAACTTCACACTGTCGCCAAGGTAACACAATCCTTTGCAGGCCAATGAGATAAAAAAAATGATTTGAGTCAGATAGCCATCTAAAGACAAATTTAGGCCGTCGTGAAAAATCAACGTAATTTGATCAATGAATGCCATGATAAATTGTGGGTTCTGTCAAACTGTTTTAATGTGTTGTTGACCTCTAAAGTGACTTGATGTCTTTTTTGGTATGTTTGACATTGGTATCTCTTTCCATCAATTGTCACAGAGCTGATGTATCATAATTATAAATCCTTGGAATGTTTTTTTTGTCAAAATTTCTTAAATATCGAAGATAAACCTTAAAATGTTGTTGTCTGTGTGACCTTGACCTCTAAGATGACATGGCCTTGATTTGCATTTTACTTTAGTTTTTTTTTTACTTTGAGTCTAAGATAAACATATTAAAACAGCTTTTCCAATAAGTTGTTGGTTGATAATCAGTACTGATATTTAAAATCTTGCTTACCAATAACTGAGCTTGACCTCTAGAAGTACTGAATTTCGACCTTGACCTTTTCGATCACAGCGGCCTTGAGGACCAGATGTTGGGTATTGTGGTAGCTGAAGAGAGACCTGACCTGGAGGAGGCCAAGAACCATTTGATTGTCAGCAACGCTAAGATGAAGCAAGAACTGAAGGAGATTGAGGACAAGATCCTCTTCAAGCTGAGTACGTCCGAGGGAAGCCCTGTCGACGATGTTGACCTTATTGCCACACTGGATGCGTCGAAGATCAAGTCACAGGAAATCAAGGTCTGTCTACTCAATATCACTTACTATGCACTTTTCACGTATATGGTTCAACCAGTTAAAAATGTAAAGATTTCGACAGACACAGATCTGAACCGAGGCTGACCTCAGGCATATTCAGCACGTGTAGATTGAGAGGTCCAAATGTAACTTAATTTCAAAACCTTTTTCCGGTCATGTATTGATACATACAGGTATAGGTATCGGTATGGATTCCTTGTTTTAGCTGGTTCTGTTAAATGTAAGAAAAAGAGTTTTAATACAAAAGGAATGGAAAAAGAAGTTAAAAATAAACGATTTAATAGAATATATATAAAGAAATTATGGTCTGACAATATAGAAACTTGTGAAGGATTAGGTTTTCTTTTATTAACGTGTAAAATAAGTCCTTTTTTTTCTTTTAAAATAATGTCTTGTCAGATGGTAATTTTATTAGAAATTCGTATTAAGCTCGTTATTAATTTATTTTAGCTTTGAAGATATTCTTGTGGATTTTGATAACAAATGATTGTGAACAAAATTTAAAGAAAAGAAATAATATTACAAGTTTGTGACGGTGAGTTGACAACATAACTGTTTTAGGCCAAGGTGATCGTAGCCGAGCAGACAGAGAAGGATATTGACGTGACTAGGAGTCAGTACATCCCCGTCGCCATCAATACACAGATCCTCTTCTTCTGTGTGGCGGATATGGCCAACATCGACCCCATGTACCAGTACTCCCTCGAGTGGTTCATCAACATCTTCCTGGGCGGAATCACACATGCAGAAAGAGCAGGTTTGACAATAATACACAGAACATTTCCTCGTATCCCGCTTTCCAAATAAACACTTTTTTCAGTCTAAATTTAAATTGTTTTAGAATTCCGATACCTTGAAGTTCTTGTTCATTTCAAGTCTTGTTTGGTCATACAACAGTTTGATTCTGTGTAATTGAGAGTGTTTTTATATGGTAATTTGTAAAATACAAAAGTTTGTCAGGCCCAACAGCCTTTGAACGTCAAGATTTTATTGTATTGAGGTATAAGAGTATATTTATTGCAAGGAGTTCCCAGCACAAAGACAAATAAGATTCTGTCAGAAACATATTTCAATTATATTTTTGTCAGTTTTTTTTTATTACTTTACATTATTTCACATATTTGAGATAGTCACAAAAAATCTGACAGTTTTCTGTTTCTTGAAAAAAATAATCTTTTAATCAAAAATAGGCATGTTATGGAATACTGGATTTCAGGGGTTACTTGTTCCTGGAAATGAGCAGCAGATATAAGGGGGAAAACTTCAGGCTCAAAAAGAAGGAACTTAATATTCATGTTTCTGTTGCTTGAACTTTCAGACAACCTTCCCCAGCGAGTACAGAACATCAACGACTACTTCACGTTCAGTCTGTACAGCAATGTGTGTCGATCACTGTTTGAGAAACATAAACTGCTCTTCTCCTTCCTTCTGTGTACCAGGATTAAGATGAACAAAGGACTAATCAACATGGTAGGCTTCACACATTCTCTCATGTAAGGATGGGTGCCTCGGAAACTGTGATTGCTAACACACACGTCATTTCTACTGTAGGCAATCAAGCATGATCTTCAGACCACTCTCTCTCCCAAGAATTTTGGTTCCATCCCCCGCGGTGGCGGAAAAAGAGCGTGATGTCTGATAGGGTTAATTGTTACCTCTCCGATGGCACGGTGGTTTTTCCCGGTGGGCTTTCTTTCACCTCAAAAAAACCCCACATTTGTTTCCTGAACGGCGTCAAAATAAAAGCTCTACAGAGCTTATCATGTGCGCGCACGTTCAATAAAGATTTATTTATCTATTTATAACATCAACCATTGATGTTTTGATGCTATATTTTGGTACAAATATATCATGTACGATAATTTGCACTAAATGGCTAGCCTTTTTGATATAATGTGTTGTATTTCACTCAATTTTCCAAAATATAAAAGCGTTCAGGTGATAACTTAAAATTGATATTATAAATTTTGTTGGATGTGTGACGTTTCATGCTGGATGTTATTTATTCTATAGGATGAGTGGCGTTTCATGTTGGCCGGTGGAATCATCAAACCCAAAGTGATTGACAATCCCGCCCCAGAGTGGATATCTGAACGATCGTGGAGTGACATTCTCACCTCAGGAGTCCTTGAAAACTTCTCTGCATTTGCAGAAGATTTCAAGAACAATGTGGATGGCTTTAAACGCATATTTGACAGTGGTGATCCTCAAAAGTACGAAATGATTCTAAGTTAATTCATTGAAAAATTCATTTGGCTGGTCCCATATTTTGCCAGGTTTTTTATGACCCCTCCATAAAATGGGGGGGGGGGGCATATAGTGATGCCCATGTCCGTACCATCCTGTCCGGTCAAACTTCAAGCTTCAAACACTGAAACTAATTTCACATGGTGACTGACAGACATTTTCTACTTTTCCATAAAAAGGTTTTTTGTAACGTAATTTTTCTGTAACACAAAAATTACATTCATGCCATTTCTGTGTTTTCTTTTCAAGTTTCCTTTTAATTATTGGTAAAGTATATTTGTCTTTTTGACCCATGCCCGATGAAAATAATATGTTTTTTCGTACAACAGGGAAGATTTACCAGGGCAATGGAATGACAAGCTAGACTCCTTCCAGAAGATGATCGTTCTAAAATGTCTGCGACCAGACAAAATTACAAATGCCATGCAGGAATATGTCTCCAATAACGTTGGACAGAGATTTATTGAACCACAGGTACATGCTCAATATAATTGTACATTTCTGGAGGAATATCTCTGTATGGAAATCATTTCCGTACACATATTGTCTTAGATATCTTGCCAAGCACTTTGTTTATGGATGTAGTTTCTGTCTCAATGGTGATAAGAAATCTGTAAATATCAACAAATCGAACTCAGATAGTGCCAGGATAACATCTTTCAAAGAATTTCATTCAATTATCTTGTGATTTGCAAATTGTTTAGCACAAGAAGGATTAATTTGAAGATGTGATGTGAATGTGGTTCCTTGTAAGTGAAGATGTTAAGCTTTCGGTTAAGACGCCAACATCAATCAATATTTATGCTGAAAATTGACATTTCAGACGGCCGACCTTCACCTTGTGTACAAAGATTCGTCCCCGACGACACCTCTGATCTTCGTCCTCTCCACTGGTACAGATCCTGCTGCTGACCTCTACAAGTTTGCTGAAGAGATGAGGTTCACTAAAAAACTCAGTGCTATATCTCTTGGCCAGGGACAGGTACGTAGTACTTACCAATAAGTAATATCGTTTTCAGGGCCAATTATCTTTAGGAATCTTCTTCTGTTTACTTGATTCACATCTACAGAATGAAAAATAATTTGTGTTCCCCTTGTTAAAATGAACCTTTATAAATGTTTGCGATATATATTTAAACTTGCTATTGGCTGCTCACAAATAAATGTGGAAATAAATCTCTGGATATTTTTTTTTATTTCAAGTCGAAGAATTGAAGTAGTGTTAGTGCAATAACAAGCTTTAATTTGTATTAAATACAAAAAGATACAATCATGACTTTATTATCAGGATACCTTCGCTGACAGCTAATTTAACCTGTTGCCATCCATCTTTGTCTGTTATTTTGTGCTGTTATGTTAACTTTGCACAATCTTTGAAATATCTTAACATTGTTTGATTTGGTTGGTAGGGGCCAAGAGCTGAAGCTATGATGAGGAGTGCGATGGAGAGAGGAAAATGGGTGTTCTTCCAGAACTGTCACTTGGCCCCAAGTTGGATGCCAACACTGGAGAGACTTATAGAACAGATTGATCCTGACAAGGTTTGTACAAAATTTCATAAAATGGTTTAATTTTTATATTTATACTGCTAAAATGTACAAATGTAGTTCAGTTTTCCCAATCTTATTGTAAAGGCAGTGTTCAAAATTTAATGAATGTGTGTTAGAAAATTTATTACAGTAAAAATGTTGCTGATCTGCAAATATTTGTTTTTTTTTATGAATAACTACTGGTGTTAAATCTGGAAAGTATTTTCAATATTATCATAATTATCAACTGGCAGTGACCAGTGGTCATAAACATATTGTAATTTGGTTTATAGGTGCACCGAGATTTCCGCCTCTGGCTGACCAGTATGCCGAGCGCCATGTTCCCTGTGTACATCTTACAAAACGGGTCCAAGATGACTGTGGAGCCGCCACGTGGACTGAAGGCTAACCTTCTCAAGTCCTATACAAGCTTCTCCGACGACATGCTTAACGCCTGTGGGGACAAGGTCAGATCATAGTGCTTAGTTAATGATTCATTTTGTGATTTTAATTTATTTGTTTTTACTTATTAAACCTTATTTGTACATTAATGAATTTGATTTTGATTTTATTATCTTCGTGAAGTATTAAATACAATTTCATTAATTATTTTAATCAAATTGAAAATTTTAAAAAAAATCTTGATTCTTTTTTTTAATTTGATTTTTTTTTTTTTTTTTTTTTTTAAAGATGACCTTTTAAAATGGAAAGTTANGATGACCTTTTAACATGGAAAGTTATGAGAAGTACACAAAATTTTACAGGAATTGTTGACGTAAAGTTTTATCTTGCATTTCAGACAGAGACATTCAAGATGTTATTGTTTTCTCTGTGTGTGTATCATGGTGTTGTGATTGAGCGTAGGAAGTTCGGAGCTCTTGGTTTCAACATTCCGTATGAGTTCACTGATGGTGATTTGCGTATCTGTGTGAGCCAGTTGAAGATGTTCTTAATGGAATACTCCGACATCCCCTTCAAGGTAATAGATAACCAATTAAAGCAGACTCTTTGAAATCCTTTGTGTGAAAGACTTCTATATAATACATGTATTGCAATCTTCAAAATAACTCATGGAGATCAATCCAAAATAGCAAAAATACATTTGGAATATTTATTCTTACTTATTTGTACTAAAGATGTTAATAGATTTATAATGTTTTGATGATTTACACAAAGGGTGATTTCAGATTTATAATGTTTTGTTGATTTAAACAAATTATATTTTTAGATAATGATGTACTGTCTACTTATTATCCCTTGATTCTTTTGCTTGTCTAATTAATGTCCTCTGATTGTCTACATTTTGTCTCCTGATTGTCTACATTTTGTCCCCTGATTGTCTTCTTTTTGTCCCCTGATTGTCTACTTTTTGTCCTCTGATTGTCTAATTAATGTCCTCTGATTGTCTACTTTTTGACCCCTGATTGTCTACTTTTTATCCTTTGATTGTCGTATTTTTACCCCTGATTGTCTACATTTTGTCCTCTGATTGTCTACATTTTGTCCCTTAATTGTTTACATTTTGTCCCTTGATTGTCTTATTATTGTTCTGTAATTGATACTTGTCTTCTGACAGGTGCTGGTATACACAGCTGGCCACATCAATTATGGAGGTCGTGTTACAGACGACTGGGACAGGCGCTGTATGATGACCATCCTCAGTGACTTTTACCGACCCGCTGTCCTGGAAGACGGCCACAAATACTCGGAATCAGGAACCTACTATCAAATTGACACATCTAACGACCATAATGTAATTACGTGATACATCTTTAGTGCATGTGTTTAGTCTGACTACGGGCATGACCCCACGACCTCTTGGTGTGGTTTACGTCAGTAGTATGATAGGTCACTCATGCTTTTTACACGGGGTGTATCACAGTTAGCTTATGGACGTTGGAGCGAGAGATTTGAGTGAATGTTGGAACTGTTTGGGAGTTGGGGCTAGCTCGCAAGAGAGAACACATTTTGATACAACTTTTCATACTTTTACTGTTTGTGTCACAAATATAATAATGTTGATTGTCGTGTTTGATACGGTAGTAGATGAAATGTGTTCTCTGTTGAAGCCGTTGTGATTGAGAGTGTTTTCTCACTGTCGTAGTTGATCATGTTGTTGAAGGTCACTGTGATTTATACAATGACCTTGACAACAAACCTGTAATCCTCGCTTTACTGATGGTATAACTACAAGTCTACACAGCTGCATAATTGCACACCAAACTTTTAAAACCTCAAAATGAAAAAGAGAAATTCACATACCATTTGTAAGTAAAGACAAGATTCGTAAATTTTACGATATTCTGTAAGGATCCGTATTTATACCATCACAGCTGTTTATGTTGTGTACCTATAGAACAAGTCTATCGCTACTTGTGTAGAAAATATGGGTAGACATATAAAGGCTATATGTATAATTCTACCAATTTAAAATTCCATCCTTTAAAAAGTTTGTTGACCTACTTAAACAAAACTTCACTGCATGATGTTATTTTTCTAAGTGAAGTTTTTAAAAAATATACAAGTAAGAAAATTATTGTATCATTTGCAATTACGCAAATATTTCTCAGTTATTAGAAAAAAGAATTATTCAGGTCGACACATGCGCTTTTAAAGGATGGATAAGTCCTATCATTACCTAGCTACTAATCTCTAACTTACTTCCCAGATTCAATATTCTCTGTACAATTACCGTTCATACAAAGTAATATAATTTGAAATTAAAAAAATTATATTATTTCAGTGCCACAATCTGGCATTGATGTGAATGTAGTTAAATCTTATTGAAAATTTTAATAGTGAAACAAATTTATCTGAAGAACCAACAGGAAGTGTGAAATTTGGTTGGCTTACTTGCTGTTTAATATCGTTTTTGAATGATTTTCAGCCATGTTTAGGCCTCGACTAGAACTCTTGTTCAGTCTAACATTTAGTTTACTCCTGTCTTTTCTCCGTGGCTTTCTCTGTAGTGAGGTTCCGTATAAATATTTTTCTGTCTTTTAGACTCCTGCAGGAATTACATATCTATAGAAATATCATACTTTTTTTGATATTTCACTTTTTGGCCTTTTGATCTCATTTTCTGTCTTTTTCCGTTTTGCTTTTTCTTCAGCGCTTCACATATAGAGTACTACAGTAGTATACATGTAATATAACCAATATGGTAGAAATAAAAAAAAAAATGAAAAATAAGGAAAAAAGCTTGCACATCACTGCATATAAAATGTATCTACATATAATGATCAAATCAACACTTGTATCAGTCACTCTCTTGAATATAGTAGATAATCTCATCTGCATGAACAGATGAATAAAACTGTAGTTTAGAAGAAATAAACCTTGTTATTTCAACTTTCACTACTAAATGCATGCCTTTACAAAATTAGTATTTAGCAGGAAATTAGATTTCACCTGAAAATTATTTCCACAAATCTATCATTTTCTGAAGGAAAAAATATAGATTTAGACATAAAATATATATGTGTATAACTGTAGAATTTAGAGAGATTAAGGGAAAAAAAACAATATTGTAGAATATATTCTCTGTCGAAAATATTCTACATGTGTGTATGAAGAGTGTGATTGATGTTGAGAAAATGAGCGAGAATCTAACAACAACTTTAAAAACAGGTAAACTATTGCTAGAGTAAGTAACTTTTCTCTACACTGGTAAATATACGACTTCATTCAATTTGAAAAAAAATTATTATATTTTTTGGAATGTTTTTATTTAATTGGTGACTAGCTGTACTGTAAATACAGGAGTTTGCCCTTGGGTATAGTTTACCCATCTTATAAATTGATAAAAGTTGTTTAATGTTTTTTACTTCAATTTTTTTTTAATTTATTCTCTTCAAATAAAAGTACATACTACATTATCAAAGAGATAATGTTTTACATCAGCCTTTCCAGTAACATATATATTATTTGAGTACAATACGATGAAAAAACAGACCTGGACATGTATTTAAAGAAATGAAATGACAAAACACAAAAAGATCTTCATCTTTTTGTTCAAAACCAAACCAGCTTTACAAGGCATGGATCAAAAATTTCATCAAATTAACAAATTTTAGATATAATTTGGAAATTTATTTTTTACAAACAAAACTTTGCCTGCTTATACCAGTATTGTCTTTCTAAAATAGGTTTTATTTTATCAGATCAGTTTCCACAGACTTTCATAATTTGTGACTTTACAGTGATAGAAGAAATAATAATAATATGACAACAAACCATCTCCCATTTAAACCTGTTTGAAAGAAAACCATTATTAAAGATTTCTTATCAATAAAACACTAATAGATTAAATTTTGATTAGAGAGTATAAACTTTACTAGAGATAATTCACAGAGGAAGATCGTCAAAGGAGTAAAGAATTTGTTGGGGTGCCAGGTGTTCTGGGAATTTTAACAGACCTATTCATGTTTGATTTTCACATGTTTTTGCGTGTTTGAGATTTGTTTTGGCTAACGCTATCTGATCTAACTTTTGGTTTGGCTTCCATAACCCGACGAACCCCTGTGTGTTTTATATATACACCCTGTTGGCTACAGTATATGTATGTAGTATGAGGAAGGGAACAATCATCAGGATAAGGTGTTTCTACATACAAGAAAACCCAATTTCATCCATGGTTGTATCTTTTTCCTTGCTATGTACATATAACTAGATAACCCTTAAATATTGTTTGACATTTTTTTCAATTTCTTTTTAATTCTCAAAGCAACTAATCTTTAAGCAAAAAAAATTAAAAAAATGACAAATTGTTGAACAATCATGTTAAGACAGTAATGAGAAAGTGTTTGTATCGGTAAGGTTTTATGATCATTACCTAGTACTGCAGGAATACTTCACTGTCAACCAGATTTTCAGAAAGCACCTGACAGTAACTATTAAAAAATTTATCAACTCAAATATCATAGATTTGGTCACCAAAATATGTGTATTTGTATTGTTTATTAATGACTTATTGACAATTTTAATCATTTCGGACCCAAAAGGAAAAATTATTAATTCTGTTTGTCACCTATAATTAAGTACTTGCTTTAGCTCCTAGTGTTGCTAGGTAGCACTATGCCATGCCATCACAAGCTTACTTTTTCGCAGGGATATATGGCATACATCAAAAGCCTGCCCATCAACGACAACCCGGAGATGTTCTCGCTCCACGACAACGCCAACATCACATTCGCTAACAATGAGACAGGCAACTTGTTGAATGGACTGCTGAAGCTGCAGCCCAAGACAGCTAGTGGTGGAGGCAAATCACGAGAGGAGGTGAGGAGCAGGGATCTGTCCACTTGTTTATGTTGACACAGCGAATATTATATCAGTTTATGTTGACATGGGGAACATTACCTCATTTTCTGTTGACACAAGGAATGTAACCTCTATTTATGTTGACATGGAGGAACCTTGTCTCAGTTTATGTTGACACAAGGAATGTAACCTCAGTTTATATTGACATTGAGGAGCCTTGTCTCATTTAATGTAGACACTAGGGAACGTAGCCTCTATTTATGTTGACATGGAGGAACCTTGTCTCAGTTTATGTTGACACAAGGGAATGTAACCTCAGTTTATATTGACATTGAGGAACCTTGCCTCAGTTTATGTTGACACAAGGGGATGTTACCTCATTTTATATTGTTCAATGAGGAATCCTGCCTTAGTTGACACAAGGGACATTTATATTAAGTTTATGTTGACACTGGGGAACACTTTCTCAGCTTCGTGAATAATTACAGTGGAGCATCTGTTTTCCAGCCTCCAACTTTCTCAGCAAATGTGGTTGGATCCCTCCACTGGAACACTGGTTGAGTAGTGAGGCTGGCTTTGCACCATAAAATTCTCAGTTTTTCTTTATTTGGTGCGACAATTCCATTTTTCAAGAGTTTTTTTGGCCACATCATAACATATTTTTTTTAAAAGTCAAAATTAAATCAAAATACTATAATAAACCTGGTCATTCTACAATGAGTGTACTGTTTGACTATTTACTTAGGTGATGGAGGAATCAGCCAAAAGTATTCAAGCCAAGGTGCCCAAGGTGGTTGACATCAACATGGTGATGGAGAAGTACCCTGTGGCATACGAACAGTCCATGAATACTGTCATCATCCAGGAGGTCATCAGGTAGAATCTGAGTTACCAGTACTTAATGTGGCAATGTTGTTATGTTTGTATCTGTTGTTATGTTTATCAGTATTAGAACCTTCTTTAACCAACATTTTTCAGTTATTGGATGAATTTGGAGAAATTGTCTACCACAATATTTCAGGATTCATTTCACATCAAATGTCTAATTTTGGTGTTTTTGAATTTGATATCTGTGTAAATCAAATAATGTAAATTCGCAGTTCACTTGCCTTACATGAAGCTACCACAGTTCACTTGCCTTACATGAAGCTACCACAGTTCACTTGCCTTACATGAAGCTACCACAGTTCACTTGCCTTACATGAAGCTACCACAGTTCACTTGCCTTACATGAAGCTACCACAGTTCACTTGCCTTACATGAAGCTACCACAGTTCACTTGCCTTACATGAAGCTACCACAGTTCACTTGCCTAACATAAAGCTACCACAGTTTACTTGCCTTACATGAAGCTACCACAGTTCACTTGTCTAACATGAAGCTACCACAGTTCACTTGCCTAACATGAAGCTACCACAGTTCACTTGCCTTACATGAAGCTACCACAGTTCACTTGTCTTACATGAAGCTACCACAGTTCACTTGCATGCATTCATAATACTGTGAATGTGATTTGACTTCCGGTGATTTGTGACAAAATTTCAATTGTCATGTCATCATTGAAATGTAGGCAGACAACTTTGGAGATATGGGTCAGGGGCAGTTCTTATGGTTGAATAATTATTTACAATATGATAAATTTCTATCTAAATAGAAATAGAAAGCAATGAGTGATTTTATATTTATACAATCAAACTTTCTCATGTGACTTCCTCTATAAATTCCATTTTAAATATGCCCCATTGTAATAATTTCATTGTGATCTGTATTTAGAGACCACCTGCATTAAAAGACCATAATACCCATAATTATTATTTCTCGTAATACAGATTTAAGTGTACAAGCTGTATGGTATACAACAACAGTTTTAAGACAAAAGCATGTATGTTTATTACAGATATAACCGGCTCCTCGATGCCATTCACACAAGTCTGGGAGACATGCTGAAGGCTCTTAAGGGTCTGGTGGTCATGTCTCAGGCCCTGGAGGAGATGGCCAACAGTCTCTACAACAACATGGTGCCCACTATGTGGTCCAGCAAGGTCAGTGTGCAGCTTCTGGGTTATTGTTTAGACCTGTATTTTACTCCCTCCTTTCACTGAATTCTCTCCTGTTTTACCTGTTCAAGATTTCTCTAACCCCCCTCCCTAGGGTATGATTTCTCTAACCCCCCTCCCTAGGGTATGATTTCTCTAACCCCCCTCCCTAGGGTATGATTTCTCAAACCCCCCTCCCTAGGGTATGATTTCTCTAACCACCCTCCCTAGGGTATGATTTCTTTAACCTCCCTCCCTAGGGTATGATTTCTCTAACCCCCTCCCTAGGGTATGATTTCTCTAACCCCCTCCCTAGGGTATGATTTCTCTGTCACCCTGTAGGGTATGATTTCTCTGTCACCCTGTAGGGTATGATTTCTCTAACCCCCTCCCTAGGGTATGATTTCTCTGTCACCCTGTAGGGTATGATTTCTCTGTCCCCTGTAGGGTATGATTTCTCTGTCCCCCTGTAGGGTATGATTTCTCTGTCCCCCTGTAGGGTATGATTTCTCTGTCCCCTGTAGGGTATGATTTCTCTGTCCCCCTGTAGGGTATGATTTCTCTGTCACCCTGTAGGGTATGATTTCTATGTCCCCTTGTAGGGTATGATTTCTTTGTCACCCTGTAAGGTATGATTTCTCTGTCACCCTGTAGAGTATGATTTCTCTGTCACCCTCTATGGTAAGATTTATCTTTTACCCTGTAGGATTTGATTTCTCTATCACCCCCTAGGCTATGGTTGCCTTGTAATCCCCTAGGGTATGACAGATGGCACATGAAAAGGAACACAAAAAGTCACAAGGAAAGACACATTATGTCTAAAAATTCTGGCTTTGGTAAACATGATGTCCTGTGACAACCCTCCTACCTCTAACAAAGGAACTGGGCCTGTGACAACCCTCCTACCCCTAACAAAGGAACTGGGCCTGTGACAACCCTCCTACCCCTAACAAAGAAACTGGGCCTGTGACAACCCTCCTACCCCTAACAAAGGAACTGGGCCTGTGACAACCCTCCTACCCCTAACAAAGTAATTGGGCCTGTGACAACCCTCCTACCCCTAACACAGTAATTGGGCCTGTGACAACCCTCCTACCCCTAACACAGTAATTGGGCCTGTGACAACCCTCCTACCCCTAACAAAGTAACTAGGCCTGTGACAACCCTCCTACCCCTAACAAAGTAACTAGGCCTGTGACAACCCTCCTACCCCTAACAAAGAAACTGGGCCTGTGACACCCCTCCTACCCCTAACAAAGGAACTGGGCCTGTGACACCCCTCCTACCCCTAACAAAGGAACTGGGCCTGTGACAACCCTCCTACCCCTAGCAAAGTAACTGGGCATAAAAGCAGTCACTTTGTTTGTCTTACAAAACCACTTTTGTCTCAACTATATCTTCTTATAATGAGCTGTTACTGTTAGTGATATTATCCTTCTCTCACTTTCTAATAATTTTATTGTCCACTTCAATGCTGTGTTCCATTTACTTTACCAGTAATGAGGTCTGATTTGTTTATCTACAGGCCTACCCATCTCTGAAGCCCCTAGCGGCTTGGGTCATTGATCTCCAGACTAGAATGGTCTTCATCAACAATTGGATTGAAGAGGGAATGCCCAAAGTAAGTGATAATACATTTACTTCACCACAGAGTAAGTGCTTATACATTTACCTCACCACAAAGTAAGTGATGATACATTTACCCCACCACAATGTAAGTGATAATACATTTACCCCACCACAAAGTAAGTAATAATACATTTACCCCACCACAGAGTAAGTGATAATACATTTACCCCACCACAAAGTAAGTGATAATACATTTACCCCACCACAAAGTAAGTGATACATTTACCCCACCACAAAGTAAGTGCTAAAACATTTACCCCACCACAAAGTAAGTGATACATTTACCCCACCACAAAGTAAGTGATACACTTACCCCACCACAAAGTAAGTGATACACTTACCCCACCCCTTGATGTATTGGCTACATGTTCTGTATTACAGGAAGGAGTAATTGAAAGAGTTCAATTGGAACTGAATGATATTCTCAATAAAGGAGTTAAATCAGAATAACTTTGTCAAGACAAATCTAAGGAAGATCCCTCGTAATTCTGACAGATTTTACATTAATATCCCTAGAACTTTTATTTAAATCTTCCTATTTTTATGTCCCAGTCACAAAGTGGAGTGGGCATCACATTTTTCAAGTTTTTAACCTCGGTTTTTCCATATGACGTTATTGTTAGACTTCACATTTATTTAGCTCAATTACTTTAATACTTGATGTCCAAACATTTACATGTGAACACATCTTAGCTCATTTTCCCCTGAAACTTCATAATGAACTATTCCAACCTTTGAATTTGGAGAGTTCAAATGTGTCTTCAGCGTGAATAAGTTTTGGAACACTACATTGGTCATTGTGGCTTAAATTTTCTGTTTTGCTGACTTTATTAAGTCTTTGTGTTAAGTTCCACTTCCATCAAAGTAGGAACTGGACTTGAATTACAAACATTTTCTAGTGCTATTTCATTTGGCAGTGAATGAAATAGAAGATGACATACTAATAATATGTAACTATGAAATAATAGTGGGGGCCGCGGTGGCCAAGTGGTTAAGGCGTCTGACATTCTGTTATCACTAGCCCTCCACCACTGGGTCGTGGGTTCGAGACCTACGTGGGGCAGTCGCCAGGTACTGGCCGTAGGTCGGTGGTTTTCCCCCAGGAACTCTGGCTTTCCAACAACACCAAACCTAGCACGTCCTTAATTGACCACATATGTAAATAGGACGTAACACACAAACAAACCAAAGTTTGAAAAAATATGTGTTTCTCTCATTACATCACCAATATTTTTCTGTGTTGATCTACATTTTTTGTACATGGTCATCTCTTTTTTAACAGGTATATTGGATTTCCGGTTTCTTCTTCCCACAAGCTTTCCTCACTGGAACTCTACAGAACTACGCCAGGAAAAGTATCACCTCCATTGATATCATTGCCTTTGATTTCCAGGTGAGTGGTTTTATCTTTGAAATTTTGTCAAGGTCATTAATAAAGGTCAAGGTTAAAGCCAAAGGGCAGGGGTCCCTGCACATATGTGAGCAATTTATCTATATTTAAAACATGTATATGCTCTCTCTTATCATAAACAGAACCTTGTTTTCACTAAAAACTACCTAAGGCTGCTATAATTCTGATAAGCCAAGTAAGCACCATGCCACGTATAATTGTAGAGACATATTTTGTCATTGAATTATCTCCCCTCCCCTGATTTTGTTATCCTCACTTGATCTAAAGTCTGTCCATCTGTCTCCAGTCTATATATATATATATATTGAGAGGGTTTCAGCCAATTTTGTTTTGAAATTTCTATGAGGGATGGGAATTCTGAATATCACTTTCAAAATTTTAAAAAGTAATACCGGGTAAGTGCTACTTACAAAAAAGGAGCAGTATCTATTATTTTAATTAGACGTTCCTATTATTTTTATTCCCCAAAAAAGTATGTTAGTGATCATTCAGGTTGTCTCTGTCTCTCTATCTGTCTGTCTGAAATCCAACTTCGTCCAATATACTACTCCCATAATATAAAACAGATTTCAACGATACCACACAAACCTCTTTTTACTATTAGATTAACCCGTGAATGATGTATATCTGCCATGTTGTTTTAGCTCCTTTCCAAAGAATTTTGGCCCTTGATGTAGTTATCTTGCATAAAAATGCACACCCTCCTTCATATGTATTATTTTGTGTCATTTAATTTCATGAAGTTCTGATAATTATCAAACAAATTCTGTATTAAAACACTTTGAATATTCTCCATAAACACCCAATTTCAATAGGGAGAATAACGCATTGGGGAGCCATATATTATGTTGGGGGGGTCATTTGGTGGCGATTAGGTGCCTCTAGACATCATTTGTTTTGGTAATTTGAAAAGGTATTACGATTGGTTAATTGATTATACTGTTATCATTATTTAATTAAAAATTGTATTCAATGAGTAGTTATTTAGCTGCATTAATCATTGATTAATTATTACTATTTTACATTATATTGATTTCCAATATGTTTTCATACCTTTTTTTTCATTAAAATCTTGGCAATTAAGATTGATCAGTCTAAAATGATATATCTATGTTAATATTGGCTTATTATTTAGATTTATAGAGGGGTGTTCCCTTGATGAACTTTAACATCGGAACAGTTTGTCCTCAGTCAAAACATCTTATGATGTAGACATTTTTAATTATCATTAGACTGAAGGCACAGAGAGTCGTCTCCTCCATGTGTATCTCTAAATGTGTATAACAAAGGACATTGATATATATGTGATCAACTCGTCTTCTAGTGTACCTATCAACACCAAAATAATGTTTATAGTAGAAGAGAATTTTAACACGGAGGAATATAGAATTCAAAATCACTTTAAAATAGTTTAATTTAAACATTTTCCCCAATGATCTGACTCCATTTCGTATAAACCCCTGGTGGTAAAATGGCATGTATGGACTTGTACGGATCCCGAAGATCATAGTGTGGTTTGGTAGCCCGAGGCGGCCCGACACATCAAGATGGCCTCCATATAACTCAGTGGTCGCTGGTTGACAGTATTATGTATTGTTGGCAGATTAATGATGAGGAATTATTCGGTATAACACAGTCAAACATGATTTTCCCCACATACACAGCTACTACAGTCGTTTACAATCGGAAGCTGGGATAACACATTGTTCTGACAGGAAATTTTAGGTACTTAACATAACAATATAAATATCAATGGATATTAAATTACTGTATATATAATAGGCTGTGACACCAAGAAGTTATTTCTTGTAAATGATGTAAATATGAATTCCGTTTTGTATAATATTTCTCAAACAAAAAACGTAATTTATGAGCTAGGTGCTGTACAAATTCAGTTTTACCTAAGTTATAAATCTGCCGTGGGAAGATTTTGTGAGGTCGCCTGTGGATAAATAAATTGGCTGTTGTTTCATTTTTTAAATTCATAAAAAAAAATTGTTTTGATTTGCTTAATCAAGCAGTAGTAATAGGAGGATAATTTGGTTAATGAGATCATTAATTACCCTGTGTGTGTTTAGAGTATTTCTGTAATGTGCAATATTTACATATGATTAGTTTATCTTGCAATATCTTTCTTATCTACATTTGAAAAGAATTCATTTTGCACAAGATACAATGAAATTTCTTAATGAAAAATTAATTGTGAAATAAATGATGTAGAAATTCTCAAGACTATAATTTTAATTCAACTCATCAATAATCTAAATTATTTCAGTTATACTTTGAAATTTTCTTTACAACTGTTAAGTGTTTAACATGGTGAATTGACTCAGGTTTCTTAAGATCAAGAATTGCCCAAGCCCAGGCATCCAAATCTCAGTGCTTTGAAATCATCTTCTTCAGAACTGTAAATGTCATGGCTTTGAAATTTGATTTTGAGCATATTATCTATGTTTGTTCGGATCAGGGTGTATGGATCATGTGTTCAATGTCAAAATATCAAAGGCAAGCTGTTTACATTTGTGATTTTTTTTTTTTTAAAGCATTTCATCTTTTTTAAAGTTTGTTCAGTGTAACCATGTCAATCAGTCCAGGTTTAATGCATTTTTAGATGATTTTTTTCAAGTACAAATTTAAATGATTGATATTCTTTTTAAGTATGCACTTACTTTTAAAATTTCTAATTCTGAATTTTGTATGCAAGTACCTCCTGGATTAGACTGTCACATTCTGAAATTGGATCTTTTGTCCTGCTTTGTACAAAGTTATGGTATTTTTACCATTTGTTCTTTGTCTGTGTCACATTTTGTATGTTCTGTCAATTACATTTGTTTAATTTTGTATGTGGGTACTTCCTATGGTCAAGTGTCATGTACTGAAATCGGGTAATATATCCCATTATATACAGAGTTATTTCCCTTTGTTGATACCGGAGATTGCCCAGAGGTAGGAGATTTAGTAATGCTCGCAGTACTTTGCCTCGGTAACTTTTTTTTTTAACTGCAACAGCTTTTGTCAGATCTGATAAAAAATACAAGACGATGAAGCAATGATTTGAGGGTTGATTGATTCAAATATAAAGTAAGCGGTTTAAAACAAATAATCACCCTAGCACCATTCAAGCTGTTACGTAGATCTATAACTTGTGGCGGTAGAAAATCTATAGATGAAGGAGTTTTCTTTTCACATCATCAGTGCAGTAATTGCCTAGCCAACATCTACAGATTTACAAAGAAAAAATAATAAGAAAATGTTGATGCTACAGAAAATGTGGGATCAATGCACTTTTGATCAATATAGTGAGGTAAAACTTAAAAGTAGATGTTTAGAATGGTTTAATAAAAAAAAAAAATGTGCTTTGGTTCAATAGTTGAGTGGTTCGTAGTATATGGGACAACAGCTCCGATTCAGATCTCGAACATTTTACACCAGAATGAATCCTGTATGTAATTAGCCTTAGGGTGGTCGGGTGGTGCAGTGGACAACCCACTCGTATTTCACCATGGTGGCTTGGGTGCGATTCCCCGTTTGGGACCAGTATTATATATCTTTCTGGTCTAGACAAGTCCTCCCCAATCCTCAGGATAGCGTAACGGTACCAAAAATATGAAGGACTTCTGTAATTATTTAGGAAGATTGTGCTTGTTTGACTTTGTTGCTGTGAATCGGTTAATTTTTGCGTACACTTTTTAGCCGCTAATGATTTCTTCATGAGGATGTTGATAATACATAATAGCAGATGTATATGTCATGTATATGTCATGCTTAACCTTTTCACCCTTATGTAACTTTAATAAACTCTACCATACATTGATCTGGATGATTCCATTATGGTTTGAAAGGGTTAAACATGCCTGACAATTCTCAATTATATCACAAATTAATTCGAAAATAGGTTTTTGTTGCGAAATATAGGTCATTTATCTTAATCCAAGCAAAATGAGATCTGAAGCATTGTAAGTCATGTGAAAGTGGCATGGAGGAAGGAGTGCACATGTTTCAAATCTATAAATTTTCCACATGAAATGTTTGTATGTAATCGGCTGACATGAACCCAAACACCAGGCATACTTATAGGGTATGTCCGTTTCTTTAGTTTCTGACTCACTTTCAATCCTGTATGCAACAGATTGCAATAGACATGTTGATGGATACTGTTTCACAACAGTCTGATATCACTTGTTACATTTTCATTTTATTGATAAATAAATAAAACTAACAAAATTGAACATGTGAATTCTGATCAGTCCCAAGTAACTGAAGTTGGTTGTTCTTAATCTAATATCTGAAATAATCTCATTTCTCAATTTCCTCATTAATCATTTAAGATATCTTGTTAAATTGATATCTCGTATAACTCTTCAATTTCACAGATTTATATGGTGTCCCGATTTCCTAGGTATCTATAGGTTCAACTGTACTTTCACACATGTGTACAGGAAAAGTATTGCAAAGTTTTTCTCCTGATGGTGACCTTTGTATATAATTAATGCATTCTAGAAAATCAGACTGAAAATAAGTGAAATTCAGTGTAAGCCTAGGTTATATTGAAGCTCTTTGTGTCAGCATTACTGCGAACAATTGTCATATTGAGGTTCCTTGTGTACATGTATATAATATGTCTGCCTTAAGGCTTACCTTTCAATACGGTCATCACTATTCATTAGTAACAAATCGTTGAACAGCAGTAGTTCACTGCTCCCAATGTGTTAATTTATTTCAGCCCTTTGATTTAATTTCCTTCATTAATTTATGGAAGCACACAACAGCTAAAAACATTAATTATTTCACTGTTTTGTGGGTTGGGGCCAAGGTTTTTAGTATTTGGAATCAGTAAAAAAAACATTTAACAAAGAAAGCCGAGACCCACCAGTGAAATCAGCCAAGATTGTCCTTGATGAACTGAAAGAAAACCATTAACCATATTTGCTGGTTTCCACATGGTATTCCTTCTTAGTACAGTACATCACCTCAAATTCTGT